AAATAATTTATATTATAGCATAAGATTATTTTAATTTATTGATATTTTATTTTAAGAATATTTAAATTTAATTTATATATAATTAATTATAATGAATAAAAATAAATAAATTAAATATGTGATTAAAAGAATTCTTAAAATTTCTTTCATAAAATAATTTTTAAAAATACTTTCATGTGAGATAGTTATTTGTATTTAATATATAAGTATTAATTTACTTTTTTATAAAATTAAAAATTTAATTATTTTATTTTTTTAGTTTAAATACTTAATTAATTTAAAAAGAATCATGACAGCAATTTATAAAATGATTTAGGCTCAGTCAAAAAATAAAATAAAATAAAATTAGACACTAATTTAAGAAGAGAAAATGTTGAGATTATCTCATATGTTTATTGAGGACCCGAAATCATCACGTGTGGCTAGATTATTATTTAATCCAATAAAATTGAACCAAATCAAGCAGACACGACTAACCTCAGCAGTGCCGGCCCTACAAGGAACTGGTGTTGGGTGATGGTAATTTGAATTGAGTTTGAAGTCAGATAACGAGAGAGAGAGAGAGAATAGTTGGGTGGTTGAGATGGAACCGGCAGCTGGAAACCCTAATTACATCATGGTCCCACCCCCACCCGCCCCGGCGGTTGAGCCACAACCTCTGGCATCAACCCACAGGCGACCCATCTTCTCATTTCCGAGGAGGCCGGCCTTCAGAGTTACATCGGAGTTCGACAGTGATAGCGCAATCTTCCTCCAGAAAATTTCTTGTAAGTTGTTGGACAGCCTTGCCAAATTCAAGTTTTCATTCAACCATAACAGTAAAGGCGACATCTCCGAACCTCAAATTAGCTTCGTATCCAAGCACCTTAGCCTCCACTACGACCTCGAAGACCATAATGCTCTCGTTAAGACTTCCATCGATGTTGGTCCCAGATTGCAACTCACTGCTGCTCATGATGTCAAGGTCATATCTCTGCATCTCCCTCTCTATATCTTAATTCTTCATATTCTCACTTCTATGCTCTTTCTTCTCCTAAGGCTCAACAAGGAGAGGTTACCATGGTTGCAAAGGTCGCGGATCCTGGCTATTCACTTGAACTATCAACACCAGTTCCATCCGTCGGATTGGTCTGTATCATCATGTTTAAATCTTATCTTGCTAACAAACAAAATACCGACTTTTCTTTTTTCAAATCAAACACAAAATGTAATAGTAGTATATTTGATCCTTTTCTTTTTTGAATTCTATGTGCAGCCAAAAACAACCTTCAGGTTTCCCGTAGGTGAATTTTCAGTGCAGGAGAAAGAAGAGGAGGAAGTCAAGAATTTGTTGTCAGTCAGTGGGATTCTTAAAGGCCAAATTTTGAATGGGGTCTGCTCTGCCCAGTACAAGGATGAAGAACTGAAATTAAGATACGGCTATAAGGTACTTTCTTGATTTTAGGATTATTGATCATCCCAATTTTCCTTTTGGATTTGAGATCCTGATTATCGTTTCTGTATTTCTGTAGAGGATAGTTAACAACACACTTTCTGACACACCCTTCGTTATTAGTTAAAATGTATTGGAAACTACAAAATCATGAGTGAAACCCACAAATTTTTGTGTTTTTCAATAAATTTTAGCAAATATATCAGAGGGTAAAAGAGAGTATGTTGTTAGCATTGTTCTTTTCCTAGATATCTTTAATTTAATGCCTCTGTATCGGTTATTTTGCCCATCATTGGTATTTGGTTGTCTGATGCTTCCTTGTGCTTAGCGTTGGATGTTTTAAATGAATGCAGGATGATGAAATGTCCTTTCTTCCAATACTTTCACTTCCTTCAAATTCTCTGTCATTTGCCTTTAAGCGTCGGTTTGGTCCATCTGACAAGTTGAGGTTGGAACTCTCTCCTAAGAATCCTTCACTTATATGTTCACTGTTTTTGTTGCTCTCCAATTTCTTGGTAGATGATAAAAGTTCTTTTTAACCGAGTTTGGAAAAAATCTATAAATGGAAGCAAATATGACTAATGTATGCTGTAATTATTAGGCTATAATACTTGGCGTCATCTTCAGTTTAATCATTTAATGCCTAGAAAGAGAACTTTTTTTCTTATGTCATTCATTCTTATTGACAATAACATAAGATCCATCCAAAAATTCTAAGTTGAGAGATTTGATATGTGGTGTTAAAATTGTTTTGACAATTGGAATCAAGTTCAAAACTTTCTGAAACCGATTTTAATGATAATGAAAGTGGATAGTTGTGGGCCCCTCGTAACTGCCATGGCACGTTGAGCTTGTTCCAAATTGGCTTGTGAAAGGAGAAAATTAGAAGTAGTAATTTCAATATAAAGCAGTTAAAGCTGTCATTGCCATTGGAGGAAGAATCAACCTTGCTCATGGGATTTCACAGCATCACTACTTGTTTGTCTCTGACCACGTGTTACAAATTCCATTAACAGTGTGCCTTACTCTTTTTCTTTGTCTTATTTTAAATTTCCTTAAACGCTAAGGGAATAGTGAGCACTCACGAACAATCATGCCCGGCCCCATGAATCTGCCCCCCGGCATGATCACATAGTCTGCACTTGTGCAGACAGACGGTTTTAGGCTTCTACAACCCATGCTATACGTTCTTAACATTTGTATATCCAATTTAATTAATAGAACACTCTCAATTCACTCCCAGAACACTTATTTACCTTCAATTTACATTTAAATACTCAAATCCTACAAAACCCCCAATATGCAAAACTCTAACCCCCAAATAATGAAACACATGATAGAGCACAATTCAATATCACAAACCTCGAAAATCATTATCATACATAGACAAACAGTAGCTATAATCTCATATTATTAATAACCTCATCAAATGCAATGCAATAATAACCCTAAAAAGGCTTAGGGATCGGTTAATTAACCGTACCTCTCATACATGCCCCATGGAGAAACAATCTCACTCTCCCTCTTACGGTCTTACCTCAAATGATGCTCAAAGCTATTCCACGCACTCCTTAGAGTTCTCTTCTAAGGTTCTCGCCGTAGGTTCTCTCAAATCTTCAAAAAACCGATATATGACCTATTTGTTCCTCTTCTCACTATAAGTTAGCTAGACTCTTGGTTGGGCTTCTAAAGTCCAAACCTAAGGCTAACTCACTAACCCATTGTTTATCATTGTTTTATTTAATATATTTAGATTAAAATGACCTTATTTAATACATTGATCTTTAAGCCTTCCTCACTAGTAGTGGGATATTAAATAAGGGTATATTTGACAAGAAAAAACTATATGAATTGTGTGTTTAAAACCACACATGCAATCCTTTATTTATAATGAATAAGGATACAAAATAAGGAAATACGGAAATACAAGATAATGCACAATAATGAGTAAAATCTCAAATTTCCACTACACAAATTTCCCTAATTATAAAGGGATAAATCATATCAAACCATATATTTAACAAAAACGTTAATTAGAATTTTAAAAATTCTAAAATATTACTTCTTTTGGGATAAAAAAAGATGGCTAAAACATCTAAAGATGTGGGAAGGAGATAGTAATTCCTTCAAAATTTGGATTGCACAATATTTTGGTAAGAACATATACAAGGTGATCTTGTGAAGGTACATATGGGGTTCTTTTGATTTGCTAAAATTCAAAGGACAAAACAACACAAACAATTCATTACATGTTTGATTTTTAAATTGGTTATGGGACGGAAAAAAATATAAAAACTTGCAGCCCACTTACCCATGGTTCAACTTTTTGTCCGATGTATAATATAATTAAGATGTCAAAAATGACCTCACAGTACTCTCTTCTACACACATCTCCAATTCCTTTCTCTAGGCATGCAACTTCCTTCTCCCACTTCCCATTCATTGTTTTTCTTCAAATTTGTTCCAGCATGCTTTATTCACATTATCCCTTCAATTAATCCAAGGTTCTGTTGCACTTATCAAGGAATGCAATATATTATGCCTCATGTTTTTCACCATATAATGATAGGGAAATTATAGCACCTGCAAGTTGAGAACTTTGATGGGAAAAGTCATAAAGCGTTTATAAATATAAAATGATATAACAAAAAGGATAATTTAGGAAATTTCATTTGTCATGTCCAATGCTTAAGTGTGTCAAACAAGGTACAATATAGAATATTTTGTCCTGTACTATTCTATCTTGTTCTGTACCTTGTGTACTCAAGCTTTTCCTTGATAAAATGCCTATTCACTTCAATGTGTTTCATTTGATCATGCTGGATAGGATTTTCAGCTATGTTGATTGCTGACTCATTATTACAATAGAGGTTTTTAGGTCCATCTTATTTAATCTTTAAGTCTTCTAACATAATTTTCAGCCAAAGCAACTCCCATATGCCTTGTGCTATAGCTCAGAACTCAACTTCAACCCTTTATTTGCCACAACATTATTTTTTTCGCTTCTCCAAGTTAGCAAGTTTCCTTTGAGATGGATCTCCTCTTAGTTATGGACCTTGCATAGTCAGCTTCAATGTAAGCTTCAAGATGTGTAATAGATATATAGAAGTGGAAAAGTTAGGATAGAAAGAGGAAAGTACTTCCATAGGACTCTTAAATCCCAAGGTTGTAGAGGGTAGTTGATTAATAAATATGTTGATGTGAGAACAACCTCCCCCCAAGAAACCTTTTGGAACAATTTTTTTTTTTTTTTTGACTTAACAATGCTCTGTTTTGGTCTAAGTAGTACCTGTTTTTCCTTCTTCAATTCCTTTGTGTTGTGGTGTTTGGATACAAGAAGACCCTCTTTTTGGCAAAAAAAAGAATAATGACTTGATTAAAATATTCCTTCCTATTGTCTAACATGAGTTACTTTATGGGCACACCAAATTGATTTTTAATCATTGAGAAGAAATTTTGAAAGATGTTGCTTACTTCAGATTTTTGTTTAAGTAGGAATACCCAAGTGACCCAAAGACAATCATCAATAAAAGCCACAAACCAGCAAGCCACTTATACATTTGGAATAGGAGATAGCCCCTAAAGATCACCATGAACAAGGAAAAAAGAAAATGTACTTGTTACTTGATGGAAAATGCTCACATTGTGTTTTGCAATTTTACATGTTACACCGAAGATAATCCATTTTTATTCAAGAAAACAAAGATTAAAACAAGGCTTTGACAATTTCAAAAGACGGTTGTCCTAACTGATAACTGAAGACTAAAATCTTTTCCTCCCAACCTGATTTCTTGTCTAGGAATACACAACAATTTTGCAAAAAATAACAATGCATGATATGCCATTTGTATTTTTTGCACGAAGACAAGATTTGTGAATAATTTTTGAACATGAAGAACATTTTTAGGGTTATGAAGGGATTTATTTGGATGTTCCCTAGACCAGTAACAATCACATGAATGTCATCTGTAATTTCTATTTTGTTATTGTTGGGAAATGGAGAATGATGAAGTATTTAGATGACGGGGTTATATGGTATGTAGCTCCAAAATCGAAAACCCAATGGGATGAAAGTGTTTTTGAGACATTATATCTGAATGAAAGAGGAAAAATACCTGAATATTCCGAAGTACAAGCACTTGACGGTTGAATGCTCTGCAATTCTCCATACTAATTAATCTGGAATGGATGGACAACCTCCTCTTCCATAGTGAACTGAGACCTGGAGAAGAGAGTCAATTAGATGTTTGGATGAAAAAGTTGCACTATTCATGCAGTACAGAAAACAACACAAACAGAGTGAAACCAACCAAAAAAGGCAGAAAAGTAGGACAAACTGAACCCTAAAACAAGTATAGAGGCTGCTAGAAAAGAAGACACAAAATTTCTGACAGTTGCCAAGAAAGTTTCCAGAAATGTTATCAGAAAATCTAACAGTCTCCGTAAAATACAGTAATATGGTAAAACATACCAGCACTAGTGCCCAGTCAAGTTTACAGGGCACTGAGCTTGCACACCCAGTCAGACCTTCTTCAAAGCGTTTTTGTTGCCCAAGTAGAGCCCTCTTAGATCGGGAGTTCTGATACCGTGTGCAAAGAGAGAAACAAAACTTTGTTGTTGCTTGAGTGAGTATATCACTCAGCAGAGTGATCTACTCAAGAGCTTGTTCTTATTTTATACATTTTTGCTCAAAGACCTCTCTGCTTTTAAACAGAGTTTACTTGTTTACTGATACGGTTGTAGCACAGTTTGAAAGAAAAGAGAGCTTATTCTATATTCTTGCTACCTGACGTGGTTGAGCATTTATGTTTAGTTATTCTTTCGGTTATTCAAAATTTTAACATTTATAATAGTAAGTGGTGCCGAAATCCCCACCAATCCATTGCCAAAATTAAAACAAAATGTACATGAACCCATTTGTTTCATCATAGCTGCTATTGCTTTATATCCCTGTTTGATTAACTATGATTACATAAATTTTTTTGCTTTTTAGCATTTTTGTGCCCATTTTTAATTAGAAATGTATCTTTGCTTATGTGGCTTTTTAAAAACTTTATGTGTAGTTACTGGTACAATTGTGATTCCAACTATTGGAGTGCTGTCTACAAGCGCACTTATGGGAAGGATTTCAAATTTAAAGCTGGTTATGATTCAGAGGTTCGGCTTGGCTGGGCATCTCTTTGGGTAAGTGTCTCATTTTTCAATTATGTAATTTATATCCATTATCATTGATGCCATCCTTGTTATGATTATAATTCGTGGGTTTGTTTTTTTTGGTATAGAGTGGTTTCATTTCTCAAATATTCATGCTTAATTTGCTAATGGCATGCTTACTTCCACCAACATTCTCTTTTTCATTGTTTATTTTATCCAAGACACAACTTGTTAATGAATTAAGAGTCAGTTTGGATAAACTTCTTAGCATTTCTAAGTAAAAAAGAATTGAAAAAAAAGAGACTAAGTTGCACTTTTGGGCCTTCTATAATATCAAATTCACAATTTTTGTCCCCAAATTTTAAATTCCACAATTTTAATCCCTCAATTTTATAAAATCCATAATTTTGGTCTCCTTTTCTAAATGTTCCTTCGTTGATTATTAAAATTATAATATTAGTGATGATCTGACATTAAGTAAATAATAAAATTATTAATACTACCTCCAATCTTAATTATGAGGAATATAGAACAAATCATGAAGACCAATAAAAGTAATTAATGTGATTACTTTTAATTAATAATACTATAAATTTAAGTTTTATGCCAAATCTGCCCTTTACCTTACTTGAATATTGAAATAGGCAGAAAAAGATCAGTGTCACTGATCTGTCTATTTTCCTTATATTAGGAGTGATAATGATTAGGATTACAAGAAAAAGGCTGAAGAGTCTAGAAGCCTAAGCAATCACATCAAGAGAGAGTACAATCAGAAAGAAAAAAAATACAGTAAAATATTTAAACAGAAGAGGCTATCTAAACAAGCTATTCTAACACTCCCCCTCAAGCTGATGCATATAGTTATATGCACCAAGCTTGGAACATAAAAATTGAATTTGAGGCCCCCTTAATGACTTAGTCATAACATCCACAAGTTGTTCACTGGAATTGACAAATTCAGTAATGATTTCCTTGGACAACAACTTCTCTCTCACAAAAATGACAGTCAACCTCTATGTGCTTGGTTCTCTCGTGAAATACTGGATTGGAAGCAATGTGAAGAGTGGCTTGATTATCACAATACAATTTCATTGGATGATCCTCAAAAAATCTTAACTCTCGAATGAGATGCTTAATCCATACAAATTCACAAGTAATCAAGGCCATAGCTCGATATTTAGCTTCAACACTAGATTGAACAACAACATTTTGTTTCTTACTCTTCCAAGAAATGAGATTTCCACCAAGGAATGCACAGTATCCAGTAGTAGAACGTCTATCTATAGGACATCCTGCCTAATCAGCATCACAGTATTCAGAAATTTGATTGTCTCCTTTGTCCTCGTACAGTAATCCTTGTGCTAGAGCCTTTTTGATATATCTAAGAATACGCAGAACAGCATTCCAATGATCGATATTAGGAGCTTGCATGAATTGACTAACAATCCCTATTGCAAAAGAGAGATCAGGTCTTGTGATTGTAAGATAAATGAGTTTCCCAACTAATCTCCTATACCTTTCTAGCTTTGTGAATGGTTCACCTTGATCAGTCATTAACTTTTGGTTAGGATCCATAGGACTATCAATGGGTCTATAATCAGTCATGTTTGTTTCCTCCAAAATGTCCAAAGCATACTTCCTTTGAGAGATCACAATGCCTTCCTTTGATTGGGAAACCTCAATTCCAAGGAAATATTTTAGATGTCCCAGATCTTTGGTCTGAAAATGGCTAAACAAATGTTTCTTCAATTGAGAGATTATAGCTACATCATTTCCTGTAATCACTATGTCATCCACATAAACAATCAAATAAACACATCTCCCAGGAGAAGTATGACAATAGAAACTGAGTGGTCTGCTTTGCTTCTTTTAAGCCCAAAGTCTTGTACAACATGACTAAATTTTCCAAACCAAGCTCTAGGAGATTGTTTGAGGCCATAAAGAGATCTTCGCAATTTACAAACTAAACCAGACTCCCCCTGAGCAACAAATCCAGGATGTTGCTCCATGTAAATCTCCTCCTCCAACTCACCATGAAGAAAGGCATTTTTAATGTCTAATTGGTGGAGAGGCCAATGACGAATAACTGTCATAGCAAGAAAGAGACGAACAGTAGGAATCTTGGCCATAGGAGAGAAGGTGTCACTATAGTCTAGGCCATAAATCTAAGTATACCCAGACCGAATACCTTTTCGAAGAGGAATGGGCCATCTAGAGTTATCCTCACTTGGATTCGTAGTCGGGGTGTGTGATGGTGAAGGACATGAATCCGGTGACTCTTCAGGTAATGTTGGACCAATTTGTCTTGTTCGACATTGATATGTGACAAGAGGAGGTGGAGTAGCTTGAAAGGAGTAGTTGTGGGAATAATGGACTAAGTAAACTCTTGGTTATGAAGTGAAATTTGAGGTGGAATGGAAACATGAGAAAAAACTGGTAGTACTTGTTGTATTGAAAGAGAATCATGAGTGGTGCATGAGAAAAATGAAGTTTGTTCAAAGAAGGTGACATCTGCAAACATGTAGAATTTTCTGGTCTCTGGGGAGTAAGGGATTTTATTTTCAAAGGAAGAAGAGGGCATTCTTTTTACTAAAAAACAAGAAGTGAGAATTGCATCACCCCAATGGTGTACAGGAACATTTGCCTAAGCATTAGGGTGCATGTAGTCTCCACAAGGTGCCTATTTTTCCTTTTTTCTATTCCATTTTGTTGGGGTTTATGTGGACATGTAGATTGATGTAAGACACCCTGTGAGGGTAGGAAAAAGGATAATTCAGAAGAGAAATATTCTTTTGCATTGTCACTTCTAAAAATTTTAATTATTCTCCCAAATTGATTTTTGATCTCATTGAAGAAACACAAAAATAGACAAAAGCTAAAAACGATCTTTCATTAAATATACCCAAGTATATCGAGAAAATTCATCAATAAAGGTTACAAAATATCTGAAACCAAAAGATGTTACACGGCTTGGACCCCAAATATCAAAATGAAAGGTGGTGAAAATTGAGTTACATCTTTTATCAGTTTGCTTGGGAAAAGACGACCTAACATGTTTGCCTAGTTGGCATGATTCACAACCTAACTCTTCTAATTTTTTAAGACTAGGAACCAAAAGTTTCAACTTGGATAGACTTGGGTGACCCAAACGATCATGCAAAAGCTTGGGTGACAAAATAGCAACACAAGATACAGGTGGTTGCGTTTCAAAATAGTAGAGACCACTAAATTCATATCCTCCACCAACCTTTCGACCCGTATCACGTTCCTGAACAATTTAAGGATTTGGTTAACTGACTTAAAGAGATTAAGTTGAAAGGACAATTAGGGATAAACAAAACAGTTTAAATTTAATGAGGGAGATAGAGAAACTTGATCGATTCCTTTGGGAGCAATTCTGGATCCATCTGTTAAGGTAATAAGGTGAGGTGATCTAAGTGGGGACATGGAAGAAAACATAGAATTATTACCGGTTATGTGATCAGAGGCTCCTGAATCAATGATCCATGGACTTTGATTTGTAGTTGAATGAGAATCACAAGCTGTAGAAACAGTAGTGGTAGAGGAAGATTGAGCTCGATTCATAGATTTCCATTGATGATATTCTTGATAGTCATCTTTAGGGATCTTCATATCAGATTTTCCTAATTTCTCTGACTTGGACAGATTTGCTATCTTCTCTGGAAAACCAAGAAGAGAATAACAATTCTCTTGAGTATGACCCATCTTCTTGCAGTATGAACATTGAGGACGACCACTTCTGCCTCCTCTTCCTCTTCAATTTCCACGACCACCTCTACCCTGACTAGAAATCATTGCAGGAGCTTCAACAATTCCACCATAGTTTTCATTGAGTCTGACTATTAGGCTGTCCATTGAAGGAATCTCGTGGCCGGTCAGAATCTGGTCACGAACATGATTGAAATCTAGGTGCAATGTTCTCAGGATTAGCACCATATATAGCCTATCAAGTTTTTTATTTATTCCATCTAATGAATCATCTGTCAAGAACATTTTTAGTTCTTCTATAGCAGCTTGGGCTTCAACAATTTGGGATGTCATTTCATGATTAATTTGTTTCAAGGATGCTATTTTTTGAGTAGCATCATATAACCGCTAAATATCGTTTGCATAAATATTTTGAGCCTTTTTCCAAAAAGAATAGCAAGTTTTGAAGGCTCTAAGTGTCCCCAAAATACCTGTCTCAACCGACTGCCACAACACAACACATAGTTGAAAATCAAGCTTCTTCCATTTAGCTCGACTTTCATCTGAACCCTCAGGGTCTTCCATTTCTAAGTGATTGTGGTACCCTTGACCAAGGAACCATAGTTCCATAGAGGCAGCCCATGATAAATAATTTTTTCCATTGAGCTTCTCCGTGGTTATGGTCGGAGTGCCAGAAATGGGCAAAATAGGACCTAGAGATGCCATAGGAGGAAGGATCGTGCAACAGGGATTAAAGAGAGAAGACCAGCAGAAGAGAAACGCAGACCCACTCCTTAAATAGTGGTCAAATCAAAAAATTGAGTCCAGAAATAGGCTCAGAAGGCTCCGACAAACAAGGTAGTGGCTGAATGAGGAAGTTCTGACGAACAAATGGCGACACGTGAACAGTATGCGCTTGATAAAATCGGATAGAGAAGCGGTAGGTGAGCGCATGAGACCTCCAATGACACTGGAGTTGATAGGGTTAGGTTGCGCTTGATGAGGCACACCAAACCATAGGTTTGCTGGAGTAAGAGGTCATCGATAGACGGCGGCGAATGGCAGCGGACGGCAGAGCAGGATCGACCCCGCTTTGATACCAACTTGAATATTGAAATAAGCAGAAAAAGATTAGTATCGCTGATCTGTCTATTTTCCTTACATTAGGAGTGATAATGATTAGGATTACAAGAAAAAGGTTGAAGAGTCTAGAAGCCTAAGCAATCGCATCAAGAGAGAGTACAATCAAAACAAAAATACAGTAAAATATTTAAACAAAAGAGGCTTTCTGAACAAGCTATTCTAACAACCTTAAGTGGTTGTTATATTTAATGTTAGTTATTAGTGAATGCATAGGAAATGAAGTTAACAATAAATGAATGGTAAAAAAGAAATGTAACCTTAAGTAACTTTAAAAACTAATGAATGTTGCTTATGATTAAGATAAAAACTAATTTGTTGCTTATAATTAGAACTAGAGGTAGTATTTGATAATATTAGGCTAAATTTCACATTTAGTTCTCTTTTTTATCTTCTTTTATATTTTTATGAGATAAAAAAAAATGTGAACTAAAAGTGAAATTTAGCCTAAAAATTAATTTTTAATTGTCATTTCATCTACTTTAACATTAGATCATAACTAACGTTACAATTCTAACGATTAGTGGACAAACATTCGACAATGAGACTAAAATTGCAAAATTAAAAATAGAGAGAAAAAAATTACAAATTTGATATTATTAAGGGACCAAAGTGCAATTTAGCCAAAAGAAAAATTAAATATGCTTAAACTTGGTTATGCGTAAGTTAACAATAAGTTTTTGAAAAATATAATATAAAAAAGTTTCTACAAATTAACTTGTGCAATAGCTAGTTTTAGCCTATAGAGAAGTTAATTTTAATTTTTCCTGCTAAAAGTACTTGTGAAGAAATTTATTCAAAGAAACCTTAAATAAAATATCAATGAAGAAATTTATCCAAATAGACCCTAAATAAAATATCAAGAGTTTCACATTTCTGATGTAGCTTCTTTACAATGTCTCTGATCCCTTTTTAGTGTGGCCAATCATTATTAACTGCCTGTTAAGTTTGTGTTCTTATATTTCAGCTATAATTGTGTTGATGGCTTTCCTACATACATAATACATTGCACCTGCATTGTTGTTTTACATTTAGGCTCTACATGATATGATACTGCCTCCCTGCGTAAGGGATGCATGTGTGTACCCCTTAAACTTCTTGATCCATAGCAGATCACTAAGGTAAAACAGTCTATGGGTTTACCTGTTTGTTTTCTCGAAAGTTTAACTAAATTTTTTTTTCTTCATATTTTCGGATCATCTTTGTACTAAGAATTTTGTTGTAATTCTAATGTTTGACTACTTTAATATCTCTAAATTGTTAGATAAGAATCCACTTTTATGTAGTGGGAAACTAGTCTTTAAAGTGTATAAAGAGAAATTGTTCTGAATGGAAGGGGGTTCTACCAAAAGTATGAGTTTATTATCTATCACTCTTTTAGTGACCACATTAGCTTCATTCAGGTTGGAGATGAAGGTGGGAAAGCCAAAACAGCTCCAATGCAAATGAAAGTTCAGTTCATGCTTCAAGTGCCACAAGATGACATAAAATCTTCGGTTATGATGTTTCGGATTAAGAAAAGATGGGACTTTTAAGCTCTACTGATGACTTTACCTGTTTTTTTATATATAAAAAATGGGTACTTGGCTTTGGGCAGTTCCATGGAGTCATAGTTTGTTGCCTCCACACTTTTGGAAAAGGGGTATTGACTATATGACAGGTTGATACTTCTCCAAGTCAGCTAATTCTTAGCAGTGTGGCAAGATTGCACCGAGTTTCTGGTAAGCACAATTTTCAATCGTACAAAATTTGTAAAGGTGATTTTCTGATTTGTAAGTTGGCAGATTATGGTTATCGGATGCAAACAATCCTGAAATTAGTTATTCATTTCGTAAAAGGCATGCGACTTTCAAGTTCTTTTTGGTCTAAACAAATTCCTTTCCACTTTTTGGTGGGATAATTTTAAACGTTAGGTTGGATCTAGCTTAGAGTAGTCTTTAGACAAAATGCTCCACGGGTTGACTGCCTTTTACAAAGAAAACAATCAAATAAGAAGCTGAGGGATTTTTGGACATGAGTTTTATGCTAGTTACATAGGGGTGAATATTTCCATTTCCAACTTTTAGTTTGTTATACACCCGAGGTTGAGATAAAATAGGATTCGAAAGGAACATGAGCTCATCCAATGCAAAGCACGTTTCAGTTTATTTTCATTTTTCAGCCAACTTTTGATTAATTCTAATTTCCTTTTGTAACAAACGCGGGTAAGAAGTATCAATGATCAGCAGGTACAAGAACACAGCAATGTAAAAATCAGCTTGGCCACTATGTTGGTGGATTGAAGTTGCTTGCTGTGATCGTTCGAACTACAAAGCGCATAGGGACGAGGGATGGAAAGAATAATTTTATCTGTATTATCTATGAGAAACTCGTGTTGTGAATATAGATGAAAGAAAATGAAGCATCGGATGACGAAGGGTAAAGAATAACTATTGACATTTAAAAATTTCATTATCAAACTCTCAAGTTTAAGAAACGCAAACAAGATGGATGTTTATAGTTAAGTTTTTTCTTCTCTCATTTTTCAACATTATATGGTATCTATCCGTTGAATCAATCGAGGATGAATTATAATAAATCGGGCTAGGGCCCATATTTGTGAGTATTGATACATTGATGTAATTGTTATGTATTTCCTCAGATAGGGGTTTGCAAAAAATTTAAATTGATTCGAATTGATTCATAATCGATTCGATTTATATTGAAAAATCTGATCCATTTTAAAAAAAAAAACGAATCGAACTGTTTTATAAAACTGGTTTAGTTATCCAATCTATTTTTACAAAGTAGATCGGTTTGGTTCGGTTTGGTTTTTTATAAAAACAATCCATATATGAGTAAAAAAGTGAATAACTATACCGTACCGAACCGATTCAATTTTAAAAAAATTGATCAATATTTAAAAAAATCAAACCGATCTACTTTATAAAAAATGGATCGGTTAACTGATCCATTTTTATAAAATGGTTTAGTTTGGTTTGGATCGCTTTTTTAAAAAAAATTGATCTATGAACACCCCTATCATCAGTATTTTAAAAAGCATTAATCCTACATTGACGGAAGGTGACAGAATGAGATGATTGAGTCAACTTGTTTAACTCTTTATTTTGTAAGGCGGATTTAAATTTTTAATTTACCAATTTGTTTTTTCCTAACCTGTAAAGAAAATAGATTAGGGATGGGTTAAGGAAAACATGTTAGATGCTAGTTCTTTTCCTAAAATAAAAATAGGCTTAAATATTTTATTTTGAGGGTAGCTTAGATATATATATATTTTTTTTTTTGCTTATAAAATGAGCGTATTTTAATTTGTCTCTATTGACTTTTTTTCTTTCTAAATTTGGAATTGTTTTTAGTGTTTAAAAAAATAAGCAAATTTTGATTTTAGCATTTGATTTTCATCCCAATAAAATCTATAGTCACTAATTTTATTTCTTAATAATTATTTTGAGGTAGATAAATAATATTAATTTTAAGAATTTTAAAAAAATTTAGAGGTACGGCATTGCATGTTAACATGATATTAAATACAATTGTGAGTGTCATTAGAGATGATCACTTTACTATTTGGTAAACACAAAAATAATTAAAAATGATCATACAATACCATGGATTAAAAATAATGTTTTTAATTTTAGAGAGATGAAAAAAAATATTTTACAGGGACCAAAATAAAAGATAGTTCATTTTACATGGACTAAAAATTATATATAAACGATAAAAATATTATTTGTAAAACTTAGTATTTTATAATTTTTATTATGCCTTGATTTTAATATGAAAAAAATAGATAATAAAAAGTGTTTGTATGAATGTATAATTTTTGTAGTGGTTAAACTGTTAATTTTGTTTTTGGTATGTTAACAACTACAAAATAGAGCGAGTTAAAATATTTTATTTCACTAAAGTGGGTTAACTTACTTTGCTCATTTTGTTAATGGGGTGAGGTTGTTTGTGTTGGTTTTGACACTCAACTTTGACAAAAAAAAAATAATATAATAATACAATTGCTCCATGCATCTAGCATTTTATAAAATGTACTTAACAAGTTTTATAATTGTCAAAAATTCCTTTAAAATTTTTCAAAACATCCATTTTACATTTTTCAAAATGGTTGTTCTAAAACCAAGTATCCCAATCTAGAATGGATTGTTTTGGAATGGTTCTTGTGGAATACATACCATATTTTTGAATTGGTATTTTTGAATCAATTATAGTCGATTTGAAATGTAAAAGTGTATTTGGGATCACTTAATTTGGATGGTATTAGTGATCCGAAAATGTCAATTTGGATTATCCAATCAATAATGCATAAGCGTATTTTAAATTGGGTAGTCCACATTGATTGGTATTAGTGATCCGAAAAGGTAAATCAATGTTACTCAATCCAAAATGTAACTTATTCATATTAGTTGTGAGGAAGATGTGAGGTACAAAAATTCAATTCATGATTGACTAATTCAAATTATAATAATAAAGTTACACTATTTGTATTAGAATATCTAAATAAGAATAGGCGTTATTTTTTTTTAGAAAAACCAATCTAAATCAAGAATTTACATTTAGTATTAATCAATTCAAAATGAACCAAAACACACCAGGAAAAAAAACAATGATAAATTTATAAGGTGATTCAATGGCAAATGAGCAAATGCAAATGGGAGAAATGATGAAGGGGTGACAACAAAGACGATTTTGAAAGAGGTAAGCAAAAAGGATCTAAAGGGGGAAGTCAAATAGATTCATAGAGGCAAGCAAGAATGTGTCAAATGGGCCAAGCTAGGCCAACCCAGCCTAACCTATGTAGGTCGAATACTATTTTAAATTAGGCTAGCCTAACTTATATTTTTTTTAGACGGCCACTTTTAGGCCAAACCTAGCCTATGTTAAAGCATTGAGTCATTGAATCAAATTGGCCTAATTAAAAAAATACATTTAAAAAAGTTAAATATATTTTTACAATGAGAAAAAATTATAACATGATTAATTGATATTATATACTGTAAAAAAAACACCTAATAACTTGACATTATACAAATTTTCACAACCATTGCATTTACATTTATCCATCTCATAAACTATATCAGCCCTTTTATAATAATTTTTTTTATTTAAGGCTTGTGTTGTGGGGATTGAGAATTGTGAGCTAATATTTGGCTTGTTGCTTTATTGCTTGGTGTTACTTTATTGGTTATTGTTGTTACTTGTGAATGGACTAAGAATTATGCTAGCATGTTGCTTTATTACCCATTGTGGGAACTCTGAACTAAATGAGTAAACTTATTTAATTTTAAATATTGCAGTCATGAATGTATGACCTTTTGATAGCATGATAGATGATGATTTAGATAAAATTGAAACTTCACCTAACATGCACAAACGACCTATTATTGTTACTACTATTGGTAATAAAAGCAAGAGTAGGATTATAAATGACCTAGACCAAGATACTGAAAATGCTAAGAAAACTACTTCTATGGTGTGTTTGGATGAGAAATTTTACAAATTCAAGAAATTTTAAATTCTTGATATTTGAATTACTTTGATTTCAATTTCTATCATTCTTAAAATATTTTGTTTGGATAAGTCAATTCAAATTTTTCAAATTTTAAATTATTAGGTTGGATATGATAATTTGATTCTACCATGGTAAAATTGATTTTAAAAATATATTTATATGTTGAGAATTTTTAAATTAAATTTTATAAAAATAAATATTAGCTAATTTTTAAATATTTAATAATTTTATAAATTAATGTTAGATAATATTTAATTATTTTAAAAATATTTTTGAATATTCAATAATTAAAAACATGAAAAGATAAGAAATAAGATAAAATATATAAGTGAATAAGAAGAAGAAAAATATGAGGAATTTCAAATTCTTATTTTTTTGGGAGAATTTAAAATTTTACTATTTTAAGAAATTTCACAAATGCTTGAATTTCAAATTCTTTATAAATTCTCCATCCAAACAAGATATTTCACCCCCAAAAAATTTAAAACTCTTTAAATAAATGAATTATTCCATTTAAATTTTTCATGCAAACACACTACTGAGTATGAAAATTATATATAATTTATTTAAATTTAGTCGATAAAACACGCATGCTACTGATAGTTTTCTAAAATTACAATCTAAATAACCCCCTTAGATTCTTATTATCCGTGAATACATTTTCACGAGAACCATGGATAAATAGGATTATTAGAAAGCAATGTTTCTCAATAATATTAAATATAAATATTTTCAATCTCATGTTTTCGAAAAATTAAAATCTCATCGTGTATCAAACTTTCGTTATGAGAAATATCTTCGATAATCTATTATATACTATATGAAGAATATTAATTTTTTTAAAATTATTTATTATTTAATTTATTTAATTAAAATATTTTATTCATAATTGTTATTTTAAATAGAGACTCTTTTTTATCAATTGCACGTTATTTTCAATTCTAATCGATGCAATACGTATATTAAATTAAGTTTTATTTTAGTAATTTTTTATTTTTATTTTTTATTTGACAAATATATAAAAAGATGAAGTGCCTTAAATAATGAAAAATTATTAACTTAAACACACTAAAAAAAAAGCACAAAATATAATTTTTGTTTGCTGCTACAAAACTTTTTTATAAAGCCGAAAAGGATGAGTTTTATTTGGGTTTATTTATTCGACGTAAAGCCCAAAAGGGAGTGGGTCCCAGCCGGTTAGGAGGTTCTCAGCTTTCAGAAGGAAAAGGAGCAACATTTATTGAGGATTGGATGGGATTCGGTTTGACGATAATTATCGTAAAGAATATTAAAAAACGAAAGAAAGCAAGAGAGAGGTGGAAAAAAAAAAAGAAGAAAGGTGAGGAGGAAATCGAGGAAAAGGGAAGAGAAGAGATAGTAGGATTAGGATTTAGGAAGAAGGAATGAGTGCAACCGTGACTCTGACTCTAAACCTAAGCCGTTCTTCCGGTTACAGCAATACCATCGTGACTTCCTCCTATCTCTCTCCACATTATTATTCCTACAAGCACAAACCCAACCCTAATTTCAATGCCTTTTTTAGCTTCTCCCTCTCTCTGTCTCTGTCTCAGCACAGACGCCTCGCTTTCTGCAAGAAGGCCATACCCAAACCATTCCCCTCAAGACGGACGGTATCTCTCTCTCGCCCCATCTTTGAAAATCATTGCTTCAAAACTTGTTATTTTGAATTTTTGTGCAATTACTCAAAAACTACAATTCTCTTATGCATTATTTAGATTGATAATTTCTTATGACAAGCTGTTGTCTAGTGCTTGCTTCTGAAGTCTAGTCATGTATACTGGAATAATTAGGTCTAAGTAGGGTAGTATTACGATACTTTTCTTGCTTGTTATGCTCATGTCAGCTTGATCTTGCATCATCACCACTTCTTGTGGCTTGTGGGCAGTTGTTGTTCACTAATTTTTACTACCAGGGACTCTGTTTTTATGTACTGGTATAGTGGCTTTATGGGCATATGAATAGAGATCGAGATACATACAGTCCAGATTATGAATTGGGGAATGGCTTAGGCTTATTTGGTTCGGATGAAGAACTTGCAACACAAATTCCAACTCAGGCCCAATCAGTTGTTGAAGGATCAGGGTCGATTCGCATAACAGAGTTCAAGCCAGTTCCTGATGTTGATTATCTGCAGGTATATGTAACCATTCTGCTAATAATTGTAAAAAAAGTCATTTAAACTAATGTTTAAATTTTATCAACTGAAAAACTCGAATTTCTAGGTAATGGCTGCAATAGTCAAACTTCTTGAATGATTGGGTAATACACGATTGCAATAGTCAAACTTCTTCAATGTTTTACATGGTGGATAAAATTCCTCAAGGCTATCACACTGTCTTCACTTGGCTTCTTTTTGTAACAGCATATATCACTTTACTTGAATATTAATGGCACTTTTTTTCTTACTTTGACATTTCATTTTAAAACAACTGACAAATATTCGTAATCTTAAATTGTTTTTGCAACCTCCGTTGTCAGCTTGACATTAAGTTGTACAATATTTCGAACTGAGTTTTGTTTTTTTACAGGAATTATTAGCCATTCAACAGCAAGGGCCCAGAGCTATTGGCTTTTTTGGAACGCGGAACATGGGATTCATGCACCAGGAACTAATTGAGATTCTTAGCTATGCTATGGTTATAACTGTAAGATGCTGTTATTTTACTCAATAATATCTTATGTGCTCGTAGTACACAATATATGGTGATGCAGTAGTGCAGTACTAGTTATGATTTTTGCTAACGATTCCTATGGACGTGTCTCAACCTCCTTGTCCGTCTGTAGAAAAACCATATATATACATCTGGGGCATCTGGGACTAATGCTGCTGTTATCCGAGGTGCTTTAAGGGCAGAGAAACCAGAGTTGCTTACAGTTATATTACCTCAAAGTTTAAGCAAACAGCCTCCTGAGAGTCAAGAGCTATTGTCCAAAGTAAGGTTTAAGTTTTACGTGCTTTCTTAATGGTTTGAATATAAATGTTTTTCTTTTTAAAAAAAAGTTATTCATTTGCTTTGCATATTGTTATTTTAACTGTGGTAGGTTTTTTTGCTGAATATCTGCCCTTTCTGTCTCTCTATTTGATATTTGTTCATACTGTTACCAAAGAGATTCCTTTATTTCATCTCTTTTTTTTGTGCAAAACTAAGATATTATATTCTGTTAGAGAGCTATTTGCTGCTTAATTGCTCTGTCTGTTCTGATTTATATCATATGATAGCAAGTAGCATCCTCCGATTTAGCTATAATCCTGTACCAATAATTCTTCAGTTTTATCATTCAAATTCTGGGGCCTATCACTTGTATTTGATGTTCAGCCAACGGATGTTCCAAAAGAAGTGTCATCTTTTGTATGTCCAAGATATTGAGCAGCCCTGATGCATTGTTGTTGGGTGTCAACAGTTTGCTTCTTGTTCCTTTTTGTGTCTTTCTTTTTTGGTGAACTTTGTGTTTGTGTTTGTGTCTATAAGTGTGTGCATGTTTTATGCTTTTAAAGATACATTATCTTCTCCGTATTCTACACTTGTATTCATTTTATTGCTATTAAACAACAAATATAATACACGACAGTTTACAAGTTGTTATGTCATAAGTTAAATGTACCTTGTGAAATATCTTGAAAATTTTTGTACTTTTGTTACAGAAGGAGATTTAAACATCATTTTAAAGTTTATTTTTTCAAGTAGCCATAATAGAAAAGGCCTGTTTTATGTGGCTATTAGAATTTTTACTGGATTTATGGTCTGACTGGGTGGACTGGTCCAGATATTAAGTTGGTGGTTATGATTTCAATGATATTGTTGAATATGCAGGTGAAAAATGTCATAGAAAAGCCCCATAATGATCATCTACCTCTAATAGAAGCCAGCAGGTTTGTACAAGCTTTTTGTTGTCTTTTGTTTTGGTCTTTGGGGTAAAGATACTTGCTTAGACTTTCTACTCACAAACCTCTCGGACTCGCATACAAGCCAATGGATGACACCTTGGTCGTGTTATAATTTTATTTTAATATTTCAGGACTCTGTAGATTATCAGGGGCTTGTGAGTTTAAAGTTTATACAAGTATCATTATTGTTCATTTTACTTGAAATTTTTTTAAGAAGGAATCATCTAATTAGGAAATACCATCTTCAAATGGGTGTTACGTTGTAAATTGGTATTGTACTAAGTTGGGGATTTGATGACATTGGACATATCACCGAATGCTATTGTTAGTGTAACAATGCCCTTTTACAAAGAATAAGCTCTTTTAAAGTAACCAAGTGAGTAATGTGAAAAAGTGAATACAACTTAAAGTATTGGATGCTGATTTGAAGTAAGGTGTCACGTAATCTGAACTAATTTTGGATCAACGGTGGATACAACTTTATTTTTGTACTTTATACATTTGTTCACTTTAGAACAGTCAAATCTGTCTAGAGACCATCCATATCAATGTTGCTTGGAAAACTTTTGTTTTGTTTTTTTTTTTTATATCAAAATGTAAGATTATTTTTGTCACTTTTTGAGCCAATTTAAGCAAGTTTATCTACAAACTCTAGAGAAGAAAAAATGAATCAAAGAGTTAAACTAAATCAATTTTCTTGTAGAGTTAATTTATGCACTTGTACTTTTAACTCTTTCATCTAGTTTTCTCATAAATACCTATTGTATTACAATTTTTTTTTTAAAATGTATAAGTTAAGAATTAAATATATAATCCAATTGCTAATGAAAAATTTTCCTTGGATTATGGGTCTATTCTCATCCCTACAGGTGACAGAGCTTTAATATTAAGGTAAAAAATAATGAAATTAATCTACCATTAATTTTGTATGGAATAATTTTATTTCAAAATCTATTGAATTGTTCTTGTATAGATTGAGAGGATGTTTGTTTAAACTTTTTTTTTTCTTATAAAAACATTTTTTTAAAAATAAAATAAGTACGTTTTTACTTTTTGATATATTTGTATAAACTTTTTTTTTTAAAGTAATTTTCTGTTCTTTTTTAGAAGCAACTCCTATCTATTTTTTAAAAGAATTTTTTTTTAAAAGCACTTGTTTAGAATAATCATTTTTATTTTTAAAATAACCAGTTTCCTTAGCTAATCCACACCTTGGTCATTCTCTAGTGCAAGTTCAGGTTGTTGGTTAATTTGAGTTGGATGAATAAGCTTGGTATTGATTGCAAATGTAGGCAGCTTGTAATTTTTATTATTATTATTATTTTCTTTTTGAGAATGCTTTGTTATTGTCGCAGTAACATTCGGGCACTATTTTCCTTTCCGTTTCAAATGCAGGCTATGTAATATGGATATCATTTCGCACGTGCAGCAAGTCATTTGCTTTGCTTTCCATGATAGTAGGTTGCTCATGGAAACATGTCAAGAAGCCAAAAATTTGCGGAAGATTGTGACTCTTTTCTACCTCGACTGACGATTTTTATCTATGTCTATACGTTACTTCTCTGCACAAGGGGGCTGGGAGAGAGTAGTGCTTATTTTTGGTTTGTAATTATTCAATGATATTGCTATAATTTGCTTCTTTAAGTTCACCATAAAAGTATTTTAATTACATTCCTAGAGAGAGGTGGTTGACATTAATTTTTTTAAAAAAGAGAAGAAAATGTTTCCATAAGAAGTCTATTAGGTAATTAGAGATGAGAATAAACTAGGTTCAATTAAATTTTGAATATATCGGTCAAACTTGTTTTATAAAATTAAAGCTCAAATTTGATATATTTTAACTATTATATTTTTTTTTAATGATTTGGTTCTTTTAGAAGTCCAGTATGGTTTAGTAGTCTATTTAAAAATTTATTTTATATCAATAAAGTTAAATAGATCAATAAACTTGATTTTAAATAAGTTAACAAATCTATTTTCAAATACATGTATAAGTCTTTTTTTAATTTGTGTGATAAAAAAAAATATTATAATATTATTAAAATTTAAATTTTGAAATAAAAATAAAAAATTGACGTAAGAGAGACAATTCATCTATACTTATGTGTACTAACATTTAATATATACTTATGTATACTAACATTTAATGTATATGTTTGTGTGTGGATCCCTCTTTATGAGATTATAGTAATCCTTTATATATACAAATATCAAGATAATATACACAATTGTAAGGATTGGAAACATAAAATCCTATATTGTTAATCAAACAAACTCTAAAAACCAAAGTTGTCTTAGAATATCTCCACACAAAACTTAATCCAATTCTAGGCTCACCATTCAACCTAATCATGACTTGCTCCTCTGTTTATGAAATTTACTAAAGGTTGCACTTAGAAGAATTTGAGGAATAAAGATGAATTGATTTGCATATTAAAGTCCATGGAGATATTTTATTTATTGATATTTTTTTCATGTTGATGAAGACTTAAGTTCAAGTTGAAAATAACATGACAAGTCCAAATTTATATATAAAAAAGAAGCATTAATAGGTTAGAATTTAGTAAGTTTTTGGGTTAAATAGATGTTTAAGTCCATTTTCTTAACTATCAAATACAATTTTTATATTTCTTTTTATTTAAATAATTCATGTCTTATTATATTGTTTAGGTTAGTTTTTAGTGCTTTTGGCCTTCTTAAACATAATGATAGTTAGTGGGATAGTGGGAAGTCAATTCTCGTGAAAATTTATATCTTGTTGTCTATCTAAGTTTATAAATAAAAAAACTTTTGTAAGATATTAGTAGAGAAATATGAATTAATCAGACTTTTGGATATTTTTCCAATTGAAAAGATTTTTCTCTCATTTGATTCTTAGGAACTACTTTAGATTCCTATCTTTTGAATTTTCTAATTCAAAATAATGAATCTTTCTTAACTTATCAATCTTTAGGAATTGTGGCATTGTTCTTCCATTTCTTATCTCAATCCATATTTTTCCTTTTTAATTCCTTTATTTTCTTATAAACTGTTTAAAGAAATTCATGATTTTGGATATTAGAATTTTGATCCTTGGATTTATATCAAATACAAAGTAAGATCATTCCAATCCAACACATGAAAAACAAAAACAACATACAAGGGAAAGTAACTTGACTCTACTGAACCTACAATGTAGTAGACCTTTCTTCTCTAGGTCATATAAAAACTCAGGTGGGCTTAACGACCATAAAGAATAGAGAATTGGTTTCTCATATATCATCATTTAAACTAAAAAGATCTAGTACTATTGTCAAGAGTAGAACAATTTGGGTGTTAGTCAACCACGACAATGGTGTGCATTAACCAAGGCCCAAATGAGATTACCTCATTGTCTACCTTCTAAATAGTGCATACCTTTCAAGCACTTGGTTAAGGGTTTTGGCCTCCAACTTTGTGTCTTACTCTATTAGGTTGCTTCTAACAAGTATGATTCGACCTTGTCCCCATATTGTATTTAACTTAAGAACATAGAGGAGACAACTTTTCAAAAATAACTTTCCACCTTAGGAGCCAACTCTCTAATTGAAGGGTTTTCATCATTGGGTTCTTAGAGCGTCGCAACTTAGATCCTCACAATGAGATCTTTCAACTCAACACAACTCACTCTCTTCTAGTTTCTAAGTTCAACTCACAACACATAAATCATACAACATGCATTATCAACTCAAACTATCAACTATGTGTTTCACAACTTACAACATCTACCTAGACAACACAAGTCAACATTACTTAATACACCTTAACTCATCATCATTAACATCATATAACATCATTCTACTCACATATTTCTTCCACTAACTCACAATATTTCCAACTCTTTAATATAAACAACATAACATAAAACATCCTCATATTCCCATATCATCTTCAAATTCATCATCAATAATCAACCTTTAATATTTTACATCATATGTTAACCACTTACATCATAAGGGTAACCAAACAACTTGAATAATAGAAACAAAATAAAGATTTTTCATAAACAAGACTTTCATTAAGTGCCCAACCTTCACCAGGGTTTCTAGCTGAGCGAGCTCTAGCTTGCTTAACGAGAAAAACTTTGTCTTTTTTCTCATTGGGCAAGTGGAACCCTTTATTGGTTTCCTCGCCAAGCGACAACAACTCGATGAACAAGTGAGACTCTTTGCAAGTCTCTTTGCTAGGCGAGCTCCCAATGTGTGTCACCTACAAAACCATTCTCTCACCTGGCTACGATACTATCGTCTGGCGCCACTTCACCATGTTTATTACAACAACTTATTTTTGTTGAGCAACTTATGGTTTCACTCAGCTAAAATGAGATTTCGAGTTTTGAGCCTTTGTTTTCAAAGGCTCACTCAATGAGCTACACCACTTGTTAGGCAAGAATGCTATGTCTCCCCTTGAAGCATGTATTCTTTCATATTTTCCAACCACCAATCCACCATAAACCACTTCCACCATTTGCAATTAGGTAAAATATCTCATAATCACCTAAACCACACAAAATTCATCTTATGCACTACATGCAACGACAACCTCTCAAGAATTCATCAAAGCTTTGGGTTTGGTTCAACAAACCCAAACCCCACCTTTACCAACAACTTGAATCCGCTCAAAATAAGCACAAATGTAAAACCATTGGGCTAATCAATGTACACATTTCAACCTAAACAAAACAGATTAGACAATGAACAAGCTTCTTTTACCTCAATTGTTTTTAGAAATAGAGAAATCAAGGAAGAAGAGGAAGAATCACGAAACCATCTAAAGTCAACTTTTTTCTAAGATTTTGAGTTGTAAAGTTTGAATCTTAGCTTATATCACCTTAACTTGACCACAGGGGAAGACTAGGAAGCTCTTGGTGGAATCAAAAGAAGAAGAATTTTTTTTTAGCTCTGTAGCCTATCGCTTTAGCTTCTCTCTAAAACTTAAGAAAAATGAACTTTTGAAGTTAATGTTTTCCTAAAATCTTATATACCTTCTTTCATTCTTGGTCAACTTTAACCTCAAGTCAAACAATTCTAAACAACTTAGCTTTCATGTTTCTTAACTTTTAAAGCTTTATAAACAACTAAAAGAATAACATACCAACTTAAAGCATCATAAAACGCCACACTCATCTCTCAACATGCAAACATGCATAAAGTACAAACATACAATGTTATAGAAGGCGTCGATTATTAACAAAAATAATAATAATAAAAACACATAATTTCGTAAAAGACATATATTAACATAATCACCCTTGTAAAGATAAAAAAAAAAAGTAAATATATCAAATGAGTTGAAAAAAACTAAATATAAAATAAGGTAGAGATAACATAATGAATCATAACTTGAGCATGAAATAATAAAGAAACTAAAGAAAGAATAAATAAAATTACACTAACATTCTTTTTACATTAGACCAATATATCTTATAGATCACATTAAGAAAAAAATAAACCTTTTTATTGTTTCATGTTCATGTATTACCATTATTTTCGCATCCTTGTTATATTTTATGTTTTGTTTTTGTTGTTCTCCATTTGTTATATTTTCTTCACAGCTTGAAGGTAATTGCAATTTTATTGGATGACCTATATGATGTTTTATGTTTGAGGTTTAATTTTTTTAGTTGATCACTAAAAATTAAGATTTTTATTTTGTATATGTACAAATTAAAGCTTAAACTATATAATTTTAGCTTAAATAAAGTTTAGTCCTTTAAAACAAGATCACTTCAAATTTAGTCCTCATAATTCTAATTATTTCATTTTAATCCTCTTAATTTTAATTATGTTCATTTTGATTCTTCTAACTTTTAGTTGCTTTGATTTTAGTCTTTTTCTATTTTGATTCTTATACTTTTATTGTTTTTCTATTTTGATCCTTATATATATATATATATATATATATATATTTGACTTTTTTTCTCAATAGATTTAACAATCAATTTTATGATAAGAAAGAAAATAAAATAAAATAAATTTATAGAATGGAAAAAAAAAAATTAAAAGGACTAAAATCAAAAACTCTATTTTTGAAAGGTCTATTTTCTTATTAATTTATTTATTATATTGTTGAATACTTGACATGAATAATACTTAATCATGTTTTTATTTTAAAAATATTGATTATATGTTGTTACGAATATATTATATAATAATATAAAATTTAATATAATTTGTGGCAAGTTATCGATATTTTATTATAGTTGTAAAAATTGGATTGAACTGGTTGGTTAGATCGAGAATCGATCTGGAATCGATCTAGAATTGATTTAGTTCATCCAAAAAATTGTTATGCAACAAAATAATAAAAAATTGACCGAATTTGTCAAAATTGATAAAAATGGGTAAAATCAATTTGAAGTGGTCCAATTAATTTTTTTTTACTTTTTAAAATTTGGTTTAAAATATTTTTAATTAAAATAATATTTAATAAAAAAATTTGTAACTTAAATAATTTATTTTTAATATTTCTCTTATAAATATAATTTAATAATTTATGTTCATTTATAATTTATCTTTATTTTTATAACTTATATTATATTAATTTGATACATTTTATTGTACATATAAACTTGTTATTAGGGAATATTGTTATATATTATTAAAGTTTAAACTTAAATATCATATTATATAGAATTTAAAATTTTACATATATATTAAATATTAAGAATCTATAAATAATATTTTATTTTAATATTTAATATTATAAAATTATAACATTATATTATTTAATATTATTATATTAATAATTATTATTTTGTTAATATCAATTTAATAATGATTAAATCATTAAATTTTAAACTAATATTTAAATTAATTTAATGATTGATCTTATTTTAAAAATATTATATTTTACATAATAATTTACATTGCAAAATTTGCAATATATATATTATTGTAAAATTTTTAATAACATCGTAATTTAAAACTTGTACTCAATTGTCAATAATATTACGCAATCTAACAAATTTTACAAATCTTAAAAATAATTAGTGCTTATCTACTTTAAAAGTAAATATTATAGATAAAAAATAGTAATTTTAGATTTGAAAGAATAAAAAAAAATAGTTTATAAAAACTAAAACAAAAATATTTCATTTTTCATAAACTAAAAAAAAAATCAGTTTTAAAGAAACAGTGAAAGATATAGAAATTTTGTTATAGGAAAAAGAAAATCAAACTGTTTATTTTACATTTACTGCAAACATATTTAAGTTAGATTTTTTTTCCTACTCGATTTCCGTTCCCTGTGACTCGGGCTTTCGATAAATGAGCTGTGGTTGATCCCGTGTACGCATAGAACATTTGTGACAGACGAGATGGCGCAGGCAAGCAAGGAACCATGCAAGAAAGAGGCTTGTGACATTCAAGCTTGCCTCTCCAAGAACAACTTTATTCCACAAAAGTATGCGCCTTTAACCGATACTCCTTTTGTAAAATTTTGTCTCCAACATGAATATCTGATTGTGTTTTCTCCTTATAAGACTGTTTCAATTTGAATTTTCGCTTGATTCTCAAGTCGACGATGTCGAAACCATTAGGATTCTCATTCTACCAAGATGCAACTGAGTAACCAAACTTCCATCCGTCCATTCCTTGAATCCTCCCCTCTCTGATTGATAAATCCTATCACAACATTGATGAGTTTCATCACTGTTTCATTATCTGTGATGGTTCACTCTTGCTGAAATTTCATCTTAAAGTTTCCTTTGTGTTATCCAAACAACTCATCAATTGAAGCGTAAATGTTAACTAGGAGTTGTACAAAATTACGGGTGTATGCTTCATTAGTTTGCCTTGAAGAACATTTATATCATGATCCCACTGTAACCACAAGTTGTAATGACCGCCCCTCCGATAACACTGATTGTGACAGATTATTTAAAAAATTAAAAAACTGAAGATAAAATGACAATCTGGTTGTGACAGATTATTGAAAAAAAATTAAAGATAAAATGACACTTTTTCTTGGTCTCATTTTGTTAACATCTCAGTTGTAATTGTAAGTATTGTCTCCTGTTTGCTAGTTGTAGCCAGACATGTTGGAAATGATTGCTTTAGCAGTATATTGTTTAGATCCTTTACAAATGTAATGTGTGTGTGTGTATATATATATATATATATGTATTAAATTGTTAATTTCAGATTTGAGATTATAACTAAGAATGCAGTCTGACAGTGTTGATTTTCAGGAAGTACATGAAAAAGGAATTCATACATTAGATGCCAATATATTTAAATGAATTCCTTACATTGCTTGATTATATGGTCTTAGTTCAAAGTTTTTGGTGTCTTCCACATAAGGTTTCAGCTGCTCAGGCTGATTTTCTCTTTCTGTATTCATGTGTGACAACTGCTTAGGTCTAACATTTGTCAATTTTACCCACTTGATGGTTTTCAATTCATGTAATCAGTATCAAGTGGAAGTCCCATTTTATGTGATTCAGTTCCATTGCCTATGTTTGGACAGTGCACATTGCAGTAACAAAGTAACAACATCAACTTCACACAACATATAATATCCTTCGTTAATGAGTTCTAAATGGCTGACTTGGATGGGACTTTACACCTTGGTGGAATACTAGACTTGTATCTTGATTGGAAGCCAAGGTTCAGTCATGTAGGGAAATGCATGTTAGACTGTGTAAGTGGAATCTTGCAATGCAAACATCTGTTAGTGTCCTGCTAGAACAGCTTTCAGTTAGCAGTTAGTTTGGCTTCTTTAAGAAAGTGCCTCAGCCCACATATATCTGTATCTACTTTCAGTTGACATCATCATATTCATGATTACAATTTCAATTTCAGAAACAGATTCTCTCTTTCTCTATAAATTTGCTTTCATTTTCTCGCATCATGAATCTCATTATAATATCATTGGTTAATTTTTTAATCTGGACCTGATGGTCCAACAATATTTCTCTCTACACATGATTCCATTGAAGTCATTGTTAATCCAGATTATTCAGATTGAGAATGACAAGACTCTATGCTTGCAACTTGGATCTTGTCCTCCATTTTAGATTCTCTTCTTCCACCCTTGATAGGATGTGAGCATTGTTGGCAAATTTGGAACAGATGCACAACTTTCATTCATATACTCGAGCCAAATCATGTCAACTTCCGTTTGAGCTACATAGTTGCAAAAAAAGAATGAGCTCAATGTCTTAGCATCTCAACAGAGTCAAACTATTGTTGATTTGTTGATGTTTGACAGAGAACTTGTTCCTCTTCAGGATAAGCTTGAGGTGCTTCTTGAAAGATTGCTGGAAAAATACAGCGTATTCATCTGAACAAAGCTCAGGATATTTGATTCCATGTCCTTCTTTGAGCTTGAATCACAAATTCTTGCTCAAGAAACCAAAATTGAGAAAATTAAGACAACAATTCTCTTTAATACTCTCTGTCAATATTGGACAATCAAGTCCACAGAACTTCTAGAACCATATTACGTTAGTGCCTGACTTAGTTCCTCCTCCATCACAAAGTCCACATCAGGCCATTGATCAATACTAGCTAAAGGGGTTTCAGCAAAGTCAAGCTTAATGACAACAATATGTGGTGGTCACAGAGGCACCTTTTGAAGCCAAGGTGGTGGTTTAGTTGACATTGTTAAAATATGTTGAGATACTATCTTTATTTTATCCTGATTCTATTTCCTTGTTTATTTTATTTTAGTTTCTAGTCAACTTGCTTATAGACATTAAATTAAGTGGGTGGCTATGGAACAATAAAACAAAATTCAATGTTAATGAGTGAAGAGGCAAAATTTGACCAATACCAGTGGTGTTTAGTTTGAACCCATTTGTAAGAGTGCTATACTATGGGGTTTGGGATGATGATAAGCTGGAGAAAAAAGAGACATTACTAGTTAGGTGATGAAAGGCACCAAAACTCAAAACCGATGGTCCAGTAGCTGTTGAATGAGAGTAAAACTGTAGAATTAAGAATTATTGGTATGAGCAATAGTGGAGGATGAGTGATACTGAACCAAGATAACAGGAAAAGAAGAAAGAACAAAAGTTATTTATTGATGATGGATAAAAACAGAAAGAACAATGTTGCCTTGGCAGTTTGAGGAATCAGAAACCTCCTAAACCATACTCAATCATTTTCCCCCCTTCTCTCATTATTTTCTCCTATTTATAGTTTCTGCCTCCCTTCTCTAATCCATATTATTCTATGTGGAGAAATATTTGCAAACAAGCTGGGTTAGCAGTAAAAAATTCCACAAGGGATGAAGTACAAGCACACTCTTCTCCTAGTCTATCTAAATGATATGATCATTGTAGGTGATGTGGAGATAAAAAAAATGTCTCTAAAGGAGAAATTGGCAACCCAATTTGAAATCAAGGAGTTGGGAAAGCTACAATACTTCCTTGGGGTAGAGGTTGTGTATTCCAGAAAAGGTATTTTTATCTCCCAAAGGAATTATGTACTCAGTCTTTCAAAGAAACAAGGAAATTGTGATGTAAGACATCCAAACCCTCCGAAGTACCAATTATACAAAACTAAATGAAGAAAGTCCAATAGTAGAAATGTGTTTATACCAGAGATTAATGGGGAAAGCTGACCTATTTATCACACAATAGACCAAACTCTTTTTTGGTATAATTAAGAGCTATAACCCTCTCTCACTGAGTCGACCTATTTTAGGTGTAAAGTGGTATCTTCATTTACCATTCTATGCCCAACATGAGGATTAAACATCAATCCTTGATGAAGGAAAACTAGTGTGGAATCACTTGTACTAAAAACCTTCTGTCACTTGACCAAACTTTGTTTATGTTATTAGTGTGGTATCAAACATGTATCAAATGCACCCTTAGTCTGGTGTAGAAGATAATTTTAAGCTATGACACATGGTATATGTGAAGGGGTTATAGATGAAGATTATTCTAGATGACCTCAAAGGAAAATATGAAAGACCTTTAAGGTTGTTTTGTGATAACTATTCAACTATTAGTATTGCTCATACCCAATCTAACATGACACGAGAAATCACATAGAAATTGATAGTCACTTCTTCAAAGAAAAATTGGACAGCAGATAGATTTATACTACAAATGTATATATGTGGAAAAATAAAATAAAATACATAAAATTAGAAACATATTCATAGTTATTGATTAAAGAGTTTGTTCCTGGTGTCTTTGTGGATGAAAAGTTTGAGGTTTTGGTCTTTTTTTTGCAAAGATTGAAGACAAAACTGTTCCCCCTTCCACACTCCAAAATCCTGTAGTGCCTACAATGGATGCAATAACAATTTTGGCCACAAAATGGTCCATTCCAGCCAGGCGTAATGTGATGAACAACATTAGAGGAGTGGCAAGGCACACAGCACCTCGATGCCACTATTGCACATGATTGACTACTCTGTTGCAATGCATTTCAAACTATAATTTAAAACATTGGACATGTCCTTTTGAAAAAAATATTGAGTTTAATTTTAATTTACCATTAAAATTATGATCATTATCTAAGCTTGTGTTATTGCATCATGAAAATAATGACTTCACAGGTAGTTGTTGGAGATCACACATCGATTAGTGAATGATCATTCTAGTGTATATAAGTTGGGATCAGTCTATACCTTACAAACCAATTTTATAAGGTTAAGTTAAGCTCTAATCCATTTTTTTAACATGATATCATAGCCTATCCTAGCAAGTGTTGAGCTTATCAGGTCATCGGCTATTATATTGTTAGTTTGTTACTATCTGTAAATGTCTAGTCCTACAAACTTCACACTTGAGAAGTTCAGTCCTTGGTATGAGTGGAGTGTGTTATACATTTCATATTGACTAGTGACATGGCCAATTTGTGAGGAGCAATCCTCATCTTACAAATCGATTTTGTAAATTTGAGTTAAACCCGTAATCCACTTTTTAAGAGTAGTCATACTCTTTAAGACTTTTAGTGATGTTACAACACAAGTTGGATCAAGATTAAACATTTATTTTCTTATTGAGTTGATTTATGGAAGGCTTGAAAATCATAAGTTCCATTTCCTATGCATCAATTTATCTTTTTTGGTATTTATCTCAACTTGCAAGTGGTTGAACATTTATTTTTTTATCATTTGGAGAGAAATAGACTTCTGAATGATTGATTTGAGATGTAGTTTTAGTTATATATCGTACATTGTGTGCTAGTATTAACACAATCGTCCAAATGATACATTTATGTGTTAGATACATACTACTATGTCAAATAGGACTACTAACATAACAAGATTCCTAACTGATGATGCAAAACGGTTTTATATCTTCTAAATGGCTGGGTGGAACTTGTAACCAATTTAAAAAAATGGATTTGTAAATCTACTGAGGGGTATAGAAACTTCACTTAATTATTTTGCTTAGTCTTGTTTTTTTATTTTTATTTTGGAACTGAGGGTCCCATTAATATGCTTATGATTGGGTTTTTTTTTTTCTGTGGACCATGACAAAGCAAAGTAGTGGAGTTTGTAACAAGAATGGGTAGTGTGTTTTCATTTCTAACACGTTGTTATGTTCTGCAATCTTATTGCATGTAATTTGTTAAATATTCAGTAGTTGGAATGGGCATCGTGTTTTCATTTCTATGATGTTCTTATGTTCCGCAATCTTATTGCATATAGTATCTTTCTTAAATACTGAGTAGTTGGTAGATGTTTCTTTTAACGGCATTCATACTGCCAGGTGCCTTAAAGTCATCGAACTGCTGGACTCCTGTTGTGCAAAATGTGATTATAATTCAACTCATTGTGCTTCCCTCTCCGGACTTTTGAAGCAAAAGCCTAAGAGATGAGTTATATTTTCAGATTAATGACGACTAGGTGGCATATTCTTGGTCTGTCTATATAGAGTACGATTCTCGACCAATTCATTGGAAGACTTTTCGAGGGGTGTGAAATGAACAAATGAATAGCTAGTATTTTTTTTTTTTTTGTTTCTTTCAAATTTGAATTATGAACTGCGTGTCCAATGTCCGGTGCACCGCGGTAGTAATGGTCTCTTCCCACGTGCATGGTCATAGAATCAAAAAATTATAGAATTTAGATATATTTTGACTGTAACTGATAATCAATAATAAGAGTGAAAACAAATATTTATAGTTTGTTGCAATGTTTTAAAGACCGGATCGGTTAAACTGGAAACCGGTGGTCCAGCCAATCTGAATTTTAAGTTATATCGGTTATGCATTCGACCCGTTTCAAACAGGATTGAACCGGTCAATTTTTCGGTTAGATCAGTGAATCGGTGGGTTAAACCGATTCAATTACAATTTTTTTATTATTTTTTTAATAGACCACAAATCAAAAAAATAATAAGAATTGAATCTATTAATGGAAGAGCAAAGAGTCTTATTAAACATAAGAATAATGACTTGTTCTAATGTATTTGTTTGTAATATATGTAACTTAAATAATTTTTATAGTATATTATTAATTTTAAATTATATATTTAATAAAATAATATCTATGTAGATATTACATATATTATTTTGTGATATTAATTGCAAGCATATTATATATGTACATAATACATATTATTTATATTTTTAATTTGTATTAATATACAGTTTAACATGTAATTTTTTTATGTATTTTTTATACAAAATAAAAATAAAGATAATTTTAAATAAGATGAAAATTAAAATTTAAAATAGGATATGAATTTATTGAAATTTATAAGCATAAAATATATTTATCATGAATATTTTTTTTTTAAAATTAATAAAAATTAAGTTATGTGGTTCAATTAGTGATTCATTAGTTTAATCTTTGACTCACTGATTCAGTATTTTAACCAGTTTAATGATCGGTCTGATTTTTAAAACTATGATTTGTTAATCCAATGTTTACTTTTTTGTTGTAGTAACAATTACTAAATTCTAAAGCTGGCAAAATGGGCTAAGTTTGTTGGGCTAGTTCGAAACTGCCTATAAAGTACATAGGATTTCGGGTTTAAATTCAAGTCCTTATATGTGGGCTTTTTTAAGCCGGAATTGATAAATTTCGTGTCATATAAACGATTTGGGAGTGGGGTTAGCTCGGTAAGATCATGAACTATCCACTTCCTTATTAGATTAGATTTTGTTGAGTGACCAAGAAAAGTTTAATAATTAAGAGACAAAGGCTAAATTAAATTATAACTTTTACAAAATTTTGTCCAAATAATTAAATATTATATATAGAGAGATATTTTTTACTACAAGTTTTATAAAATGATAGATAAGATTAATATATATATATATATATATATATATAAGTGTTTTTTATATTTATAAATAATTATAACAATTCGCTTAATAATTTTTAATATTTTCCTTAAATGTAATAATATAATAAATAATAAATTGATTATTTATATATTATTTATTATATTAAAATAAACATGTCAATAAAAACAATTATCTAGCCTGATTACAGGGAAAAACCAAAAAAAAATAACAAAAAATAATAATTAAAAATGTTAGGCCAATTCAAAAAGTTTGCAATTTGTATTAGAATAAAACTTAAGGAACTAAAATCATATAATTATTGTACTTTTTTTTTTCTTTTTTGCAAAATACAATTGTCGCATTTAAAGGATCAAAAGTGCATTTAAGCTAATTAAAGTTAACTTTTATATTAAAAGTATATATATTAAATGTGAATTTTATAAATTTAACTATTAGATTGATTACTAATGAAAATTACAATTCTCAGTAGGCAAAAATACATTTTTCATCCCTTATATTATTTATTTGTGTTAATTTAGTTCCACTTTAATTAATTGAATTAATTTAATCTCACATCTTTAAGATGTATTTCAATATTTGATTTTTCGTGTCTTCCGTTTAAATACTTAGAACAACTCCAATGGGAGTTGCTTGTCCCATGAAGCAACTTAAGCTCCGGTATTTTGTCATTAGAAGACTCTGACGTGGCAACATGAGTTGCTTGAAGAAGAGAGAGAGTTGTTTCATCGAGTAACCGTTCCTTACCAGATTTCAAGCAGATCTTATTGAACATATTTGAGAACGTTTCGAAAATAATAATGATGAAAATTAATTTCGTATAATGTCTATGTATTTACTATTACTTTATTTTATTTTTTAATATCTAATTATTGTGTATTTTTCTCATAAGTTATTTTTTTTTCATTGTAGTGCAATTATCCTTTCTAATAAAAATTTAAAATTGGTTCATAAATGATTAGATTTTTTTTTTAAAAGTTGAATTTCTTAAAGTTCCTTACCATTGGAGTAAATTTGTGTTTGAATTACTTAATACTAACATGACACACTAGGGAACACTTTTTTCATTTTTCAATGTATGAAACAACTCAAATGAGTTGCTTTTATTGGAGATACCCTTAACAGATTTGACATTTGTCATGCCATGTGTCATATGTGGCATGATGAGATGACACGTGTCATAATAATATGACATCTGTTATGTGATCATGTCCAGTCATGTGGCATGACAACATGATACATTGCATGACATGTGTCATATCTGTTAAGTATTTAAATAGAAAAAATAAAAAACTAAATATTAAAATATATTTTAAAAATATGAGATCAAATTAATTCAATTAATTTAAATGAGGCTAAATTGAATCTAATAAATAATATAAGAAAAAAAAATATATAATTTTGCCATTCTCGGTATTAGAAAAGATGAGCGCTCTGCTGCCTTTGAGCGCGACAACCAAATAGCGCATGACAGAGAAGTGAAAGAAAAGCGCAAAGTTTGATCTGCAAAAGCCACGTTAAAGATGGCGCCGAAAAAGAACAAGCAGAGGGCAAAGGCGCAATCAGGTCCGAAGCTTCAGATTTCGGCGGAAAATGAGAACCGCCTCCGCCGGCTCTTGCTCAGCTCGGCCCGGCCTACCCCTGCGAATGTGACTTCGACGGACGATACCCAAACCAAAGCTCAGAAGGCAAAGAAGCTCAAAGCCGTTTACGAGAAGCTCTCTTGCGAAGGTTTCTCTAATCATCAAATCGAACTCGCTCTCTCTGCTCTCAGGGTACAGTGCTAACATTTCAGTCCACCCAGCTAGAGGTTTGCAATTTGTTTTGTTTTGTTTTTTTATAAAATTTTTCGGGGATATTTAAATTCGTTCTCTGTTTCATTGTAATTTGTAGGAAGGTGCTACGTTTGAATCAGCTCTTGATTGGTTATGCTTGAATTTGCCGGGGAATGAACTTCCGCTCAAGTTTTCTACTGGAACATCTCATTATAACCAAGGTGTATTTGTGCTCCCCTTCATTTTATAATAATGTTGAGTTCATGAACTGTATGGATATTTGGTGATTGATCATATAAATATGATGCTTGTTAGGGGGTTCTGTTGGTGTTATATCAAATCAACCGGACAATTCAACTCCGTCAGTGGATCCATCTATTACAGCCAAGGAAGAAGCTCTAGAATCTCCAGTTTTAATCAAGAGACAGTTGAGTGATGATACTTTAGATTCTTGTCTCCCATCTCAAGCAGATTGGATCCGGCAATATGTGGAGCAACAGGAAAAGGTAATTTAAGTGCAGGCATCATTGCATATGAATGAATGCTTCAGATAGGTAGTGCCTGAATGTATTAGGTTGCTCGTACAATTGAAATAGGGTTAATCATGAAAAATATTTTATCCCCAGTGTCTACAGATTGTGAGTATTCTCTACATTCACACGTGTCAAGTGTTTGCTTCTAACTTGTTTGTCTTTTGGTTCAAAGGGAGAGCCTTAATTGTGTGGTATTTACAGGATGAATATGAGACTTGGGAAGATGACATTTTTGACCTAAGTAGTGCCACAAAGAAGGTATTTCTATTTTTCTTGAAGATTAATATTAAATAACTATTTGGATGTTCATTCGACCTCAACTCATCTCTGTACCAAAATTAAACCCTCATCTCATCTCCATTATTTTAGTACTCCTTTCATTTTTTTTTTCATTGTCTTTAAGGTTATGCACAAGAATTAAGACAATGATTGATATTTTAGTTTTTCAAAGTATTTATTACATATTTTCCTGTTATACCCTTTAGGTGGTTGGAGAAAAAATAGGTATATTAAAAAATGAATAGACACATTGTTCAGTAAAAATACATTAATTATTAAGGGTAAAAATGAAAAAGAAAATTAATAAGTCATTGATTTTAGAAAAGTGACAATGAAAAAAAAATAACAAAATCTGACAAAACGTCTATGAAAAAAACGGAGGGAGTACTATTTATAAGAAAATATTGGGTGCAACTTTTTTGCTCTTATTTATAAGAAAAATAGACCCATTTTTTAGATGTGTTAATTTGTAAGTTCCTTTTATACCCTTATTTTATTGTGGAGTCTATCTTAAGGAGGCACTCACTCATTCCTTGTTAAAGATATTGTGGATATATTACAGATATTGTGGATACAGATATTATCTTCGCTATTAATTAGGGATATGATTAGATTAGTTTCCATAATATTAGAGATTAATATCTTTATCATTTATTGTATTCTCTCTATAAATAAGATTGGTGTGTACAACAATACACACAATTCCTGAATCATAACATGGTATCTAGAGCTTAAGTTTTTTTTTTCTCTCTTCTTGCAAACGCTTCTGGTCGCCGCCGCCGACTACTGCCTCCGGTCGTCGCCTCCAACCGCTGCTGACATTCATCTTCCATGGCTACTCCTTTTGCAACTGCTGTTGATTCCTCTGCCCTTGTTTCTCACTCATCTGCTCGTGATAGTGGACGTAGCGAAGGTCGTGGAAAACAAAATTGTCGTTGCAATTATTGCCGCTTCTTTGGTCATATTGAAGTCAACTGTCGCAAAAAGGCCCGAGAACAGTCATCATCAATGAATGTTGCTCATGTGCCCAACACTACCTCCTCTGCCGGCTCTTCCTCTCTTACAGATGTCACTATTTCTGTCTCTGACTATCATGATCTCCTTTAGCTTCGAGCTACCCAACAATTTGCCTCGCCTGCCACTGCCGTGGCTCACTCGGGTAATCCTGTAGCTTTTATGTCTCAATCTCCTTCTCTTGGACCTTGGATTCTTGACTCAGGTGCATCTGATCATATGACTGGTAATCAATCTTTTTTCTCTAAATTGTCTTTCTTCGACTCCTTGCCACCTGTTACTCTTGCCGATGGTTCTCAAATTAAAGTTCATGGCATTGGTCAAATACACCCACTCCCTCACCTCTCTTTACACTCTGTTTTGTTTGTTCCTGGTTGTCCTTTTAATTTAATTTCCATTAGCAAACTCACCTCGCTGGCCACTCTGTTTTCTTCCTTCACTCCTCATCTGGACTTTGTATTTATTTAGTGGTGTATGTTGATGACATTGTCATTACTGGTGATGACTTCGATGGTATTTGCTGCCTCAAATCTCACCTTCAACGCGAATTTCAGATGAAAGACCTTGGTCCACTTAGATACTTTTTGGGGATCGAGGTTGCTCACTCCACTTCTGGTATTGCAATTTCCCAAAGAAAATATGGACATTCTCATCGAGACTGGTATGGTTGACTGCCGCCCTAGTGATACGTCAAGCTTCTTCTGGGTCAGGGGGAGCCATTGGATGACCCAAAATATATCGTAGACTTGTTGGCAGACTTAACTATCTTACTATCACTAGGCCAGACATCGCATTCCCAGTAAGTGTAGTAAGCCAATTCATTAACGATCCTTGTGATAATCATTGGACTGCAGCAATGCAGATCCTCAGATATATCAAGAAGGCACCGGGCCGAGGACTACTATACGAGGACAAAGGCAATTCCAAAATTGTCTGTTATTTAGATGCTGATTGGGCAGGATCACCATCAGCCAGAAGGTCTACCTCTGGCTATTGTGTTCTAATTGGAGGCACAACCTAATTTCATGGAGAAGCAAGAAGCAAACTACAGTTGCTAGATCCGCTGCGGAAGCTGAATATCGTGCTATGTCAACAGTTGCAAGTGAAATTACATGGCTACAACAACTTCTCAAGAAACTTCAAATTGGAGACACTCAGGGAACTAAACTCATCTATGATAATGAAGTTACTATCTACATTGCCTCCAATCCAATCTTCCATGAGCGGACTAAACACATAGAAATAGATTGTCATTTTGTAAGAGAGAAAGTGCTCTCAGGAGAGATCACCACTGAATTTGTCCACTCCAGTGACCAGTTAGCAGACGTGTTCACAAAATCGCTTAAAGGGCCTTGGGTTGATTACATTTGTAACAAGCTTGGTGCATATGATATATATGCTCCAGCTTGAGGGGGAGTGTTACAGATATTGTGGATACAGATATTATCCTCACTATCAATTAGGGATATGATTAGATTAGTTTCCATAATATTAGAGATTAGTATCTTTATCATTTATTGTATTCTCTCTATAAATAAGATTGGTGTGTACAACAATACACACAATTCCTGAATCACAACATTCCTTATGCAAGTAGATGTATTCAGCCTTAAAAGGCTAGTTATTGGAGTGGTTTTTTGTATGAGGGACACCAAAAGGATGCTTGGTCATGTTGCCTTAACAATACAAGACACAGTCATTGGGGGGGGGGGGGAAATCTAGGTTTGGAATTAAGAGTGATTTAGTTAGTGTCATTAAATATATAAGACACCACTTAAACAATTTAATTCTATGGGTATTCCTTACAAAAATTTTAAATTTAGGACATTATTAATTAATATTAATTGATTTAAATGTTTTTTGTTGTACCTAATGAATTTATTATTTGTTTCGTTTAAAAAGGACCAGAAGGAGTGTTATTCTGGTTAGGATGTTACAAATTCAAGCTTATGCTCATAGTGTTAACTTTAGGCGTGTTTGATACACATTTTTTTTTTTTACTCTTCTGGGAATCTAAATGGATATGTTAGTTTTCCATGTTTGATTTGTTATTTAAAAAATAACATTCCTAGGAAATACTGTTTCCTAGGGATGTTTTTTATACAGTTTTCTCACCAAATTCTTTCCATGGGAGGAGGTGGAAAACTAACATTTCCAAGTTAAAAGAAAAGTTTTAATGTAGTAAAAATATCATATTATCTTTATTTGCTTATTTAATACAGTAAAAGTCTTTGATTCCTAGTGAACATTTATAAATATTCCTAAAACATTTATGACCAACTAAACAGATTTTAATCATCCCTAGGAATCATGATTCTTAGGACTTATGATTCTTAGGATATATGATTCCTAGACATGAAAAAATTTCCATGACCAAACACCCCCGTAAGCTTAATACATATCCTTTGTTTTTGTTTTTTCCCCCTCTTTTTAAGTAATGTTTTGGAGATAAGTTGTTTTCTTGCTTTGATTTCTTGTCATTCATATTGTCTGTTATTACTTGCATTATTGCAAACTGCTATTAATAATTTCCACAGTAATTGGTCAAGTCCTGTGGCTTTTCATATTGGCCATTTGTTAATGATATTGAGTTGATGCAGCTTCTTACTTTAATTGGTTGTTTGCTCCCATAGTAAAGTTTTCTGGGTAGTATGATCAACCCAAAGATAACATATATATACTGATTGTCTTTCAGGTCTCTATATCTTCATTTAAGAGGATGGGGGGTTTAATGTCTTTTTTTGTTTGGTCTCTATTAGCTGTGAAGGAATAATGTAACATTATTTATTTAATTCTGATGAGTGATGAGTTTATCTTGTCTTTTTCTATCTTGATAGCCCTGTGAACCTAGGTCATATGATGTTATTGCTAAGGAGTATCTCGCTGCAAGGTTGGAAGCTACAAAAGCCAAGAAAGAAAGGGACAAGAAACGTCAGGAGCAGGCAGGCCATATCATCCGGAAACTGAAGCAAGAGTTGTCTGCTCTAGGTTAGTTTGAATTTCATTTTCTATTTCAATATTTTGTGAACTGTAATTGTCTCATTTGATTGTCTAATACATTTTGCAGGATTATCTGATGACAATTTGGCCTTAGAACATGAGCATGAAATCAGTTTTAAGTTTAAATCTGAGAGAGCATCCATGGGTCATGAGCCTGTTGATTGCTTTAAAGAAAAAACTCCATGTCATACTGAAGGATTGGCTTCTGACGAAACAGCAGTTGGTGGAAGTGATGTGGAGGGACATAGCATGGTGGAACATCTTGTGAAGTCTGGTTCACCAGTTGCACATGTGGAAAAAAATTCAGCTGAAGGAGAGGTTGGAGACGTTGAGCTTGGTGGTTTCTTCTTGGAGGATGTTCCATCTTGTGAAATATTACCTCCTGATATTTTGAAAGTACAAAAACAAGAAAAAATTAAAAGAGCATCTGAGAAAAATTTGGATAAATTAGATGGCATTTGGAAGAAGGTAATTTTGTAGGTTGCATTTCATGTATCTTGATGAATGGAGTTTAATATAATTCACGTCTTCCATTTACTCTCAATCCTTTTGCTTCACCAGAGTTCAAAAAAACACATTAATTGTTTGGTCGAGAGAGGGAGTGGGAGGGTGCATGGATGGATATGAAAATGTCTTGTTTAAAGTAAAGCAAAAATAACCAGGAAAGTGGATGGGCTATTCTCAAGGGTTTGCATGTGTTGTTTACCTTCATGTATTGTTTTTCAGAAAAAAGTTTTTCAATTTGTAAAATAGTAAAATGCCACCAGAACCTATATTTAAATTAAAAACACTTGATTTGGGATACGATTAGTTGTTTGGCTTTGATATGATTTGATGCAAATCAAATGACCATTTTAATGTGGTTTCACCAACAGTTATGATGAGGAGCTGTGCAGATTTTCTCCATTGTTTTTCTTTTTTGCTTAGGAAGATTCCTTAATCCTTACCGTCCCTTTTATTTGTAATCTTTCTCCCTTCATCTTAATGAATTTTCTTTCATAAAATAGTGATTTTGAAATAACTTCGTTGTTTGTTTTGAGCAGTGGGTGGATAACATTGTATAATTTGTTCATTCGTTCTTGTGCACATATATATATGTGTGTATATATATATAAATATCTTTCTATGATCTGAGTGTAGTTATTTCCTGCATGTTATAATTTAATATTAATAGGGGGACCCTCAAAAAATTCCAAAGGCTGTTCTTCATCAACTATGCCAGAAATTAGGGTGGGAGGCTCCAAAGTTCGATAAAGTTTTTGGTAGAGGAAAGAATTACTCCTATACTGTAAGTATAGTGCGTAAAGCTAGTGGGAGGGGCAAGAATAGAAAAGCTGGGGGGTTGGTCACACTTCAATTGCCAGATCAGAATGAAACTGTTGAATCTGCTGAGGTGAGTCATTCTTAAGCTTGCCATCTTCATTCTTCTGTAATTATTAAATATTAAAATTAGAAAATGATTTGCTACTTGCTAGATAATTTTGTAGGTCTTGAGTGGGATCACCACTTATTTTGTTGGGCATCTTTTTCTTCTTTGTTATTATTTGGTTACGAAGTAGGTTGTGTTGGGAAAATTTTAGAGAGCCAAGTAGATTGAATTATAAACTTTTCAATGCTCAATGTTATAGCAGGATAGTGGATAGTGTGAATGACTGCTCTTTTGATCCGTATGTAGATTTATATTACACAATCTATGTAAATATACACGCTGAAAGATAAAGAAAAATCACATAAAATTAAAAAATATTCATAATAAACGAATAAAACTTAAAATTTCATAACCAAATACACATGTTAAATTGTGAATTACGGAAAAGACAACAAAGGAATCAAATCAAACATGTTTAAGACTTCAAGGCTTAGAGGCTAAAGCAACTAAATATTCAATCAAAATTAAATATCAACTTCTTGAGCTCACCGCCATTGTAGACTTCTTAGCATTGCCATTTACATGATTACAGCATGATACTAGGAGCAAAGGTAGTCCTTTGTCTTATTGCTACCTTCAAACCAAAGAGGCTTCCAACTTTGAATTGGCAACTCATTGTTTGTCTTATCTTTATCCTCCTCATTTGCTAGTAGCCTTTCAATATATTTATATAATTGTTAGGACTTTGAGAAAGGGGAGTTAGTTAAAATGTTATAGTGAGTCAGTGACAGTGGCATAAATAAATAGGAGGATTGAAGGGGAGGGGAATTCATTTAGATTTTTTCATTTGTAGATTGAGCTTTAGCTTTGTGAAAGGAATAATTCTTTGTGAAGGGGAAACCCTTAGAGGAGAGATTTCTCTCCTATATTTTGTTCATTTTATCCTTTTCAAGACTTGATTCCTAATAAGCTGGTCTGACTTGTCGGATCTTCGTGGGAGAGCCAGTGTTACTTGAGATGGAGGAAGCACATATTTGGGCCAAGGGGAAGCTGCCAGTCTTTGTGGGTGTGAAAAGGCCCAAGTTCATCATGGATCACTAGAACCATTGGCCCATGAAGAAAAAAGGGGCCCAAAATCGTGGATTGTGTACGAGTGGAGGAAGAAAAAGAATGCTGACAGGGCATGAGGGTTATTCAGGGTTGTTAGAGGAGAGAGAGAGGGAATATTTTGATATGTAGAGAATCACACTTTATGGGCAGGGCATTCGGTTATTACTTTTCACTGTTTTGGATAGAGAACCTTTATGGTTGTGCTATTAGGAGCTTGGCTCTTGGTAGAGGAGATTTTCCTCTTTTGAGTTTCGTTTCTTACGTATTCCTTAAATACAACATCCACCATTTTATCACATACATTTCTCTCTTTCATTTTTGGTTTGTTGATTATTTTGTTTGGTATCTATTAATTGGTCTGACCTATCAGATAAGTCGTGGGGACTTTGAATGCCACCGAGGAAGAAAGGGAACTAATCGAAATCGGAGGAACCAACGACTAAAGAAGATATGGAAGCTCGAGTGGGACTGATGGCGAGTGAAATAGCTCGGATGCAAGTGTCTTTGGAGGAACTTCAGGAGATGACGAGACGAGAAGCAAAGGAAACATAGTCAAAGCTCATGACTTGTCATTTCGACAAAAATTCCGATGATGAGGGAGAGGGTTCGATAAAAAAGAAAGGATCGTCTAGTGGGGGAAAGAAACCTGGAATGAGTGCCGGGATGAAACCTTTGGAGGGTGAAGCTCTTGATGAATTTCACCAATTGGTGAAGAAGATCGAAGTTCCTTCATTTAACGGGGAAGACTAGCTGGGTGGATATCTTGGGCAGAGATTTATTTCAAGATACAAGAAACTAGCAAAGCGGTGCGTGTGAATCTCGCTCAGTTGTGCATGGAGGGTGGAACAATCCATTTTTTCAAAGCATTATTGAATGATTACGAGGAGCTTACGTGGGACGATTTGAAGGAGTTATTGGATAGATATGGTGGTTTGGATGAGGGGAGTGTGTTCGATCAACTCACGTCGTTGAAACAGTCTAGAACCATTGAGGAGTACATCCAGACTTCTGAGAGGTTGGTAGCACAGGTACCTAGATTACATGATGATCAATATTTTTCCTATTTAACCCATGGGTTGCGCGAAGAAACTTGAGCTCACCTCAGGAGCTTGCACGTGGTGGTTCCACTAACAAGGGGAAAACTAATGAATGCTGCCAAAGCAATAGATTCAGAGATCGGAATGAGAAATAAAGGATGGCAGAAAAAAAGGAGTCGCGTGTGGTAGGGATAGGTCAAACGGGATTCAAAAATTACCCAACTATTTTGAAATGGGTCACCACGAAGTAACAAGGAACCTGTGGAGGAGTAAATGGGCCAGGCCCAAATTCCATAAATGACCCAGGAGATAAAAATAAGCAAGGGCCTCGTGACCGAGGGGCCAAATGCATGGCCTATCAGGAGCTATTAGACAGAAGGCAAAAGGGCCTTTGTTTCAAGTGTGGGGGCACTTATGACCCAATGCACCAATGCCCTATTAAACAATTAAGGGTCATCATGATGGACAATGAATTACTTGTGGAGTGTGAGGAAGAAAAATGCGTGGCTGAAGGAGCTTACGAGGATGAGGAGGAAGGAGGCGAGGGGGAGTGCAGTGTTATTAGTCTCTTTGATTTGAGCCTGGATAGATAGCAACCCCCACGAACACTCAAGTTGAAAGGGAGAGTCAACGAACTGCCTCTCTTCTTACTTGTGGATAGTGGGGCAACTCAAAGTTAACGAATTGCCTCTCTTCTTACTTGTGGATAGTGGGGCAACCCACAATTTCATCTCGAAGCGTTTGGTAGAGGCTATGGGATGGGATTGGTAGTCCACCAAAAGCATGTGTATTTTGATGGGTGATGGTTATACGACTATAACTCAAGGAGTTTTTCATGGAATCGAAATTGAAGTTGATGGGGAGAAATTTAAGATGAATGCAGTGCTGTTCGATTTGAAAGATATTGACATGATATTGGGTATGACATGGTTAGCTTCATTGGGCGAAATGATGGTTGATTGGGGAAAGTAGACTATGAGGATTTCCACAAATCAGGGCACTAAAATGTTGAAAGGGGTGAATTGTGAAGAATCATTAGCAACATTTCTCCAAGGAATAATTGGAGAAAATGTGGAAATGCAAGACACAAGGCTGTCAGAGAAATAGTGTGGTGAGTTAGAAGCAGTATTGGAGGGTTTTGAGGATGTGTTTGCTGAAACAAGAGGTTTGCCGCCAATGCTTTCCAAGGAGCATCAAATAATACTAAAGCCAGGACAAGAGCCCATTAAGGTTAGGCCATACTGCTATCCTTACTACCAGAAGAATGAAATAGAAAAGCAAGTCCAAGAGTTGATGAAAATTGGACACATAAGGCATAGCCACAGTGCTTACTCCAGTCCTGTGATTTTGGTCAAAAAGAAAAATAATAAATGGAGGATGTGTGTGGACTATAAGGCTCTTAATAAAGCCACAATTTCGGATAAATTTCCCATCCCTATAATTGAGGAATTATTGGACGAATTACATGGAGCGAGGTTCTTTTCCAAGCTAGACCTCAAATCCGGCTACCATCAGGTTTGAATGAAGGAGGAGGAGATCCCTAAGACAACATTTAGAACCCATGAAGGACATTATGAATATCTCGTAATGCCTTTTGGGCTCATGAATGCCCCATCTATATTTCAGGCGTTAATGAATGAGGTATTTCGTAATTTACTTAGAAGAGGAGTATTGGTGTTTTTTGATGATATATTCGTTTGTAATGCAAGTTGGGAGGAACATTTGGCTCAATTAAGAACAATTCTGGAAATTTTAAGAAAACATAAACTATATGCAAACCGGGAAAGATGTAGCTTCCCTTAGGAGAGTTTAGAATACTTGGGGCATGTGATATCCGTGCAGGGAGTGGAGATTGATCCCGCCAAAGTCAAAAGCATAAGGGAGTGGCTAGTTCCAGAGAATGTGAAGGGAGTAAGGGGATTCCTAGGACTTACGGGTTACTATCGTAAGTTCATTAGGAATTATGGAAAAATTGTGAAACCTCTTACGAAATTAACTAAGGAGGGGTTTATGTGGAATGAAAGGGAACAACAAGCATTTGAAGAGTTGAAACAGAAGATTACCACAACTCCAATTTTAGCTCTACCCAATTTTGAGAAGGAGTTTGAACTTGAGTGTGACGCGTCAGGGTTGGGCATTGGGGCCAATCTGATGCAAGAATGCATGCCCATAGCTTTTTTTAGTAAGGCCTTGGGAAGTAGGAATTTAGCAAAATCTGCTTACGAAAAGGAGTTAATGGCAGTGACTTTATCAATTCAGCACTGGAGGCCATATTTTATTGAACGCAAATTTAAAGTTTATTCGGATTAGAGAAGCTTGAAACAGTTACTTCAGCAAAGAATCACAAATTGGAGCCAACAAAACTGGTTGGCTAAATTATTGGGGTATAACTTTGAGATTATCTATAAACCTGGCTTGGAAAACAAAGGGGCGGATGCTTTATCAAGAAGCTTTGAAGAAGGTGAGTTGAAGACCATGGTGTCCATGCCAATCTGGCTTGATTGCCAAAATGTCGTAGGAGAGGTTCACAAGGATGAAAAATGGAAGAGGGTGATTGAAGACTTGCAACAAGATTGAGAGGCTCATCTAGGATTCACTTATTAGCATGGTATTCTATTTTTTAAGAACAAAATTGTGATTCCAACAAAGTCTCCTTGGATTCGCAAATTACTTGATGAGTTTCACTCAACTCCTCAAGGAGGCCACTTCGGATTTTTAAGAACATATAGATGCGTAGCTGTAAATCTGTATTGGCAAGGAATGAAGACTGATATCATGAAGTATGTGCAATCTTGTGATACTTGCCAACGTCAAAAGTATACTACTGCTGCCCCAGGAGGATTGTTGCAACCATTGGCTATTCTGGAGAGGATTTGGGAGGATATTTCTCTCGATTTTACACAGGATTGCCTAGGTCCAAGGGCTTTGAAGCAATATTGGTGGTTGTGGATAGTTTATCCAAATACAGTCATTTCATTGCTTTGAAACATCCATATACAACAAAAACCATAGCTGAAGTATTTGTTAAGGAAGTGGTAATACTTCCTGGGGTGCCCAATTCGGTGATTAGTGATAGGGACCCTCTCTTTATGAGTCTTTTTTGGAAAGAATTTTTCAAGATGCAAGGTACAAAGCTGCTCATGAGTTACATCATACCATCTACAAACGGATGGAGAAACGGAGGTAACAAACCGCTGTTTAGAGACATATCTGAGATGTTTCATTACTGATCAGCCCGAGGGATGGGCTCTATGGCTTCTTTGGGCCGAATATTGGTTTAATACAACTGTTGGATAGGAATCCCAAAATTTATGGGATATTATTATGTTGTAGAATTTCAGGGATTAATTTATGGGATACAACTGTTGGTTTAATACATCTGTGTAACTTCGCCAAATCTCAGTTTTTTAAGCAATTATTTGAGCCAAATAAGCTCACAAGTAGCAGAGGCCATAGCACGAAATTCTGCATCTGCACTAGATCTTGTCACTACATTCTACTTCTTACTTTTCCAGGAAATCAAGTTATCACCAATAAAGACACAATAACCTGAGGTGGATCTCTTGTCATAGGGAGAGCCTGCCCAATCTGCATCCGAGTACTCCACAACTTGAGTATGATTGTTGTAGTCATATAATAAACCTTTTCCTGGAGCACATGGAGAATTGAGAAATTGACTCACCACACTAACCGCAAAGGAGATGTCAGGACGAGTTATCGTGAGATAATTCAATTTCCCAACTAATTTTTTGTACCTCTCAGGATCTAAGAAAGGCTCCCCCTGACTTGGTAGAAGTTTAGCATTAGGGTCCATATGTGTATCAACGGGTTTGGAATTCATTAGCCCAGTTTCCTCTAAAATATCCAATGCATACTTTCTTTGAGATATTACAATTCCATTTTTAGATTGTGCTACCTCAATCCCCAAGAAATATCTAAGTTTACTAAGGTCTTTTGTCTGAAAGTGATGGCAAAGATGTTTTATCTTAGAAATGCCATGATGATCATTGCCAATAAGAACAATATCATCAACATACATTATCAAGTAGATGCACCCCAAAAAGGTTGAGGAACGTATCCATAAAGTAAGAGGGTGCGAGTGGTCTCAATTAGGTGTCTATTTTTGCGCTCGGCCACCTCATTTTGTTGAGGGGTATATGTAGAAGAGGTTTGATGAAGAATACCATGGGAAGCCATGAAGGCTTGAAAGGAGTGAGAAAGGTTTCCACAAGCATTATCACTACAAAAAGTACGAATAGAAACACCAAATTGATTCTGAATTTCATTATAAAAAGATTGAAATATGGAAAATAGTTTGGATCAAGTTTTCATTAAAAATAGCCAAGATGTGTTTATATACAAAGTAGTGGGCCTAGGCCCATAGGATAAAACTATATCTAACACTCCCCCTCAAGCTGGTGTATATAGATCATATGCACCAAGCTTGTTACAAATATAATCAATCCTAGGACCCCGTAATGATTTGGTGAAGACATCTGCCAACTGATCAGTAGAGTTAACAAACTGAGTAGTAATGTCCCCAGATAAAATCTTCTCACGAATGAAGTGACAATCTATTTCAATGTGTTTGGTCCTCTCGTGAAATACTGGATTTGAGGCAATATGCAGGGCAGCTTGGTTATCACATATGAGAGTCATCTGTGTAACTTCGCCAAATCTCAGTTCTTTAAGCAACTGTTTGAGCCAAATAAGCTCACACGTAGCAGAGGCCATAGCACGATATTCTGCTTCTGCACTAGATCTTGCCACTACATTCTGCTTCTTACTTTTCCAGGAAATCAAGTTATCACCGATAAAGACACAATAACCTGAGGTGGATCTCCTGTCAGAGGGAGAGCCTGCCCAATCTGCATCTGAGTATCCCACAACTTGGGTATGATTGTTGTAGCCATATAATAAACCTTTTCCTGGAGCACCTTTGATATACTTCAGAATGCGGATGACTGCATTCCAATGTCCTGCACATGGAGAATTGAGAAATTGACTCACCACACTAACCGCAAAAGAGATGTCAGGACGAGTTACCGTGAGATAATTCAATTTCCCAACCAGTCTTCTGTACCTCTCAGGATCTGAGAAAGGCTCCCCCTGACTTGGTAGAAGTTTAGCATTAGGATCCATAGGTGTATCAACGGGCTTGGAATTCATTAGCCCAGTTTCCTCTAAAATATCCAATGCATACTTTCTTTGAGATATTACAATTCCATTTGTAGATTGCGCTACCTCAATCCCCAAGAAATATTTAAGTTTACCAAGGTCTTTTGTCTGAAAGTGATGGCAAAGATGTTGTTTTATCTGAGAAATGCCATGATGATCACTACTGGTAAGAACAATATCATCAACATACACTATTAAGTAGATGCACCTAGTAGTGAAATGTCGATAAAAGATCGAATGATCAGCTTCGCTTCGAGTCATACCAAACTGTTGGACTACAGTACTAAATCTACCAAACCATGCCCTTGGAGACTGCTTAAGACCATAAAGTGATTTGCAGAGACGACATACCAAACCAGACCAAACCAGAAGACTCCCCCTGAGCAACAAACCCAGGAGGTTGCTCCATGGATCCAAAAGGGGTCGTTCTGGCCACTCTTAAAATCTATAAATAGAGCACTCTAGCACTATTTCTTGACACACTCTCTAGAGACCAAGGAGAACCAAGAGAAGGAGATCAACCAGATTCTGCTCTAGCTTTGCCTTCTGCTTATCCAGGTAAGGGGGAGTGAGAAACCTCGCTCGTGGGTGTGGGAATAATTGTTGGGTAGTAGGATTGGCCCCCAATCTCTTGCCTGATGCACAGTAATCCTTGTGCTAGAGCCTTTTTGATATATCTAAGAATACGCAGAACAGCATTCCAATGATCGATATTAGGAGCTTGCATGAATTGACTAACAATCCCTATTGCAAAAGAGAGATCAGGTCTTGTGATTGTAAGATAAATGAGTTTCCCAACTAATCTCCTATACCTTTCTAGCTTTGTGAATGGTTCACCTTGATCAGTCATTAACTTTTGGTTAGGATCCATAGGACTATCAATGGGTCTATAATCAGTCATGTTTGTTTCCTCCAAAATGTCCAAAGCATACTTCCTTTGAGAGATCACAATGCCTTCCTTTGATTGGGAAACCTCAATTCCAAGGAAATATTTTAGATGTCCCAGATCTTTGGTCTGAAAATGGCTAAACAAATGTTTCTTCAATTGAGAGATTATAGCTACATCATTTCCTGTAATCACTATGTCATCCACATAAACAATCAAATAAACACATCTCCCAGGAGAAGTATGACAATAGAAACTGAGTGGTCTGCTTTGCTTCTTTTAAGCCCAAAGTCTTGTACAACATGACTAAATTTTCCAAACCAAGCTCTAGGAGATTGTTTGAGGCCATAAAGAGATCTTCGCAATTTACAAACTAAACCAGACTCCCCCTGAGCAACAAATCCAGGATGTTGCTCCATGTAAATCTCCTCCTCCAACTCACCATGAAGAAAGGCATTTTTAATGTCTAATTGGTGGAGAGGCCAATGACGAATAACTGTCATAGCAAGAAAGAGACGAACAGTAGGAATCTTGGCCATAGGAGAGAAGGTGTCACTATAGTCTAGGCCATAAATCTAAGTATACCCAGACCGAATACCTTTTCGAAGAGGAATGGGCCATCTAGAGTTATCCTCACTTGGATTCGTAGTCGGGGTGTGTGATGGTGAAGGACATGAATCCGGTGACTCTTCAGGTAATGTTGGACCAATTTGTCTTGTTCGACATTGATATGTGACAAGAGGAGGTGGAGTAGCTTGAAAGGAGTAGTTGTGGGAATAATGGACTAAGTAAACTCTTGGTTATGAAGTGAAATTTGAGGTGGAATGGAAACATGAGAAAAAACTGGTAGTACTTGTTGTATTGAAAGAGAATCATGAGTGGTGCATGAGAAAAATGAAGTTTGTTCAAAGAAGGTGACATCTGCAAACATGTAGAATTTTCTGGTCTCTGGGGAGTAAGGGATTTTATTTTCAAAGGAAGAAGAGGGCATTCTTTTTACTAAAAAACAAGAAGTGAACAGTAATCCTTGTGCTAGAGCCTTTTTGATATATCTAAGAATACGCAGAACAGCATTCCAATGATCGATATTAGGAGCTTGCATGAATTGACTAACAATCCCTATTGCAAAAGAGAGATCAGGTCTTGTGATTGTAAGATAAATGAGTTTCCCAACTAATCTCCTATACCTTTCTAGCTTTGTGAATGGTTCACCTTGATCAGTCATTAACTTTTGGTTAGGATCCATAGGACTATCAATGGGTCTATAATCAGTCATGTTTGTTTCCTCCAAAATGTCCAAAGCATACTTCCTTTGAGAGATCACAATGCCTTCCTTTGATTGGGAAACCTCAATTCCAAGGAAATATTTTAGATGTCCCAGATCTTTGGTCTGAAAATGGCTAAACAAATGTTTCTTCAATTGAGAGATTATAGCTACATCATTTCCTGTAATCACTATGTCATCCACATAAACAATCAAATAAACACATCTCCCAGGAGAAGTATGACAATAGAAACTGAGTGGTCTGCTTTGCTTCTTTTAAGCCCAAAGTCTTGTACAACATGACTAAATTTTCCAAACCAAGCTCTAGGAGATTGTTTGAGGCCATAAAGAGATCTTCGCAATTTACAAACTAAACCAGACTCCCCCTGAGCAACAAATCCAGGATGTTGCTCCATGTAAATCTCCTCCTCCAACTCACCATGAAGAAAGGCATTTTTAATGTCTAATTGGTGGAGAGGCCAATGACGAATAACTGTCATAGCAAGAAAGAGACGAACAGTAGGAATCTTGGCCATAGGAGAGAAGGTGTCACTATAGTCTAGGCCATAAATCTAAGTACCATGCCAATGCTCAAGTGATAACTATTATTATAAGTGAACTTTACCAATGGTAACACCTCCTCCCAACTACCCAAATGATCCAACACACAAGCTCTCAAGAGATCCTCCAATGACTGAATTGTCCTCTCCGACTAACCATCTGTCTGTGAATGATAAGTGGAGCTCAACCTCAACCTCGTCCCTAAAGCCTGATGCAAAGTCTACCAACCTGGAAATAAACCTTGGATCTCTGTCAGAGATAATACTAGAAGGCACTCCATGCTACCGTACTATCTCTCTAATATACAACTATGCAAGTCTCTCCAAGGACCACCTCTTGACAGGAAGAAATATAATTAGTGAAAATAGAGGAGGCAGGCCGAACAGCGGAGGAGGAAGCCATAGATGCTGAATAGGAGAGAGAAACAACAACAAGAGAGAGAAAAATGGCCCGAGAAGGAAGAGATCCGTGACAAATAAGGTCCGATCACAAAACAAATAGTAGATCGGGGTAGAGGAGGTTGGGGCGAGTCCGGGGCCGGTGATCGCCGCCAGAAAAGTCGCCGGACGTGCCACCACGCGCGGCGGTTGACACAGATGAGAGAGAAACCGCGCCCAGCACGGAATCGACGCGTGGGGGCGCGTGCGACCTCCGTTGGCCGCGCGACTGGTGGCGTTGGTTTCGCTGGAGGGAGGTGAGCTGGTTGGGGGGGTCGCCGGCCGGAAAGCTGGCGGCGGCGGCGGATGGCGGCGGCAACAACGAAAAAGGAAACCCTAAAAAAAGAGGGAAAAAAATTTGCCGGAAAGAGACACGACAAGGTGGGTAGCCGGAAAACGGATGAGACACGTTTTCCGGGCACCGATGAACAGTGGGTCTACCGGAAAGTCAAGAATAGGCTCTAGATACCGTGTTGAGAGTAATGGTGAATGGAGAGAACATATTCCTTGTGTATTGCAAAGCAAAAGATGTGTTTATATACAAAGTAGTGGGCCTAGGCCCATAAGATAAAACTATATCTAACAAGAGTAATCATCAATGATTTTTTGCACCCATTGGATTGAAGTTAAGCTCTGGATAGCATGTTAAGTTTTGTAGATAGAGAAATGAAGGGTAGAAAAATGTTTCTTATTGGTTGGGATTTGATTACTGATACAAATGGTTCAACATCATGGCTGCTAAATGAATATAGTTCAGTTAGTTACACAATGGGAATGATCTAGAATGATAGTACAGTACACTAAATATGCAATACTGTATACTCTAATAGATGGAATCTAGAGCCTTACGTGTTGCTTACTACTATTTACAATGATTGTACAACACACTAAATATCCTATAATATGATCATCACAAATTTATGTAAATTCTTCTGATAAAAGTGCTCTAGATCTGAAAACCTCTTTATAAGGTGCAATTTGTGTATTGCCTGTGCTTGCTATTTTTGTCAATTATGGTAAAATTATATGTTAACTAGTTCTTATTGTCTGTCGATGCACTGTTTGCAATTTTTTACTTGATTGCAGGATGCACAGAATAAAGTGGCAGCATATGCTTTGTACAAACTGTTTCCTGATATCCCAGTTCATCTCCCAATTACAGAGCCTTATGCATTGCTTATTATAAAGTGGATGGAAGGTTACTTTTTTTGCCTAATAAATTTTATTATATATAGAGCATTATGGCATTGTTTGATCCATGTTGACCACCCTGCCTGGCTCGCCGGAAAAGATTTGTTTGTATAAATTTTGTTATATGAAAATTTTAATTTTTATCATTCTTTACTATAGTTCTCATGCTATAGGTGTAGAAATTTTAACCATTATATTTGAACTTTTATTTACAAGTTAGGACATTTCATAATTTACAGGGGAATCATCAACCAATCTAGAAGACACTGAGAAAGATCATAGATCTGGTTTTGTGGATTCATTATTAGATGATAATAGTTCCAGTGCAACCGCATCTGTTGATGTTGCAGATTATAAGTGCCCCCAGAACTTTGGTAGACTCCACGATAATGAGAGTTCAACCATTGCCTGTCATCAACAATTTTCTCAAAGTAGGTTCATCCATGTCTTATTTAATTTGATTTGGATTTGGAGTTTTATTTCAATTATTTTTTGGTAGTTATTTTTTTTTATTAATATTTTCAAATTGGCTTGGCCTTATCTAAAAACAATTTTTTTTAAGGATAAGAGGTCGTTTGGTTTGGAAATTTTTTTTATATTTTCACTTTGTTTCCTGTTTTATGAAGTTTATATAAGGACTGAATTTTATTCAATTTAACTGGTACAAAATACAAATTATATAGGAAATTTAGTAAACTGATTTGAGTACAAAGGTTCCCTCACAAGATGTTCGAGAGCTTGGTCTCTCCCTTCCAAAACCGCTCAAAAACTGCCTAACCTCTGTCCTGCTTCTTCTGCTATTTTTATTCTGCTAATAACTGCCTAGAGGCAGTCACGCTTGCCCCCCACTAATAGCACCTAGTCCTAATTAAAACAACAATAACTACTAAAACAATTACAACAATAACTGCTAAAATAATTAATAACTGCTAAAACAATTCAGTCCTATTATAAAACCTAAGTCTTGGCACTCCTCTTATAATATTTACTTATAAGAGGCCTAACATAATCCCAAGAACATAGTGCCTTTTAAGTAGCGACAGATGCATTTGACCGCAGACCAGTGTTGTTCAAGTGGATTAGACATGAATTGACAGACTTTATTAACATAAAAACTGATTTCAGGTCTAGTGATGGTTGCATATTGTAATGCACCAACCACGGATCTATATAAGGATACATCTAGGAATTTTTCAGATAGACAATTTACATCCACTAATCATGGGTGAAGAAATAGGATTAGAATCTTCCATGTTAGTGCGATTGAGGAGGTCACGAATATACTTGCTTTGAGTTAATGTAAGTGAGCCATCAAAATTAGATTTGACCTCAATGCCAAGAAAATAATATTCTGTAGGATAGAAGAATTATTGCTAGTGATAATAATGTCATCTACATAAACAAGAATGTAGATTACATTGTTATCATGGGAATAAACAAGCAGGGAAGGATCACACTTGCTGATCTGAAAGTTAAGTTGAAACAATGTACCTTTGAGCTTATCAAACCAAGCATGTGGTGCTTGTTTAAGACCATAAATTGCCTTATGAAGTTTGCAAACCAAATTCTTATCAGATGATTCAAAACCTGGAGGTTGAGACATATATACCTCTTCTTCAAGATTTCCATTTAGAAACGCATTATTGACATCCAATTGCTGAATAGACCAATGATGAGTTAAGGCTAAAGTGAGAATTAGATGGATGGTAACTAGTTTAAAGTTATATACTCCAATAACCTTTTTAGCTCTGTTATTGGTATTTCAGTTTTTGTGGACAAGCCAAAAGGGTCAAAAAACTTGAGTCCTTCTTTATTTAGTTTTCAGCTATTAGAATTCTATCTGCAAAGAAAGCCACCTTAAGTAAAACTTGACTTTGTGTATTAATTTCAAAAGAAAATGATTATAATGCAAAAGCCCTTTTTGGAAGCATCCACAAAAGCCCTATTTTCATCAAGAATGCTGATCAAAGCATCCACTTCCGAGAATCCTAAATGATAAGAAAGCTGCCTCTTTAGGGATGGTTTGACTTTTAATAACATCACTATGGTTTATGATTATCACATAAGTAACTATTTCTGAAAACTACCTGACCATTTTTTGCCAAGTGTGTTAGGTTGGTAAATTATATATTGCTGCTAAATAAATCTGCTCATGTGAAAGATCTTTACAAACCCAAGACTGAGTAATGTCTTCTGATTTTTGTATATTAATTAAATAATGTTTTAACAATTAAAATGGTCCGTCGGGATAATACTTATTTGTTCGATATATATGCAATTATTTCATTGTTAGTTTCTTCTTCATGAATTTGGAGTTCCATTGCACAGGAGAAACCTATATCAAGGAAATGGAGAGTGCTGATTTGCGACAGCGACAACAAATTAAAATGAGAACACAAAGATACCAGGTTTGCACATATCTGTGTAATTTTGAATTATGGCTTCCTGTCACTCTTTTGAAGCTGTATAATATTTTATGGTTTCTTATATTAAAAAATGAAAACTAAGACTCTGCAATGAGTCTTAGTAGTTCATAATATTTGATTTGTGATGAAGTTCATGAGTGAGAGAGAAAATTAAAACTGAATAAACTGAAAACTAACTCTACTATTATGAAATCTGTTGGGTTGGTTAGAAGAGAAGTCTGTCTATATAAACTGCAACTAACACTTATTATAACAAGGTAGCCTTTCATCCTATCTGAATATGCTAGAAAAAAGTACTTAAAAGGATTTGGCTAGCAATTTATCTTTTACTGGAGTAAGGTTATGGAAACAGGTGCATCCAAAGACAGGGAGAGAAGGAAAATAAAGATCTTGTTGAGGAAACAAATAGAATGTGGAACTCCATGGCACCATGCTAGCATACAATGATTTTAGTGGCTTTAAGATTTGCACTCATGTTAATTTCACAAATTGTTTCTTATATTGCAGAAGATTTAATGTTTCGGTGGCTCTAATGTTTATTGTTTATTGTATTTTTCACACTGATATTATTGAAGCTACTGCCATTCATCTTGCATATAGAGCAACCTGGAATCCTCTGTTTCCGGCCGTATCTATTGTAATTATCACAGAGGGTTTTACAGTAAGTTTTGTTCCATCCAAAATTTGCTTGTACTGTGTGCCAACTACCAAGCAACATATGAAACAAAGGTTGTACTGTGAATTAGCTAATTGTCCTGTCCTGTGCTGTTCTGCTTTGGTGCGCCTCAACTTGTGTCAAACGTAAAAAGAAGGGTCAGAGAACAGAAACATTATCTTAACAATATAATGGCCGGAGGTTTGCTGGTGGTTGCAGTTTGCTGAAAATGGTCGGTGGTGTTGGTGAAGGGTTGGTGACATATGGAGTAGGCAGCTATTTGGACCATCACGGGTTTGGGTTCAATGAGATGGTGACTTATGATTATCCATCAAGCGTCAATTTGAATTAATGAAGCGAAATATCAAATGGTTTTTAAATTTTTTAAAAGTTTGATTTAATCTAGGCATTAAGAACTTTTAATCTAATGATTGAATCGTTAAAATTTGATGTAAAATATAAATTATTAAATCGAGTTAATCTAAAAAGGTTTACTCTTAGAGTAAGTGGATCTGATACTTTAGAGAGACAAACTTCCCCAAAAATCTAAGTTATTAGGTAAAGGCACTAGATTGGTTTTGTTTCTCTTCACAACTCATCATGCAATAGTGTGTGGACAATGCATGGTTCAATTTTTGCTTGTGCTAAAATTCAAGTTAATTATGAAGAATGGGTATCGGTTCAAATTTTCGTTGTTCTAAAATCCAACTTAATTATGAAGAATGGGGATCACATGGATTGAAGTCCTGAACCCTTCCTAGTGTAGAGGTTTTGATGCAATTTCAAGAATCAAATACTCTAGGATCAGGCTATGAAGTGGAAGTTTATAAAGTTTTATATATCTACTGGTGTATAATAGCTGGCGTAATATATGTAGTACATCATAGCCAATTTTTCCTAAGATTTACAGTACAATTGATTCATTCTTCTTTAAGGAAAAAGAAAGTTTGTCAATTATGAACTAGACACTTTTTCTGCTCCAGGATATGTTGAAAATCAGAGCTACACTTCCTATTGCTGCTCTACAGGGTGATATGTTACAATTGATGAAGGAACACGATGTTCTTGTTGTTTGTGGGGAAACAGGCTCTGGAAAGACAACTCAGGTGACACAGATGCAATTATAGTTTGTGATATTTTGCCACTTATTTTCTAAACTACCTGTTTTCCGTCATTTATATTTTTTGCTTTCAGAATTTGTGTATAGCTGATTGCAGATGCCATACTTCCTCTTGTCATCTGCTGTCAGAGCATGTGCAGTTTTTTTTTTCTGACTGGCATTTAATGTAGGTTCCACAATTTATATTGGATGACATGATTGAGTCAGGAAATGGTGCATACTGTAATATTGTTTGCACACAACCACGGAGAATAGCGGTAGGTACAAAATTCTGTGCTTTCATATTGGCCAATACAATGTCTACAACAGTTTTCAGCTGTATTTGGTATAGTCTTTTCTGTCCCATATTTTCAATTTGCTTGCTACTTTCTTGGTTTTGGTTCCTTGCCTGCATGCCTGTGAGCGTAGTCATGAAGTTTTGACAAGGAATACTGCAGTTTTTGAATTTTCTAACTGACTGTACGCTTGCACAGTATGAAGCTGTCAATTGAAACAATTTAAAATAATCTTGGATTGGTTGGATATACTCAAGAAAATTTGTGAATACTCCCAAATTTAATGTTGGATTTTCTGCATTCTTATTACCTTCAATTTATGCTTCGTGCCTCATGTTTTAGGCTATTTCTGTGGCTGAAAGGGTTGCGGATGAGCGGTGTGAACCTTCCCCAGGTTCAGATGGTTCTTTGATTGGTTATCAAGTTCGTCTTGATAGTGCCAGGTATTCATTTTGATGGAAAATGCATGAATGGAAAGCACTTGACAAATCTTCTATTTATATACTCTTAGAAATGGAATCACCATGCCACAATGGAAGTATGCATTAGACATGCTTAAAGAAATTGATATGTTGGATTGTGGCCCATGGATAGTCCCATAGATCTAAATAAAAAATTACTACCTAGATAGAGAGCATCCTTTTCAAACCCAAAAAGATTTCCTTTTCAAATCAAGAAAGATATCAAATTGGTCAGGAAACTTGTGTATCTCATTACTACTAGACTAGACATTTCCTTTGCAACTGGTGTAGTAAGTTACTTCGTTCAATTGCCTCACATTGGCCAAAAAAGGTACTAGGAAAAGGGTTTCTATATGAAGACAAAGGAATTGCTATAATTCTCAACTCTTAGATAGGGTTTCTTAAGCATTTTATTGTTAAATGACTTATTAATTATTTTAACAGTTTACTTACTAACCAAAGAACCTTGAGTTGTTATCATAACCTGTTAGTCTTGTTATAGTTAATTGCTTGCTTTCTTTAACGTACTAGTATCCATTACCTTCGAGCTTTTGTATGGAAAATTGTTAGATGGAAAGAAAGTCTTATTTAATTGAGAATGCTAGCGCTTAATTTTTGTTAATCCTTTCCATACCCAGTTATGGAGAGCCAAAACAATTTTTTTCTTTGTTCTGTTTGTAATTGTAAGTATTAAGTTATTGACTGCTTATTTTCATGTTAGGAATGAAAAAACAAGGCTTCTCTTCTGCACAACAGGCATCCTTCTAAGAAAATTAATGGTAGGTTGTTTTTGTTAAAATGTATAACAGGTCTATGCTTCTTGTTAATAAGTATCTTAAATGAGAAGTATTAGTGGAAGATCAATAATACTAAATATCAAATGATATATTTTTCTGTTTTGATCAATTTGAATTTTTTGTTTTGGTCTTTGACAAAACATTAACATCATTTGATCCTTTGCAACAGCTGTACTGTACCTAGTGGGAAAATATTTTTGTTGTTGATTGTTTTGTTTTTACTTATTTATTTTTACTTGTTTTTCAGTGCTAACGATTCAAATCTTTTAAGTGCTTTATTTTTTATTTTTTTGTAACACTTCAGGCCATTTTATTCTGGAAGTATTTTTTCTTTTATGATTTTAATTTCCCCCTAGTAAGGACTAGAATACTAGAATCTGAATATTTGATTGATGTTTAAGGGAATATGTATAGGTTTAGGGTTTATATACTAGTGAAGTAGTGACAAAAAAGGAATTTGACAAAATCTCAGTTGTCCTAATTACAGTAATTAGGAAGGCAAGTAATAAGAGTAGAAACTGTATTTTTTATTCACCTAGTATTAGTATGTAAATATTGTTTTTACCTGTTCTTGTCTTTTCTGCTCTGCATTTACCTTTTAATTTTGTTATAACAAACAGAATATTCCTGCAGGTGTGTTGTATGCCACCTTTCTCCTTTTTTGATTTAGTAAATCTATCTTCCAGCTGTACCAAGAGGGGTAGCTTCTATAAAATGCTCCCCTTACATTCTGTTTCGTATCAACAATGAAATGAAAAATATCATTAGTATTTTAACTTTTCTTTTATCTAACACCTAGTTAAAACAGGAGTACAAGGGTATATATATATATATATATATATATATATATATATATATATATAACGTATACTAAAGAGATTATGATAGCACTAGCTAGAGTACACTAATAATTCCTTTCAAGCTGGAGAATATAGATTATATGCACCAAGCTTATTACAAATAAACACAATGCAGAATCCCCTAAGAGACACAACGTATACTAATGAGATTATGAGCCCAATAGCACTAGCTAGAGTGCACTAATAATTCCTTTCAAGCTGGAGATTATAGATTATATGCACCAAGCTTATTACAAATAAACACAATGCAGGAGCCCCCAAGAGACTTGGTTAAACTATTAGTTAATTGTTCATTAGAACGAGTTTAACTAGCAGCTATACAATCAGAAAGAACATTTTCTCAAACGAAATAACAGTCCTCTTTGATATGTTTAGTCCCGTCATGAAATACTAGGTTGGAAGCAATTTGAAGTGTAGCCTATCACAAAACAACTTCATTTGTGACTAGGGCCACAACCTAATACTAAGATTTGACACTAGATCTAACTACAACCTCTTGCTTTTTTACTATTCCAGGAAATAAGATACTTGAAAATGAAAAATTTCTTATTATTCTAAATTGATGGGTACAATCAAATAAATAGACATGTAACAGAATCAATCCCTAAAGTTTTGGGATTAAGATATACTATAAATCAGGAGAAGATAAACTAATATATCTAAACTGTATCTTATCAAAATAATATCATAGAATATCTTAATACTCCCCCTCAAGCTGGAGCATATATATCATATGCATCTAGCTTGTTACATATATATGTTATCCTAGGACCTCGTAAAGATTTAGTAAAGATATCTGCAAGTTGATCCTTGGAGCAAATTGAGGAGGTCTTGATGATACCGGAGATGATCTTTTCTCTGATGAAATGGCAGTCAACCTCTATATGCTTTGTTCTCTCATGAAAAATTGGATTAGAGGAGAGGTATAAAGCTAACTGGTTATCACAAACTAGTTTTATATGACCAACCTTGCAAAACTGCAATTCTTGAATTAGGAATTTTAGCCATAGGAGCTCACATGTGGTGTGAGCCATAGCACGGTATTCTGCTTCTGTACTTGATCGTGCAATAACACTTTGCTTTTTAGTCTTTCATGAGACAAGATTACCACCCATGAAGAGACAATAGCCTGATGTTGACCGTCTATCACTTGCATCACCTGCCCAATTTGCATCTGGATATCCAACAATGTTTGTATGTTCTCTATCATTGTAAACAAGTCCCTTTCCTGGTGATCTTTTGATGTATCTAAGGATCCGAACAACTGCATGCCAACGAGTCTCACAGGAGAGTTAAGAAACTAACAACATTGATAGGAAAGGATATATCAAGTCTGGTCATGGTTAGATAATTCAATTTCCTCACTAATCTTTGACTCAGGATAAGGCTCCCCCTAATTAGGCATAAGCATCACATTAGGATTCATGAGAGTGTCAATTGGCTTACAATCTTTAAGTTCGGTCTCCTCTAGAATATCAAGGGCATATTTTCTCTGAGAAATAACAATACCGAACTTTGACTGAGTGACCTCAATCCCAAGGAAATAATGCAGGGGACCTAAATCCTTAGTTTGAAAGTGTTTAAATAACTGTGGGAATAATGGACTAAGTAAACTCTTGGTTATGAAGTGAAATTTGAGGTGGAATGGAAACATGAGAAAAAACTGGTAGTACTTGTTGTATTGAAAGAGAATCATGAGTGGTGCATGAGAAAAATGAAGTTTGTTCAAAGAAGGTGACATCTGCAAACATGTAGAATTTTCTGGTCTCTGGGGAGTAAGGGATTTTATTTTCAAAGGAAGAAGAGGGCATTCTTTTTACTAAAAAACAAGAAGTGAGAATTGCATCACCCCAATGGTGTACAGGAACATTTGCCTAAGCATTAGGGTGCATGTAGTCTCCACAAGGTGCCTATTTTTCCTTTTTTCTATTCCATTTTGTTGGGGTTTATGTGGACATGTAGATTGATGTAAGACACCCTGTGAGGGTAGGAAAAAGGATAATTCAGAAGAGAAATATTCTTTTGCATTGTCACTTCTAAAAATTTTAATTATTCTCCCAAATTGATTTTTGATCTCATTGAAGAAACACAAAAATAGACAAAAGCTAAAAACGATCTTTCATTAAATATACCCAAGTATATCGAGAAAATTCATCAATAAAGGTTACAAAATATCTGAAACCAAAAGATGTTACACGGCTTGGACCCCAAATATCAAAATGAAAGGTGGTGAAAATTGAGTTACATCTTTTATCAGTTTGCTTGGGAAAAGACGACCTAACATGTTTGCCTAGTTGGCATGATTCACAACCTAACTCTTCTAATTTTTTAAGACTAGGAACCAAAAGTTTCAACTTGGATAGACTTGGGTGACCCAAACGATCATGCAAAAGCTTGGGTGACAAAATAGCAACACAAGATACAGGTGGTTGCGTTTCAAAATAGTAGAGACCACTAAATTCATATCCTCCACCAACCTTTCGACCCGTATCACGTTCCTGAACAATTTAAGGATTTGGTTAACTGACTTAAAGAGATTAAGTTGAAAGGACAATTAGGGATAAACAAAACAGTTTAAATTTAATGAGGGAGATAGAGAAACTTGATCGATTCCTTTGGGAGCAATTCTGGATCCATCTGTTAAGGTAATAAGGTGAGGTGATCTAAGTGGGGACATGGAAGAAAACATAGAATTATTACCGGTTATGTGATCAGAGGCTCCTGAATCAATGATCCATGGACTTTGATTTGTAGTTGAATGAGAATCACAAGCTGTAGAAACAGTAGTGGTAGAGGAAGATTGAGCTCGATTCATAGATTTCCATTGATGATATTCTTGATAGTCATCTTTAGGGATCTTCATATCAGATTTTCCTAATTTCTCTGACTTGGACAGATTTGCTATCTTCTCTGGAAAACCAAGAAGAGAATAACAATTCTCTTGAGTATGACCCATCTTCTTGCAGTATGAACATTGAGGACGACCACTTCTGCCTCCTCTTCCTCTTCAATTTCCACGACCACCTCTACCCTGACTAGAAATCATTGCAGGAGCTTCAACAATTCCACCATAGTTTTCATTGAGTCTGACTATTAGGCTGTCCATTGAAGGAATCTCGTGGCCGGTCAGAATCTGGTCACGAACATGATTGAAATCTAGGTGCAATGTTCTCAGGATTAGCACCATATATAGCCTATCAAGTTTTTTATTTATTCCATCTAATGAATCATCTGTCAAGAACATTTTTAGTTCTTCTATAGCAGCTTGGGCTTCAACAATTTGGGATGTCATTTCATGATTAATTTGTTTCAAGGATGCTATTTTTTGAGTAGCATCATATAACCGCTAAATATCGTTTGCATAAATATTTTGAGCCTTTTTCCAAAAAGAATAGCAAGTTTTGAAGGCTCTAAGTGTCCCCAAAATACCTGTCTCAACCGACTGCCACAACACAACACATAGTTGAAAATCAAGCTTCTTCCATTTAGCTCGACTTTCATCTGAACCCTCAGGGTCTTCCATTTCTAAGTGATTGTGGTACCCTTGACCAAGGAACCATAGTTCCATAGAGGCAGCCCATGATAAATAATTTTTTCCATTGAGCTTCTCCGTGGTTATGGTCGGAGTGCCAGAAATGGGCAAAATAGGACCTAGAGATGCCATAGGAGGAAGGATCGTGCAACAGGGATTAAAGAGAGAAGACCAGCAGAAGAGAAACGCAGACCCACTCCTTAAATAGTGGTCAAATCAAAAAATTGAGTCCAGAAATAGGCTCAGAAGGCTCCGACAAACAAGGTAGTGGCTGAATGAGGAAGTTCTGACGAACAAATGGCGACACGTGAACAGTATGCGCTTGATAAAATCGGATAGAGAAGCGGTAGGTGAGCGCATGAGACCTCCAATGACACTGGAGTTGATAGGGTTAGGTTGCGCTTGATGAGGCACACCAAACCATAGGTTTGCTGGAGTAAGAGGTCATCGATAGACGGCGGCGAATGGCAGCGGACGGCAGAGCAGGATCGACCCCGCTTTGATACCAACTTGAATATTGAAATAAGCAGAAAAAGATTAGTATCGCTGATCTGTCTATTTTCCTTACATTAGGAGTGATAATGATTAGGATTACAAGAAAAAGGTTGAAGAGTCTAGAAGCCTAAGCAATCGCATCAAGAGAGAGTACAATCAAAACAAAAATACAGTAAAATATTTAAACAAAAGAGGCTTTCTGAACAAGCTATTCTAACAACCTTAAGTGGTTGTTATATTTAATGTTAGTTATTAGTGAATGCATAGGAAATGAAGTTAACAATAAATGAATGGTAAAAAAGAAATGTAACCTTAAGTAACTTTAAAAACTAATGAATGTTGCTTATGATTAAGATAAAAACTAATTTGTTGCTTATAATTAGAACTAGAGGTAGTATTTGATAATATTAGGCTAAATTTCACATTTAGTTCTCTTTTTTATCTTCTTTTATATTTTTATGAGATAAAAAAAAATGTGAACTAAAAGTGAAATTTAGCCTAAAAATTAATTTTTAATTGTCATTTCATCTACTTTAACATTAGATCATAACTAACGTTACAATTCTAACGATTAGTGGACAAACATTCGACAATGAGACTAAAATTGCAAAATTAAAAATAGAGAGAAAAAAATTACAAATTTGATATTATTAAGGGACCAAAGTGCAATTTAGCCAAAAGAAAAATTAAATATGCTTAAACTTGGTTATGCGTAAGTTAACAATAAGTTTTTGAAAAATATAATATAAAAAAGTTTCTACAAATTAACTTGTGCAATAGCTAGTTTTAGCCTATAGAGAAGTTAATTTTAATTTTTCCTGCTAAAAGTACTTGTGAAGAAATTTATTCAAAGAAACCTTAAATAAAATATCAATGAAGAAATTTATCCAAATAGACCCTAAATAAAATATCAAGAGTTTCACATTTCTGATGTTGTGAATCATGCCAACTAGGCAAACATGTTAGGTCGTCTTTTCCCAAGCAAACTGATAAAAGATGTAACTCAATTTTCACCACCTTTCATTTTGATATTTGGGGTCCAAGCCGTGTAACATCTTTTGGTTTCAGATATTTTGTAACCTTTATTGATGAATTTTCCGACTCCGATCTTCGCTTCTGGTCGTCGACTCCGACCGCTGCTTCCGATTGCTACCTTCGGTCGTCATCTCCGACGACCGCTTCCAGTTGCCACCTCCGACCGCCGCTTCCGATCGCCACTTCTGGTTGTCGCCTCCGATTGCCGCTTCTGGTCGCCGACTCCGGTCACTAATTCTGACCGCCGCTTCCGGTCGCCGACTCTGGTCGCTGACTTCAACCACCGCTTTTGATAGCCGCCTCTGACCGCTGCTTCCGGTCGCCAACTCCGACCGCCGCTTCCGGTCGCCGACTCTGACCACTGCTTTCGATAGCTGCCTCCGGTCGTCGTCTCCGACCGTCGCTTTCGATAGCCGCCTCCGGTCACAGCCTCTGACCGCTGCCTCGGGCCGCCTCCGGTGACCAGTTAGCAGATGTGTTCACAAAATCGCTTAAAGGACCTCAGATTGATTACATTTGTAACAAGCTTGGTGCATATGATATATATGCTCCAGCTTGAGGGGGAGTGTTACAGATATTGTGAATATATTACAGATATTGTGGATACATATATTATTGTTATTATCCTCACTATCAATTAAGGATATGATTAGATTAGTTTCCATAATATTAGAGATTAGTATCTCTATCATTTATTGTATTCACTCTATAAATAAGATTGGTATGTGTATAACAATACACACAATTCCTGAATCACAACAATGTCTAATTGAAACAATGGCCAATGCCTCATAGCAGCCATGGCTAAGAAGAGACGAACTGAGGCCATCTTCGCAATTGGAGAGAAAGTGTCACTACAATCCAAACCATATACTTGTGTGTATCCCTTAGCCGCAAGACTTTCAATCTATCCACCTTTCCATCAGGGCCCACTTTAACATTAATCACTATTTTATTTTTGGCCTATTTCTTTAATAGGACATCTTGGGTCTGACTAACACTTCATGTTTTTTTCCTATGCTACATGTTGTAGTTATTTACTCATTATCTTGTATTGAGACTAGTGGCATTTTTCTGTACTATATTTAAATCATTATTAAGTTTTATTTTCTATTTGTTTATTGAATTTTAAGTTATTGTTTACCTTGTTGATATTCCAGGGGGACCAAAGCTTGTCAAGCATTACTCATATCATAGTTGATGAAGTTCATGAGAGGTCTTTATTGGTGAGTTGAATCAATTAAGTTGCAATATAGAGTGGTTATATATTATATTTCCAACCTGCATTCTCATGTTAGATCCCTTTAAGCTTGAAGAGTTGGCCCACCCAGGGATGATGTAGAATTTCAGAAAAAAGAAAGAGGGATGGAACAGTTTTTCTTATTTTTTATATTTTGAATTCTTCAATAGAAGAGACCCGATTATATAATTACAGAAAAAGTATAGAAGAACCTAGTAGGTGTGTTGATGTGGCAACAACCAATCAGCTTACAAGAATGCTAACTGTGCTAATGTGGCAAATAGCCACTCAGCTTACAACCAAAGGATAGGGCAATTAGGTGGGTTACCGATGGGTTTTGCCCTCCCATCCTTGCAGATGGGTTAGGGTTTGAGTTTACAAGAGACGGACAAATTAATATTTTTAAAATCCATTCCCATTTTAGTCGGGTTATATTAAGAAGCAAATTCTAACTACTAAAAAAAGTAATTTTTTAATTATTGCTCTTCTTATAATCATTTAAACAATCTGGCCCCTTATTTAGTACTAATGTACTATCACACTTTATTATTGTGATTTGCTACTTTTTATTTTATTATGGTATTGAAATGTTTAACTAATGTTGTGTTGAGTATTATGTTATGCATTGCCTATGTTTGTGTCGTATCATATCTGAGTCTCGCATAGATAGATTCAATGACATAACTACGGCCTTCAAATTTAAAACTTAAATAAATCATCTTTTATTTGAAAACTTTCATTTCATTCTTGGTATCAAAGTATCGAAGAAGCAAATAAATGAAATGCTAGAATTTTCAACCTTTTCTTCTATTGTGAAATTTGATTGCTCCTTTGAGCCTGATAATTTTATGGCTTTTTGTGTTGTTAGGAATAGGATGATTTATGATCCTCCATTTCTGCACTATTATATGTTAATAATAATCTCTTTTGCTTAAAGATATATTAATTTCATATATTTTCATTTTATTTTTTTACAGGGTGATTTTCTTCTTATTGTTTTAAAGAATATAATTGAGAAGCAGTCCACTAAAAGCTCTGGAAAACTGAAGATCATTCTAATGTATGAATTTTTGTGTTAAATTTTGTTCCAAGAATTAGTGGACAAAACTTGCTTATATTAATTTCCTTTGAGCCTAACTTTCTTTTTGTCATGTATGCAACTATAATAACCAGGTCTGCAACTGTTGATTCAAGTTTATTTTCAAGATACTTCAGCAATTGTCCTGTAGTTACTGCTGAAGGCAGGACTCATCCGGTGACATCATACTTTCTTGAGGATATATATGATCAACTTGAGTATCGACTTGCCTCAGATTCTCCAGCTTCTTTAACAAATGGGATTTTTCCCAAAAGACAGGTAATCTATGATCAACTTTAGATTAGTGTTACTGATTTGATCTCTCAATTGTTCACTCTTTATACTTTTGATGAATTGGAGCATAAATTATCTGATTTATGTTACCCTCTTCCACTAATTTATGAAGCATTGCAATTTAGATTTTGCAGAGAGATGTTGTGACAAATAACAGGGGTAAGAAGAATCTAGTCTTATCTGCATGGGGTGATGAGTCTCTGCTTTCTGAAGAACATGTTAATCCATATTTTGTTCCGAGTTATTATCAATTATATAGTGAACAAACTCAGCAAAATATGGTAATCCCGTTTTAAGCTGTAAATTTGTATACCACCTTAAATTGCGATTCTATTGACCATTCCAAAAATTTCCTTTCAGAAAAGATTGAATGAAGATGTCATTGATTATGATCTTCTTGAAGATCTGATATGTTTCATTGATGAAACTTGCGATGAGGGTGCCATCCTTGTATTCCTACCTGTAAGACTACGTGGTTATCCTTTGAGTTGAGTTGACGTGTTACTTGTACTTTTTAGTGCGAATAGTTATATTTTTCATTATGACTTGTCATGCCAGGGAATGTCTGAAATAAACTGCTTACATGATAAGTTGGTGGCATCTTGCCAATTTGGTGGGCCATCTTCTGAATGGGTTATTCCTTTGCATTCATCAGTTGCATCAAGTGAACAAAAAAGGGTGTTTTTACGCCCTCCAGGAAATATACGTAAGGTGAGTGAGTTTGACATTTATAATTTTCTTTCTATTAGCATTATAAATCTGATCACATAACCGGTAATAATTCTATGTTTTCTTCCATGTCCCCACTTAGATCACCTCACCTTATTACCTTAACAGATGGATCCAGAATTGCTCCCAAAGGAATCGATCAAGTTTCTCTATCTCCCTCATTAAATTTAAACTGTTTTGTTTATCCCTAATTGTCCTTTCAACTTAATCTCTTTAAGTCAGTTAACCAAATCCTTAAATTGTTCAGGAACGTGATACGGGTCGAAAGGTTGGTGGAGGATATGAATTTAGTGGTCTCTACTATTTTGAAACGCAACCACCTGTATCTTGTGTTGCTATTTTGTCACCCAAGCTTTTGCATGATCGTTTGGGTCACCCAAGTCTATCCAAGTTGAAACTTTTGGTTCCTAGTCTTAAAAAATTAGAAGAGTTAGGTTGTGAATCATGCCAACTAGGCAAACATGTTAGGTCGTCTTTTCCCAAGCAAACTGATAAAAGATGTAACTCAATTTTCACCACCTTTCATTTTGATATTTGGGGTCCAAGCCGTGTAACATCTTTTGGTTTCAGATATTTTGTAACCTTTATTGATGAATTTTCTCGATATACTTGGGTATATTTAATGAAAGATCGTTTTTAGCTTTTGTCTATTTTTGTGTTTCTTCAATGAGATCAAAAATCAATTTGGGAGAATAATTAAAATTTTTAGAAGTGACAATGCAAAAGAATATTTCTCTTCTGAATTATCCTTTTTCCTACCCTCACAGGGTGTCTTACATCAATCTACATGTCCACATAAACCCCAACAAAATGGAATAGAAAAAAGGAAAAATAGGCACCTTGTGGAGACTACATGCACCCTAATGCTTAGGCAAATGTTCCTGTACACCATTGGGGTGATGCAATTCTCACTTCTTGTTTTTTAGTAAAAAGAATGCCCTCTTCTTCCTTTGAAAATAAAATCCCTTACTCCCCAGAGACCAGAAAATTCTACATGTTTGCAGATGTCACCTTCTTTGAACAAACTTCATTTTTCTCATGCACCACTCATGATTCTCTTTCAATACAACAAGTACTACCAGTTTTTTCTCATGTTTCCATTCCACCTCAAATTTCACTTCATAACCAAGAGTTTACTTAGTCCATTATTCCCACAACTACTCCTTTCAAGCTACTCCACCTCCTCTTGTCACATATCAATGTCGAACAAGACAAATTGGTCCAACATTACCTGAAGAGTCACCGGATTCATGTCCTTCACCATCACACACCCCGACTACGAATCCAAGTGAGGATAACTCTAGATGGCCCATTCCTCTTCGAAAAGGTATTCGGTCTGGGTATACTTAGATTTATGGCCTAGACTATAGTGACACCTTCTCTCCTATGGCCAAGATTCCTACTGTTCGTCTCTTTCTTGCTATGACAGTTATTCGTCATTGGCCTCTCCACCAATTAGACATTAAAAATGCCTTTCTTCATGGTGAGTTGGAGGAGGAGATTTACATGGAGCAACATCCTGGATTTGTTGCTCAGGGGGAGTCTGGTTTAGTTTGTAAATTGCGAAGATCTCTTTATGGCCTCAAACAATCTCCTAGAGCTTGGTTTGGAAAATTTAGTCATGTTGTACAAGACTTTGGGCTTAAAAGAAGCAAAGCAGACCACTCAGTTTCTATTGTCATACTTCTCCTGGGAGATGTGTTTATTTGATTGTTTATGTGGATGACATAGTGATTACAGGAAATGATGTAGCTATAATCTCTCAATTGAAGAAACATTTGTTTAGCCATTTTCAGACCAAAGATCTGGGACATCTAAAATATTTCCTTGGAATTGAGGTTTCCCAATCAAAGGAAGGCATTGTGATCTCTCAAAGGAAGTATGCTTTGGACATTTTGGAGGAAACAAACATGACTGATTATAGACCCATTGATAGTCCTATGGATCCTAACCAAAAGTTAATGACTGATCAAGGTGAACCATTCACAAAGCTAGAAAGGTATAGGAGATTAGTTGGGAAACTCATTTATCTTACAATCACAAGACCTGATCTCTCTTTTGCAATAGGGATTGTTAGTCAATTCATGCAAGCTCCTAATATCGATCATTGGAATGCTGTTCTGCGTATTCTTAGATATATCAAAAAGGCTCTAGCACAAGGATTACTGTACGAGGACAAAGGAGACAATCAAATTTCTGAATACTGTGATGCTGATTAGGCAGGATGTCCTATAGATAGACGTTCTACTACTGGATACTGTGCATTCCTTGGTGGAAATCTCATTTCTTGGAAGAGTAAGAAACAAAATGTTGTTGTTCAATCTAGTGTTGAAGCTAAATATCGAGCTATGGCCTTGATTACTTGTGAATTTGTATGGATTAAGCATCTCATTCGAGAGTTAAGATTTTTTGAGGATCATCCAATGAAATTGTATTGTGATAATCAAGCCACTCTTCACATTGCTTCCAATCCAGTATTTCACGAGAGAACCAAGCACATAGAGGTTGACTGTCATTTTTGTGAGAGAGAAGTTGTTGTCCAAGGAAATCATTACTGAATTTGTCCAATTGCACAAGAGTTAGCCTTGAGTTCCGCTTTTGACTCTTCAACTTGGAGGAGGTAGAGTCCAACACATTCTTTAGCATTTCCAATCGCCTTCCCCGACTCCAAAATCTAAAATTCGCATAGGTTATTTAAAATATTTTTTGTCCCTGACGTTAGTATGATACTATTGATGTGTAATCCATCCTGACGTGCTGAGAATCATGTCAGCACTTAACAGAAGCAAATTAACATCAAGGACAAAAGGAAAAATATCATTTTACAGGCACCATTTAAAAAAAAAAGGACCAAAACCAAATTACGATTGATGATAGGGACCAAATACATGATTAAGCCATCCAAAAAGATATACAAAACCTGAAATCTTTGTTTTGCTAATGGAAAGGTTGTGTTAGGCCTTTAAATTGAAACTTGATCTATTGCAGATTGTTGTTATGTTTTTATTTATTTATTTATTCTAATTTCTTAAAAATATGTTTTGTTCTCCTCGTAGGTTGTTATAGCCACAAATATAGCAGAGACAAGCATAACAATAGATGATGTGATATATGTAATTGACTGTGGAAAGCATAAAGAGAACCGCTACAATCCTCAAAAGGTATGGTTTCTTTCTTATTTATTGTGATTTAGCACTTCCTGACAAATGACAATATTCGCTTTGTTACTTTCATCATATCTTGTTCATAGAGGTCTTGATCATGCATATGTTGCCATTAAACATTGTTCATCAGCTGCATTTTTGGACTGCTAATGTGTGAATTTTACAAATAATTTTTAAAACCAGGAGTAGTGGAACTGAGTCGGTCCCCCTTTCACTTGTTCCAGTATTGGGGATGAAATGGATACACTTGCCTAAAGACTGCATAACTTTAGATAGTTAGCATCTGCATATTTATTTATTGGAAACTTGGCCAGTCTTAATAAAATATATTTATTTTAAAACTAATGAGAACTTTTCTTATATTTTTATTGGTTAACAATTTCATTTTGTTTTCTAGAGCTTAAATAACAATTATAAAATTATTACTGAACTCCTTATATGCTTTGAATGTGATAATATAACACTATGATCTGGTTTGGTTGTCTTTATGGTTGATACTAGAAATTGTCTAGCATGGTTGAAGATTGGATTTCTCAAGCAAATGCAATGCAGCGTCGTGGTAGAGCTGGACGTGTAAAACCTGGAATTTGCTTTTGCTTGTACACTCGTCATAGATTTGAAAAGCTCATGCGTCCATATCAGGTATATAATTTGAAATGAAATGCTTAAATAGTCATCAAGGTACCTAGGCTGCATTTGGTTTGTTTTTTGTCATGAAGGTATATTGTTGTAAATATCATAGATACTTAGAAGATCTAGAATATATGTAAATATCTTTAGATATTTGTTTCCCTATTTCATTATTATTTTGTTTTCCTATTTCTTTATTTTTGTTATTTTCTTAGTTAAGCATAGTCATTTACTTTTTTTATTTATTAAAAGATAGAAATGCTATTGCATCACTATATAGAAAGTGATCCTAAATTCCTAACTAGGTTAGCACCACGACGCAAAACTATATATAGAATAACAAAGCAGAACAGAGAAGTATAATAATGAACACTCAAGAAAAGAGAACATCACTGTTGTATTATTTCTTCTGAATAAAAAGAAAAGGTTACAGTGGAATGGATCGTAGATGCTCTCTGTCCATAACTAATTTCTTGAATCGTTCCATAAGCGTTGTCCTGCCTTACTCCCTACCAATACAATAGAAAACTCCCTCACCCAAATTGTTCCACTCCTCTCTCTGCCACATCAACATTCTCCCCTTTCCCCCATTTGTTTCTCCTGACATATACTCTCCACACTTTACGCTTGGTCAGCTGATGTGCTAATGGCCCATCAAGGCCCAAATGACCATCTAAGGTCCTATTGTTGCTCCCCTCTGGAAAATTAGACTTGTCCTCAAGTCCGAAATTAGGAAACTGATTCCTAATGTTGAATTCCTCTTACCATGTGGCCTCCTCTAAAGCCTTGTCCTTCTATTGTATTAGCAGCTGATGGATAGAATCTCCTCCTTTAGTCACTGTTCTAGTATCAAGGACAACAGCAGGTTCATATAAATATGCAAAGTTCCCTGAGGAAGTTCTTCTCCACTTGAAAGTCTCCAATGGCTTTCTTCAATAGTGACAAGTGAAATACAAGGTGAATTCAAGATGAATCAAGCAATTTAAGTCTGTAAGCCACAACCCCAACCTTTTTGATGACTTGAAATGGACCATAGTATCTAGGAGCCAGCTTTGGACAGATTCATGCTCTTATTGTTTATTGTCCATGAGGTCTTAACTTCAAGAAGACCTAGTCTCTGATTGCAAAATTTCAATCCTGGTGCTTATGATCTGCTTGAACCTTCATCCTATCTTGAGCCCTTTGCAAATGGTATTTGAGTTGCCACAATGCCTCATCTATGTCCAAGAGTTCACTTTGGACTGCTTCCACTTTGGTGTCTAATTGTAAAAAGTGAATGATGACAGGTCTCCCATAGATGCCTAGGGTGTGGTCCCGGTGGATACATGTACAGTAGTATTGTACCAATACTCAACCCATGGTAACCATTGCTTCCAAGTCTTAGGTTGGTCTGCAATAAAACATCGTAGAAATGTCTCCAAACAACTATTAATTATCTCAATTTGTCCATCCGTTTGAGGGTGGTATGCTATGCTCATCTTCAAATGAGTGCCCTACAATTTGAATAACTCCTTCAAAAAATTATTAACAAAAATTGGATCTCTATCACTTATAATAGATGTTGGAATACCGTGGAGCCTCACTACTTCCTTGATGAAAAATTTCAGCCACTGTTCGAGCAATGTATGGGGGCTTCAAAGGAATGAAGTGGCTATATTTAGAAAGCATGTCAACTACCACCAAACTCGCTTCATACCCTTTGGACCTAGGTAAACCAGTTATGAAGTCCGTGGAAATTTCTTCCCATATTTTTTCAGGAATATTCAATGGTTGTAATAAGCCCCCAGAAGTTGCAGCAAAATATTTTTGTCTCCGACAAACATCACACTACATCACCCACTGTTGAATGCTCTTTTTCATGCCTATCCAATACCAACCACCCATCGTACAACAAAACCCTATTCTGATAAGAGAATCCTTGCTTTGTCTCCTTGCCCTGCTACATGTCCTTGATGATATAATTGAGTATCTTATCTTCATGCACCTCTTCTATCACCTTCCTTCCTTCAAGCCAGTTGGAATAATGTATCAAAAAATTGAATTCCTCCTCTCCATACATCTGTGATAATGCATCAACACCCTTGTTCTCTAAGCTTGGCTTGTAAACAATGTCAAATCTGTATCCTAATAGTTTGGCTGCCCAATTTTGTTGGTCCCAAGTTGTTACCCTCTATAGCAACAATTGACGTAAGCTTTTTTGTTCAGTGTAAATAGTAAATTTTTGACCTAGTAAATAGGGTCTCCAATGTTGGATACCTAAAGCCATAACCATAAACACTGTCTCATAAGCCGACTTGGATAGTTTCCTGTCTCCCAAAGCTTTACTGATATAAGCTACTAGTTTACCATTTTGTGTTAGGAAGGCACCTAAACCTTGACAAGAGGCATCACTGTCAATGCCTCTTGTGTGGTTTGAGTCCATTGAAACCCATCCTTCTTCGTGAGCTCAGTTAGGGGCTTAGCTAGTTTTCCATAATCTTGAATAAATTTTCGGTAATAGCCCATTAAACCCAAAAAACCCCTCACTCCCTTTACATTCTCGAGTATAGGCCACTGAACCACACTTTTAATTTTACTAGGGTCCATGGCTACCCCCTCCTTTGAGTATAGCACCTAGCCACCAAACAAGCTTTGAATCGATCAATATCACAATTCGGTCCAATCTTCACTGTATAAACCCAATGATAGCCCAACTATAGTCTTTCCATATGAAGGACAAATTGTAGTCCAAAATGTTCATGACACCCCAAAAAGAGATCAATTTCTTATGAAATTGAGATCTGATTTTGAGGGCATTCAGACCAACCTAATGAACAGGGCTATTGTCCCTTCCTGAAATGAATGCCTAAATGAACTGCTTTGTAAAGAACATCTCCTCAATTAGATGAATCTGGAACAACAAAAATTTGCCTCCCTTCCTATGGCGTCTGCAGTACACAAAGCAGACCTCGAGGATGAGACATGAGTACTATCTAATGTTTTTACTGCAAAGGCTTGGGCCATTTTGCTTCTCACTATCCTAAAAAGTTTTGCAATTATTCCAAAAAAGAAGGTCACATCATCAAAGAATGTCAAATTCGACCACTACGGAGAAATGCAATAGCCTTCACTGCCTCTAGGTTCTTTTGCTACTCCTGTTTCTGTGGATCAAAATCCACCTACTTTTCTACTTTAACTCTTAAAATGGTTCAACAAATGATTGTTTCAACATTTTCTGCTTTGAGTCTTTCAAGTAAAGCTTCTTTACCCAACTCTCCTTGGTATTTTGACTTTGGCGCATCCAATCATTTGACCAATAATGTTGCTGCCCTTTCCAATATTACCAATTACTCTAGTAATTTGCAAATACATATTGCAGATGAAAACAATTTACCTATCACAGCAATTAGTGATATTTATTCATCTCTTACCAATGTTTATGTTTCCCCTGATCTCACCACTAACCTGATTTCAGTTGGTCAATTAGTTGACAATAATTGCAAAGTTGAATTCTCAAAATCTGGTTGTCTTGTGCAGAATCAACACTCAGGGACAATGATCGTGAAGGGGCCTAAAGTTGGACGTCTTTTCCCTCTTTATTCATCGTTGTCTCAGTGTTCTTTTTTGTCTTCTATTTCTTGTAATTCTGCAACTGTTAATTTCCAAACATGGCATAAGCGTCTTGGTCACCCAAACTCTAATGTACTTCATGACTTGATGAAATCTGGCGTTCTCGGCAATAAAAATTTCCCATCTCTTAGTGTTGTTCAATTTGATTGTCCTTCTTGCAAACTTGGTAAAAGTAAAGTTCTATCGTTTCCAGTTCATCAATCAAATATCAATCATCCTTTTAAAATGATACATAGTGATTTATGGGGAATAAAAACTATTATATCTCATGCACATTAGAAGTACTTCATTACTTTTATTGATGACTATAGTCATTTCACATGGGTCTATTTTTTGCCCTGTAAAGCTGATGCATTTTGTGCATTCAAATTCTTTCATGCCTATGTTAACACTCAATTTTCATCAAAAATTAAAATTATGCATTCTGACAATGGGGAGAAATACACATCTCATATATTTCAAGAGTTCTTGCTGGAAAATGGTATATTATCCCAATGGTCATGTCCTTCCACACCCCAACAAAATGGGGTAGCTGAACAAAAAAACTGTCATCTTCTGGATGTTGTTCGTACCTTAATGTTGGATTCACTTGTGCCCTCCCGTTTTTGGTGTGAAGCTCTTTCAACTGTTGTCCACCTTATTAATCGATTGCCTTCTCCAATATTAAATAATGATTCACCTTTCTTAAGATTATTTGGTAAACCACCCACTTATTCCCCTCTTCGCACCTTTGGTTGTGTCTGTTATGTTCATCTTCAGCCACAAGAACGCACCAAGCTCACAGTTCAATATGTTAAATGTGCTTTTCTTGGTTACTCAACCCATCAAAAAGGTTTTATATGCTATGATCCTCATACACATAGGATTCGGGTTTTTAGAAATGTCATCTTTCAAAAAGATACATATTTTTTTGCTACCAACCAAGACACTCACTTTTCTACATCCAAATTTGTTTGGCCATTATTTTCTAACAGTTTTGCAGGAGAACGACCATTCTTGGTCTACCAAAGACGTCCAACTGTTCCACAAATTTAGTCTTCCATCACTCCAAGGCCCCTTCCCATTCATACTTTGGTTGTTGATCCAACGAATCAACTAGACTCAGTCCCTTTACGTTGCAGTACTCACATTCGTAAACCACCAGAAATGTATGATTTTTCTGAACCTTTATCTTTGACAACAACTTTAGCATTTGTTCCTATTCCTCCTTCATATAACTAGACTATGGAGCATAAATGTTAGCAGGATGCTATAGAAACTGAACTTTTGGCACTAGAGGCAAATCAGACATGGGACATTGTTCCATGTCCTCCATCTATTAAACCTCTTAGCAGTAAATTTGTATTCACTATAAAATTGTGTTTAGATGGATCAATAGATTGATATAAGGCTAGATTTGTTGTTCTTGGAAATAAGAAAAAATTTGGCCTAGACTATAAATAAACCTTTGCACCTGTGGCCAAAATGACTACTGTCAAAATTATTCTTGCCATTGCTGCCTCTAAATCTTGGCAAATTCACCAGCTACATGTAAAAAATGCCTTCCTTCATGGTGACCTCAAAGAAGAAGTTTACATCAAACTTCTTAATGGTATGTTTTCACCATTACCTGATACTGTTTGCAAACTAAAACGTTCTTTGTATGGATTAAAACAGGCACTAGAGTGTGGTTTGAAAAGTTTAGAACAACCCTGGGTTTTTCCTTCCTCCAAAGCAGCTTGATCTATCCTTTTTTTCCAAAGGACTTCAAAAGAAATTGTGATGCTCTTTGTTTATGTCGACGACATTGTCATCACTGGTTCAAATCAGGAGATATCACTACAATCAAACAATTGTTACATAAAACTTTTCATATGAAAGATCTTTGTCAGTCAGCATAAATATACTTAGGATTTAATTCAGCTAGTTGATCTCACCAATGCAATTGTAGTTGACACTCATGGAAGTTAATGTCAAGTTAACATGTAATGAAGGTGAACTCCTACCAGACCCAACTTTATACAGGAAACTGGTTGGAAGTCTTATCAACCTCACCATCACAAGACCTAGTATCTCCTTTGTTGTCCACACAGTTAACAAACTCATGCAAAACCCTAGACACCTGGTGTATGTTTTTAGGCGATGCCCCTATCTCCTGGAAATGTAAGAACAAGATTCGGTTTTTAAATCCTCTATTGAAGCTGAATATCGGTCCATGTCTACAACATGCTCTGAGATTATTTGGTTACGGGGCCTTCTTTTTGAACTTGGTTAATCACAAACACAACCTACTCCATTACATGCTGATAATACCAGTGTCATATAGATTGCAGCAAATCTTGTATACTGTGAAAGAATGAACCACATAGAGGTTGATTGTCATTCGATCAAAGAAGTCTATGACTGAAGAATTATCACTCTACCTCATGTCTCAACCTCTGTTCAAATAGCTGACGTCCTCACCAAGTAGAAAAACATACTTTACCCAGACAATGATTTCTTTGGGATACAAACAGAGTCAAGGGGATCATACTTTGTTTATAAAACATTCTCCTAATGGTGAACTTACAATACTTTTAGTCTATGTAGACGACATGATCCTTGTAGGTGATGATGAAGAAGAAAAATTTACCCTAAAGAAGAAATTGGCAACCTAGTTTGAGATGGAAGACTTGGGAAGATTTAAGTATTTCTTGGGAATTGAGGTTTCTTATTCCAAGAAAGGCATATTTATCTCTCAAAGAAACTATGTCCTTGATCTTCTTAAAGAAACAGGAAAGTTGGGATGCAGGACCTCAGGAGTTCCGATTGAACAAAATCACATAATTAGAAGTGAAGAAAGTCCACCTGTAGAAAAATACCAATATAAAAAATTGGTAGGGAACTAATTTACCTATCACACACTAGACTAGACATTGCTTATGATGTGAGTGCAATTAGTTAGTTCATGCATGAATCCTGTGAAAGACATTGTTGGCAGTTGACATGATTTTTCAAAACTTGAAGTCAAGAGGAGACACCATGTCTATGGAAGTATATACTGATGCAAACTATGCAGGGTCAGTCATAGATAGGAAATCTACTTATGGATATTGCATGTTCTTGGGAAATTTGGTGACTTGGAGGAGTAAGAAATAAAGTGTAGTTAGCTTGATTTAGTGCAGAAGTTGAATTTCGAGCCTTGGCATAGGGCATATGTGAAGGGCTATGGAAGAAGGTTATTCTTGATGACCTTAGAATTCAAATTGAGCTACCTATGAAGTTGTTTTGTGGCAACAAGTCAGCCATTAACATTCTTCATAATCCAGTTCAACATGACAAGACCAAGCATATTGAGATAGACAAACACTTCATCGAAGAAAAGTTGGACAGTGGTCTTATATTAGCCACCCTGTTTGTATCGTATGTGTTATATCCTAATTAAGTTCTCTATCATTTTGCATTATTAATCCCATATTAATTTTAGAAACCATTGGTATGACATCTCCCATTTTGGCTTCCATGTCATTTCTTGTCTCTTGCTAAAATTGCAATGCATATACTTTGTCTAATTCCTACTTAAGCAAATACCCTTTTGCTTAAAAAATGCTATGATATTTTTTGTTTTTTGTTTCCTTTTTTTAATGATTGAGAATAAAATGCAGAAGAAAGTGTTATTTTATGTTTTGTTTTACCATCCTTCTAATTTACTTTGTTTTCCCATGTTTTTGTTATATTCTACTTATCAAGGTTCCAGAGATGCTTCGGATGCCATTAGTTGAATTGTGCCTGCAGATTAAGTTACTGTCTCTTGGATATATCAAGCCATTTTTGTCCGAGGTAAAGTTATATTTTAAGACTATAAATATGATCCTTGATCTAGTTATCTGGACTGTTTTCTTCAATAAAATTTCCATTATCAGGCATTAGAACCTCCAAAGGTTGAAGCAATGGATTCAGCAATATCTTTATTGTATGAGGTACTTCATGGTCTTTTCTTACTATGTCACTGATTTCAATGTATGTGTGAATAATCAATTTACAGAAACTATAGGTTTGTTTGATAACCCACTTGGATAAATTATGCTGAGTAATAAATTGTACATAGGTTATTTTAAAGCAACACAGACAGCAGGTTTGCTATATAATTAATGGCAGAATATCAATTTTCTTCGTCCAGCATTCAGTAAATGTGCTAATGCTGTTCCGTTCCATCGAAATGGCAGAATTTTCAGATGCCTTATTTACTTTGGAAGATGTTTATTCATTTGACTTGTTTCTGGTTTCTCTATGTTTATTAGATAAATTGAAGAACTTTATTGTATAGAGATTCTTATTACTTATTTCTATTTTTTTTCCGAGACATTTTCATACTCAGTTCATATTTATTTTCTCAAGTCTGTACTTTTATCTCCAGAAGGAAATGTTCCGAGTTCATTAGCATGTGTATGTAATAGAGTATTAGAGAGAACTCTTTTCTTTCTGTTGTAAGCTGACTGGCTGTTATCCACGTCAGCATAGTTTGGTTACTTGGGTTTTGTTGTAAGCTGAGTGGTTGTGCCACATCAACATAGCTAGTTAGAAAGTTTTTAGCTTCTCTGTAAGCTGATTGGCTATTACCAAGTCAACATAACTATTTAGCTTCCCTTGTACACTTCTCTGTCACTATATAACTTGTTCTCTATCATTGTAGAGATTAGAATATCAATAATAACAAGAAGCTCTCGCATGGCTTCCAATCCTTCTCCGCCGTGTAACTCCAATTCATCGGTGTCTCTTTTGCCGCATTTTGCTTCGTTTCCATTTCCAAATACAAAGAAATTATGGGACGATAATTACCTAGTTTGGCTTCAACAAGTTGAACCATTTCTTCATGCGCACAAAATGCATCACTTGAATATGAATAATTTCTTATTATTGAATCTGAATAGGTACAATAAAATAAATAGGCATAAAACATAATCAATCCCTAAAGTTTAGGGATTTAGATACTTGAATATTGAAACAGAGTGGCCAAAAAAGGATCAGTCTTACTGATCTGTATATTTTCCTTATATAAAGAGTGATTAGGGTTACAAGAAGAAAAAGGCTACAAAGTAGGCTACCGAGTCTAGAAGCCTAAGTAATTACATCAGGAGAAAAGACCAATCAGAAAAATACAATAAATATTTAAACAAGAAGAAGCTTTCTAAACAAGCTATTCTAACACTCCCCCTTAAGCTGTTGCATACAGATTACATGCATCGAGCTTGGAACATAAAAATTGAATTCGAGACCCCCTTAATGACTTAGTCATAACATCTGCAAGTTGTTCACTAGAATTGACAAATCCAGTAATGATTTCCTTGGACAACAACTTCTCTCTCACAAAATGACAATCAACCTCTATGTGCTTGGTTCTCTCGTGAAATACTGGATTGGAAGCAATGTGAAGAGCGGCTTGATTATCACAATACAATTTCATTGGATGATTCTCACAAAATCTTAACTCTTGAATGAGTTGCTTAATCCATATAAATTCACAAGTAATCAAGGCCATAGCTCGATATTCAGCTTCAGCACTAGATCGAGCAACAACATTTTGTTTCTTACTCTTCCAAGAAATGAGATTTCCACCAAGGAATACACAATATCCAGTAGTAGAACGCCTATCTATAGGACATCCTGCCCAATCAGCATCACAATATCCAGAAATTCGATTATCTCCTTTGTCCTCATATAGTAATCCTTGTCCTGGAGCCTTTTTGATATATCTAAGAATACGCAGAACAACATTCCAATGATCAATATGAGGAGCCTGCATGAACTGACTAACAACCCCTACTGCAAAAGAGAGATCAGGTCTCGTGATTGTAAGATAAATGAGTTTCCCAACCAATCTCCTATACCTTTCTGGATCTGTGAACGGTTCACCTTGATCAGTCATTAACTTTTGGTTAGGATCCATAGGACTATCAATGGGTCTGCAATCAGTCATGCCTGTTTCCTCCAAAATGTCCAAAGCATACTTCCTTTGAGAGATCACAATGCCTTCCTTTGATTGGGCAACTTCAATACCAAGAAAATATTTTAGATGTCCCAGATCTTTGGTCTGAAAATGGCTAAACAAATGTTTCTTCAATTGAGAAATTGTAGCTACATCGTTTCCTGTAATCACTATGTCATCCACATAAACAATCAAATAAACACATCTCCCAGGAGAAGTATGACAATAGAAAACTGAGTGGTCTGCTTCGCTTCTTTTAAGCCCAAAGTCTTGTACAACATGACTAAATTTTCCAAACCAAGTTCGAGGAGATTGTTTGAGGCCATAAAGAGATCTTCTCAATTTACAAACTAAACCAGACTCCCCCTGAGCAACAAATCCAGGAGGTTGCTCCATGTAAATCTCCTCCTCCAACTCACCATGAAGAAAGGCATTTTTAATGTCTAATTGGTGGAGAGGCCAATGACGAATGGCTGCCATAGCAAGAAAGAGACGAACAGTAGGAAGCTTGGCCACAGGAGAGAAAGTGTCACTATAGTCGAGCCCATAAATTTGAGTATACCCCTTAGCCACCAATCTGGCTTTGAGCCGATCAACGGTACCATCAGGGCCAAATTTAATAGCATAGACCCATCTGCATCCAATGGGTCGTTTCCCAGGAGGGAGGGGAACTAGCTCCCATGTACCATTATGCTCTAGAGCTTGCATTTCAACAATCATAACTTGTCTCCATCCAGGATGACCAAGAGCCTCATGAACATTTTTAGGAATAGTAAGAGGAGATATAGAAGAGACAAAGGAGAAATACAAGGGAGATAATCGATGATAACTCAGAAAATTATAAATAGGATGAGGATTTCGAGTAGACCGAATACCTTTTCGAAGAGCAATGGGCCATTCAGAGTTATCCTCACTAGGATTCGTAGTAGGGGCATCTGATGGTGAAGGACAAGAATCTGGTGACTCTTCAGGTAATGTCGGGCCAATTTGTCGTGGTCGACGGTGATATGTAACAAGAGGAGGGGGGGTAGCTGGAATAGGAGTAGTGGTGGGAATAATAGACTGAGTAACCTTTTGGTTATGAATTGAAAGTTGAGGTGGAAAGGAATCATGAGAACAATATGGTAGTACTTGTTGTATTGAGAGAGAATCATGAGTGGTGCAGAAGTTTTCACAAAAAGTTTTCTCTTTTTGGTGCAAGAATAAGTACTTGGAGGTCTAAGTATACAAGTTGCACTATCAAGGGAGGTGAGCTACAAGGAGCCACTTAATAACCAAGCCTTTTCAAGTGGAAATTACTAAACCCCCTTATACTTGTCTCACAAATCAAATTTTTCACACAAATTAAGTCAATTAAAAGTGTGTGTGTATGTGTGCACGAAACCATTATTGGGCAAGAAAAGCCTTTTAAACGAACTTGGAAATGTCCCTGGCTACAATTAGAAAGTAAACCAACGAATGAAAGCAATTAAGAAAGCAAGTAAAGCATATACTAGTCGAATTTCCTAGGGTAGAAGTCCAAGTGACACTTAGAGCCCTTTAGACCACTTCCACAAGTACTAAATGTTCTATTAAAGCAAGTAAAATAGTCAAATCCTAGTGGAAGCCCAAATGACACTTGAATCCTTTTAGGGACACTTCCACAAGTACTAACCAGCTTTTGAAATCTGTATTTAAAACTATTTAGGAAGTGGTGGGATTAAGCAAAGGTTTTCCCAAAAGCAACGACTCCTAAATGTGAGTTTGATTTAACGAAGAGAAACAAGAGATTAACCCAATGATAGGGTTAATGATTTACAAGAAAATTTTGGATACAATACAAAGGAATTGAAAAAAAATTCACAAAAAATTAGTAACCGAATTTAGTGATAGCTTTGTGACTGATTTAGTGACTGATTTGGAGCCCTTGGTACTGTTCCTCGCAAATCCGTCACTAAATTTCGTCTCCATGGTGTAGTTTTCCCTTGCTGGAACATTGCTCTTGGAAATCCGTCTCTAATCTAGTCGCTAATTCTGTCTCAACTGGTACTAGAATCTGTTTTCAAAAATCCGTCTCTAAATCTATCTCTAAGTCCGTCTCTAACTCTCCCACCTAAAGCAAAAAAAAAATGTATTGGCTACAAAATGAGCAAACAAGTGAGCCTTTCCAACATGTTTCACTCAAGGATTATATTATCTCAATCTCCCTCAAGTTGTGGCCTCTTTGAGATGAATCTAATATGTCTCAACTATCCACTCCTTTCCAAGTGTAGTGATTTGAAAATGGACTAATTTCACCAAGACTTAACAACCATCAAGAGAATGTGGAGTCCAATAAAATAAAAACTAAAAATTCACAATTAGAAGAGGCTAAACTCATATAGGAATTATTGTGAAAAACTCAAAGAAAGCCAAGAAAGACACAAAGCAACATTTAAGGGACAATCTCAACACTAGCACTCAAAGGAATAGTCATAGGAATGGCTCTAGAGTTGATTACAAAATTAAAATAAAATTTTTGTTATTATTTTGAGTATTTAGAATTTTTTTTCCAGCCACTAGACAGCAATTAAACCTCAAGAAAAATCACACAAAAATTTTAAGGCCAAGTGCTCCTGATACTTCTTTGTTTTTCATTTTTCTTTTTCTAGCTTTTTACTTTTGTTTTCTTTTATCAATATTTAAAAAAATCAAACCGATCTACTTTATAAAAAATGGATCGGTTAACTGATCCATTTTTATAAAATGGTTTAGTTTGGTTTGGATCGCTTTTTTAAAAAAAATTGATCTCCATGTATACTTCTTCATCTAAGCTTCCATGCAGGAAAGCATTGTTAACATCAAACTGATGCATCTCCCAACCAAAGTGTGCTGCCAAGGAGAGGATAATTATGACTGTATTCATTTTTGCCACTGGAGCAAAAGTCTCGTCATAATCAATCCCATAGGTTTGGGTGTATCCTTTTGCAACTAGCCTCGCTTTATACCTGTCTAGTGAGCCATCAGAGCGATACTTAACTGTGTATATCCACCGACAACCCACTGCTTTCTTATCCTTTGGTCTGTCTACAATCTCCCAAGTCTCATTCCTTTCCAATGCACCCATTTCATCGTTCATGGCTTGAACCCAGTTCTTATCCTTTAAGGCTTCTTGTACTGATGTAGGGATTATGATAGAATCAATAGCTGAAATAAAACTTTGGTGCTGCATAGAAAGATTTTTAGTAGACACAAATTGGGATATAGGATATCTAGCACAAGATCTTTTTCCTTTTCTTAAGGCAATTGGTAAATTATCTGGGTTAAGATCACAAGAGATATTTAAGGTGTCTTCAAGATCATGAGTTCTTACCTCTGGTTCGGACAATTGAAGTTGTTCGAGCAGGTCAGGTTTTTCTCTTCACTGATATTGAATCCCAAAACGTCTAACTTCATTATTCTGCATTGGTTCAGGGTCTTTGTCATCCTCCATAAGAGTGGAATCTTGCAACAAAGGAATAGATGACAACTCAAGGAACTTAGCTTCTTCTAGATTACTCTCCCCCTGACGTTGAGTACTACTGAAGAAAGATTCTGTTTCATGAAATGTGACATCCTTGGAGACATAGACACGACGACTTTGGGGGTGATAACATTTGTATCCCTTTTTGTTTGAGGCATAACCTATGAAGACACATTTGATAGCCCGAGGATCTAACTTTCCTCGATGAGTGCTATGAACATGGACAAAAACAGAGCAACCAAAGACACGACTTTGAAGGCTAGTCATAATGGGTATAGAAGGATAGAATGGGGTCATGACTTGAACAAGGCTAACACCATCAAGAACACGAGAGGGCAATCTATTGATTAAATATTTGGCAGTGAGAACAGCTTCCCCCCAGTAAGACTTAGGGACAGACATTTGAAAGAGTAATGCTCTAGTAACCTCAAGGAGATGACAATTTTTCCTTTCTGCAACCCCATTTTGTTGGGGGGTGTCTACACAGGTTAACTCATGAATAACTCCTTTTTATTTAAGGAAATTGGAGAGATTTTGATTTACATACTCTCTCCCATTATCAGAATGCAATCTCTTAATAGGACTTCCAAACTGTATTTGGACCATTTGGTAAAAATTAACAAACAGTTGGAAAACTTCAGACTTATCTTTCATGAGGAAAATCCAAGTAACTCGTGTACAGTCATCAATAAAAGAAACAAACCACTTGGCACCAGAAATATTAGAAGTAGATGCAGGCCCCCCACACATCTGAATGAACAAGATCAAAAGGTTTTGAACTTTTATTATTACTGGGAAGAAAAACTGTTCGATGATGTTTAGCAAATTGACAGACATCACAATGAAAGGACTCAATCGACACTTTTGTAAACAAAAAAGGGAATAATGACTTAAGGACACTAAAAGGAGGATGCCCAAGACGCTTGTGTTGAAGCCATATCTGGGAGGAAGACCAAGATTCTGAACTCATCTGATGACTGGATGTGAGTCCCTTTTGTTTGGTGCACTCTTTACTATCTTCATGTTGCAAGTAATATAACCCGTCCTGCTCTTTAGCAATTCCAATCATCCTCCCCGTGGCAAGATCCTGAAAAACACAATGGGAGTGGAAAAAGTGACTGCACAGTTTAAGTCTTGGGTGATCTTATGAATAGACAAGAGGTTGTTAGATAGTTGTGGAACATGAAGCACATTTTTTAAAAGGAGGGAAGATTGAAGTTGAATGTTGCCACAACCAATAACAGGGGTATGAGAACCATTAGCAACAGTGATATGTTGGTTACCAGATGAAGTGGTATAGGATGAAAAATAAGGAGAATGAGGTGTCATATGATCAGTAGCACCAGAGTCTATAATCCATATATTCTCAGTATTAGAAGCATTAAAGGATAAGAAGCTAGAACTTTTACCATTCATGGTTAAGGAACAAGAACTAGATGTCTTACTAAGAGAGTCCATAAGAGCCCTTAGGCGTTCTAACTCTGCTTTGCTGAGAGCTAGTACCTCATTTTCTGCTAGTGGGATAGATGGGGCACTTTCATGGTCAGATGTTACTTGATTAGCACGTCGTTGTGTAAGCCCTTTGAACCCTCCAGTTCGCTCAAGGACCTTCTCCTTCCCATGGAGCCTATAACATGTCTCCTTAGTATGGTCCGTCTTCCTGCAATAACTACACCACCGATCATCACGACCAGCTTTTATTGGTGGCCTTCTAGATGAAGAGCCTTTTACAGGACCCTTGCCACTAGCTAAGGCTGAACCATCTAGAGGACCCTTACTCGTAGCCAAGGCTAAACCATCAATGGAACTGCCTTCTTCCAACATAACTGACCTCAGAGTTTCTTCACCTCGTACAATGTGGAACACCTCCGAGAGAGAAGGAAGTTTATTCTTACCCAAAATCTGAACCCGAATCGGATCAAACTCTGAGTTTAGTTCATGTAGGAACTTAAAGACTCGCACCCTTTCTAGGAATTCTGTTAGTGTGTCTGAATCAGCTGTACACTTCATTTTCAAATTCTGATATTGATCCAACTCAATCCACAAACCATTCAATGTTCCGTAGTAATCTGTTACTGAAAGACTCCCTTGCTTGGTATTAAAGATCTTGCTCTCTATTTCATAACACGCTGCAGTATCCTTCTTCATAGAATATGTCTTTCTAAGGTTCTCCCAAATTTCCTTCGCATTGGAGAAAAACATGCAATTCCGGCTGATCTCCGGTGTCATAGAATGCCACAGCCAGGTCATGATTAGAGAGTCTTCATCATCCCAAGCTTCATATTTTGGGTCTGTTTTGGCTGGAGGGTCTCCTTCAATGTGATTCAACTTCTTTCGTCCCTTGAGGGTTGTGCGAACCAATTGAGCCCACTGTAAATAATTTCGCCCATCAAGGCGATAAGGGCTTTGCAGAACCTGTAAATCGTTGGTACTCAAAACAGGGGCTGTCTTGTCTTCAGACATACTGGGAGAATGATAAAATGCAGAAATAGGTGTCTGGTGAACAGTAACTACGTTTAAAGCTACCCCTGGGACCGAGTCAGGAATAGTCGACGACCAAGTTTGTGGTGGCTCGGTCAAAGAACAGCGGCTGGGAAGGTGCTAAAAGTGAACAAATTCAATTCGCAGCAATGAAGGCTGCCTAGACAATGCGGAAGCAGAGCCCCCTGGATCAGGAGCTCTGATACCAACTTGAAAAAAGGAACAGAATATTATTTGAATAATATTTGAATTGCTTGATTATTGAGAGTTTGTACAAAATATATTTATATAGACTACTAGTCTCCTAATTAAGGAAATATTCAAATAAAATCTGTACAAATCAAATCAGCCAAATCTGTCCTAATTACAGAACAAATCTCCTAATTATTATAGAACAAATCTGGAACAAATCTCTTAATTATTATAGAACAAATCTCCTAATTATTATAGAACAAACCTGTCACAAATCTGTCCTAATTACATTTTACAACAAAAACACATTTAATTGCTCGAGCAGATAATTTATCCAAACCAGGAGAGACATTATGGACAAAACATGTACACCCAAAGACTCGAGGTGAGACATGAAACAAGGGTTCCTTTGGATAAACATTGGAGAAAGGGATTTTATTTTCAAGAGAAGAAGAGGGCATCCTGTTTATTAAAAAACAAGAAGTGAGAATTGCATCACCCGAATGATGTATAGGAATATTTGCATTGAGCATTAGGGTGCGTGCAGTCTCCTATTTTTTCTTTCTGCTATTTCATTTTGTTGGGGTGTATGTGGATAGGTAGACTGATGCAAGACACCCTGTGAGGATAGGAAAGAGGATAATTCAAAGAGAAATATTCTTTTGCATTGTCACTTCGAAAAATTTTAATTAGTCTCCCAAATTGGTTTTTTTATCTCATTGAAGGACATAAAAATAGACGAAAGCTCAGAACGATCTTTCATTAAATATATCCAAGTACATCGAGAAAATTCATCAATAAAGGTTACAAAATATCTAAAACCAAAAGATGTTACACGACTTGGACCTTAAATATCAGAATGAATGGTGGTGAAAATCGAGTTACATCTTTTATCAGTTTGCTTGGGAAAAGACGACCTAACATGTTTGCCTAATTGACATGATTCACAACCTAACTTTGCTAATTTTTGAAGACTAGGGACCAAAAGTTTCAACTTGGATAGACTTGGGTGACCCAAACAATCATGCAAAAGCTTGGGTGACAAAACAGCAACATAAGATACAGGTGGTTGCATTTCAAAATAGTAGAGACCTTTAGATTCATGTCCTGCGCCAATCTTTCGACCCGTACTACGTTCCTAAATAACAAAAGATTCAACACTAAAGGTTACTGAACAATTTAAGGATTTGTTTAACTGACTTAAAGAGATTAAGTTGAAAGGACAATTAGGAATAAACAAAACAGAGTTTAAATTTAATGAGGGAGACAGAGAGAACTGACCGATTCCTTTAGGGGCAATTCTGATCCATCTGCTAAGGTAATAAGGTGAGGTGATTTAAGTGGGGACATGGAAGAAAACATAGAATTATTACCAGTTATATGATCAGAGGCTCCTGAACAATGATCCATGGACTTTGATTTGCAGTTGAATGAGAAATACAAGCTGTAGAAACAGTAGTGATAGAGGAAGATTGAGCTTGATTCATAGATTTCCATTGAAGATATTCCTGATAGTCATCTTCAAGAACCTTCATCTCAGATTTTCCTAATTTCTCAAACTTGGATAGATTTGCTATCTTCTCTGGAAAACCATGAAGAGAATAACAATTCTCTTGGGTATGACCCATCCTCTTGCAGTATGAGCATTGAGGACGACCACTTCTACCTCCTCTTCCTCCTCGATTTTCACGACCACCTCTACCCTGACTTGAAACCATTGCAGAAGCTTCAACAATTCCACCAGAGTTTTCATTCTTCACTTCTGTAGGGACACGAAGAAGTCTAGTTACTAGGCTGTCCATTGAAGGAATCTCGTGGCCGGTCAGAATCTGGTCACAAACATGATTGAAGTCTGGTGCAATGTTCTCAGGATCAGCACCATATAAATCTCAGGAGGTTGATCCATATAAATCTCTTCCTCCAAATCACCATGTAAGAAGGCATTTTTGATATCTAATTGAAACAAAGGCCAATGCCTCATAGCAGCCATAGCTAAAAAGAGACGAACTGAGGCCATCTTCGCAACTGGAGAGAAGGTGTCGCTGTAATCCGAACCATATACTTGCGTGTATCCCTTAGCCACAAGATGAGCTTTCAATCTATCCACCTGTCCATCAGGGCCCATTTTAACATTAAATACCCACCGACAACCAACAACAGATTTTTCAGGCAGAGGTGGGACAAGTACCCAAGTGTTGTTGGAGTCTAAAGTTGTCATCTCATCAATCATTGCTTGTCGCCATCCTGGATGGGTTAAGGCCTCCTGTACTGTCTTGAGAATGGTAATAGAGGAAATAGCAGAGACAAAAGCATAATAGGTAGGAGACAAATGTGATATGAAAGAAAGTTATAAATAGGATGAGGATTACAAGTAGAACGACTACCTTTACGAAGAGCAATGGGCAAGTCAACTGAGGTAGGTGGGGCCGGAGTAGGTGAGGAGACTGAAGCAGGAGTAGAATCACATGGCTCAATTGAAGAATCATTGGGAGGAACAACAGTATGTGATCGACGTGCATAGGTTATCCTAAATCGGTGTAGAGGATGGTCAGACCCTGGTAGTGCGGGAGGATCTGATGCCTCTAAAGTAGTAGGTGTGGTAGGAGGCACACTATGATCAAAATGAGGAATAGGCAATACCTGAGAGAGGAGATCAGAGTCAATCGGAGAGACATCTGTGGCAATAAAATATGGTGTATCTTCAAAGAAAGTGACATCTGCACTGGTGTAAAATCGATGCGTAGCAGGAAAGTAACAACGGTACCCCTTTTGGACACGAGAGTATCCTAAGAACACACATTTGATGGCCCGAGCAGACAACTTAGCACGTCCTGAGAAAAGATCATGGACAAAACAAGTACAACCAAAGACACGAGGATGAAGAAAATAAAGGGGATCCAATGGGTATAATAGGGAATGAGGTACTTGATCATTCAAGACAGACGATGACATTCGATTTATTAAATACCCTGCAGTGAGGACAGCATCGCCCCACAACTTTGGGGGTGCATTGGCATTCAATAAAAGAGTACGAGCAGTGTCCACAATATGTCTATGTTTTCGCTCAGCTACACCATTTTGTTGAGGTGTATGAGGGCAACTAGATTGATGTAGAATGCCATGGGAAGCCATAAATGATTTGAAGCAATCTGAAAAATATTCTTTAGCATTATCACTTCGTAAAATCCGAATTACTTTGCCAAATTGAGTTTTGATCTCCGAATAGAAACTTAGGAAAATATTGAATAACTCAGAATGATTTTTCATTAAAAATATCCAAGTACATCTAGAAAAATCATCAATAAAGGTGACGTAATACCTATGTCCTAAAAGAGAAGGAACGCGACTAGGACCCCAAACATCAGAATGAATAACATCAAAAGGAGACATAGCTCGACTATTAATACTATTAGGAAAAGAAGCTCTAACATGCTTCCCTGATTGACATGACTCACACTCTAAGGAAACCAACCGTGAGAGATGAGGTACCATTTTCTTTAATTTATTCAAGCTTGGATGACCTAGGCGACGATGGATTAAACCAGGAGACTCAATAGATGCACATATGGTAGAGGTAGAAGGCTGAAGGTAGTAGAGACCATGTGATTCAGATTCGGTTCCAATCGTCTGTCCCGTACTCTGGTCCTGTATCAAGAAAGAATCAGAAGTGAAGGTTATGACACAGTTTAGTGACCGAGTCAACTTATAGAAATCAAATTAAAGGGACATCCAAGAATTAGTAAAACAGATTTTAATGGTAGTGATGGGAAAGGTGATATTTGGCCAATACCAGTGGCTTGAACTTTTGACCCATCTGCAAGAGTGATATGATGTGGAGTTTTAGGTGATGATAGGTTAGGGAAAAGGGAGACATTACCAGTTAGGTGATCAGAAGCACCGAAGTCCAAAACTGAAGGTCCAATAGAAGTAGAATGAGAGAGACAAACTGTAGAATTACCAGTATGAGCAACAGTGATGGAAGAAGAGGTCTGTTTAGTTGCCTTGAATTGAAGATACTCTTGGTAATCATCGGTAGATAATGTGATAATGTGATTGGCTGATTGCCCTCCGGTTCAATCTTGAGCTCTGGAGCTGAAGTTGGAGATTGAACCACATTAGCTGTCTTGCTCGGAAATCCATGCAAGGAATAACACCTGTCTCGTGTATGTCCATCTCTCTGACAGTAGGTACAATGGAGGTTTCCTCTACCCCCTTTACCACGACCACGCCCTCGACTTCCACGGTCAGCTGTACTAGATATAAAAGCAAAGGACTCAGATTCTGTGTGAGGATCTGCCTCTGGTGAAGGGACCCGAATCAGTCGATCTATGAGTTCTTCTACTGTAGGAATGACAGGATTTGTCAAGATTTGATCTCGAACAGATCCGTAATCTTTGTGGAGTCCTTGAAGGATAAACACCATGAACATATTATCAAGTTTGTTTAATATTTGTTGAGGATCATCACTAACCAACATTAGCTTGAGCTCATCAATAGTGGATTGAGCACGATTCAAATACGTTGGCAGATCATTATCAACCGTACGAAGAGTTGCCAGACCATGAACAGACTCGTATATTCTTTGGATATCATTGGCATAGACATTTCGAGCCTTCTTCCAAATATCATAGCATGTCTTGTACGGACGAAAATGCACCATTAATATAGGCTCAATGGACTGCCACAATAGAGATACAAGTTGATAATCTGCCCGTTGCCATTCATCTCTCACCTCTTTATCAATTTCGGACGCCCTTTTAGTAAGATGATCATAAAAACCCTGACCTAAAAACCATATGTCAACCGCAGTGGACCAATCCAAATAATTTTTACCATTAAGTTTTTCAGATGTAATAGTAGGTGATCCAGAAAAGGCAAAGGAGACCAGCCCCCTTTTAGAAGATTCAATTTTTGGATTCTCCTTAGGAATCTCTTCCATGAAGAGAAAAAGAAGAAAAACAGCAAACATTCAGCCACGAAACTCCGAGGTAGCAACCAATCAACCACGGAACTCCGAGGTAGCAACCAAACCACCACGGAACCCCGAGACAGCAACCAAACAGCCACAGAACTCCGAGACAGCAACCAAACAACCACGAAACTTCGAGGCAGCAACCAAACGACCACAAAACAACGAGGCCGCAACCAAACGACCACCAATAGACCACCTAGAGTGTGACCCACAACCTGAAAAGGGTCAAAACGAGAAGAGGGAGGGCCGGCGAGTCCAACGGAGTGAACCGCGCCGCAAACGGAGGCTGGGAGGACGGCGCGTGAAGCCCACGCGTCGGCGAGCTTCCTCAACAGGAACCGTGGGTGAGAGCGCGTGAGACGGCGGCTGACGGCGGCTCGCGACGAAGAGGCCGATCGGCGACCTCTGAGTGTGCAAGCGGTGTCAACTCCGGCAACCGCGAACAAAATTCGAAAACCCTAGAAACCGTAGATGTTGGCGGCTAGATTAGGGTTCCTGGACCAGAGTGTTCTGGTATCAACTTGAATATGAATAATTTCTTATTATTGAATCTGAATGGGTACAATAAAATAAATAGACATAAAATATAATCAATCCCTAAAGTTTAGGGATTTAGATAAAACTGACTAAGGAAACTAAACTAGAAATTAGGAGAAGATAAACTAGTATATCTAAACTATATCTTATAGAATTATCTTAACAATTGCATTTACCATTTCTCTCAACATTTACATTCCACTAGACTGTTGTAAAACGTATCTTGAGGTATCTTCGAGGAACTATTGATTTTGGTCTATGTCTTAACTCACTGCTACTGCTCCATCATCTCTGCAAGGTTTTTCAATTGCGGATTGCGCATTTGACATAGATGATCAAACTCTGGGGCTGGCATATTTTTTGGACCCAATCTTATTTACTTGTGGTCTAAGAAGCAGACTCTTGTAGTGTGCTCTTCTGCTGAAGTTAAATATCGCAGTTTAGCATTGGCTAGTTCTGAAATTTTATGGATTCAGTCTTTGCTCAATGAGTTACAAATTCAAATTCCAACTCCAGTTCTTTACAGTGACAATCAAAGTACTATTGCTCTCAGCCATTATCCAGTTCTTCATTCAAGAACTAAGCATATGGAACTTGATATCTTCTTTGTCAAGGAAAAGGTTCTTAATAAATCTTAGATTGTCTCCTATCTTCCAGCTCCGGCTTAAGTTGCTGATATACTCACCAAGCCACTAAGACTCAGTTTTGCTGCTTCAGAGAATCAGAGACAAACTGAAGGTTTTGAGTTCCTCTCAACCTAAGTTTGTGGGGGAGTAATAGAGTATTAGAGAAAACTCTTCTCTTTCTGTTGTAAGCTGAGTGGCTGTGCCAACATTGGCACAGTTAGTTAGAAGGTTTTTAGCTTCTCTGTAAGTTGATTGGCTGTTGCCATGTCAGCATAATTACCTAGCTTCTCTTGTACACTTCTCTGTCACTATATATAACATGTTCTCTATCATTGAAGAGATCAGAATATTAATAATAACAGAATTCAGTTTTCTTCTATTTCTCTCTCTGAATATTCACAGTATGGAACTACCCATTGTATTCATAACCTGTGTGTAGCCCTATATAATATGATAGATTGAAATGTTTTCGTATCTTTAGATAATTTTTGCTTTCATTGAAACCAAAATGTTGTAGGTCGGTGCTCTTGAAGGGGATGAAGAGTTGACACCTCTCGGGCATCATCTGGCAAAACTTCCTGTGGATGTATTAATTGGGAAGGTGTACACCAATTTTTTTCTTTCATCTTATCTTCAAAGGTTTAAATTTAACATTTGTTTTTCGATGTTGTTGGTATATCATAAAAAAATTGATGATTTTTTATATGGTGTTTGTCTATACTTTCCTCATTTTAAGATGATAAAGATTCCAAGAGAATGAGAGAAAGAATAAGAAAGGTATAGAAAAACAGGGAGAGATCTGAAGTTCTGAACTATTATTCTGTTATTGACAAGTGTTATGTCTGAACTGACATCAACTTCGATACATAGTTAGAGTTTAGGATTTAGGAAGGAGAAAATCAGGCACCATATTCCCCCTTTTAATTAACCTTGTAAGTTTTCAAGTATTTTCTACCTGATGGTTAATTTTGATATACTTAATGTATAATATGGTTCTTTCTGTTTAATCAAGGCTTGATTGGGATAAAATGAATGTCTATATTTTCATTTTTTTCAAATGAGTTGCACTTTTATCAGGTTGGCTAACCCCTCCAATGCACAGCATTTGTAGAAGTTTTTTTTTCTTCCATTAGATAATCTTCTTTTGTTCTTATTTTGACATTTCAATTATCAAATTTGTTACAATGATCTTCAAGGGGCAATGTCATTTACAAGTTTTTTGTGTCATATTTCTTCTTTGTAAGATGTTTATAATGACCATTGAGTTCTGCCATGGTGCTCTTCTCCTTGTTTTTCATTGCTTTTGGCAACTGTTAATACCATATCTCAAATTTACTGAGAATGTGGTGCTCGCTATTTGCTAAGTACATCTCCATTCTGCTTTGCTCTTCATTGATGTTGAAATAAATGTGATATAAGACATGCTGAGCCATCCATGGATGGTATTGTTTCTGTAATTGCAGATGATGCTGTATGGTGCAATGTTTGGTTGTTTGTCTCCTATTCTTTCAGTTGCTGCATTTCTGAGTTACAAATCTCCATTTGTGTATCCTAAGGATGAGGTCTTATTCAGCACTTTGATACTTGTTTCTGCAGCTTTACTTCATATTAGATTTTAAATGAACTGTTGTGTCTATCTTCAGAGGCAAAATGTTGAGAGAGCAAAATTGACACTGTTGAATGATAAGCTAGATGGGCCTAGCAACACAAATGATATTGATCAGCAATCTGATCACTTACTGATGATGACAGCCTATAAAAGATGGGAAAGGATTTTGACTGAGGTCAGTATGTATTTGCAAGTTTTACTATATTACTGTTTATTTTGTTACTTTTCCTAGTGCTCAAACTAAGATTACTCATGAAGCAACCCTACAATAACAAATGACTACTCTATGTTGCCTATAAATAGTTGTTAGTAAATAAAAATAACTTTGGAGATTTGATATAACCTTTTCTTATTTCTTTTATATTTTTTTTATTTTCATAGTTACCTATTTTAAGGACAAATGTATCTCTATAATAAAGTAAGAGAAGAATGTAATTAGTATGATACAAATTGATAATATTCTCTCTTTCAACTTGGTATCAAAGCTCCCGATCTTGGGAGCTCAGTTTCCGCTACCCTAAACATAAAACAAATCTAAGACACTACCACCTTCACTGCCGCTGCTGCCATCACCACTGTTGAAGTTGGCTGTGAGCTAGAAAGGAGTGCTCATCATCGGTGATCACAACGCCGTGAGTCACATGATCAAAGACCTCCCCACGCACTGCCACAGTCCGTCCCTTTTCCTGGCGCGTGTAGGCCACGCACTCATCTCTAGCAAGACCCACTCGTCGGTGACCACCCAGAAAGGTTCATCGGCGACCCCCCAACTCATTCCAAAGGGTGGTGCCGTCCAGATTCTTCTGGTTTATTGCAGATCTAAGTTCTTTGTCTCTTTCCTGTTATTTATTTTTTGAGTTCATCCATGGGTGATGCAAATTCCCATCTTTCAACTGGAACTGGATATTATTGCATGTAAGGTAGAGATTGATCGTCTAAAAATGATGATTGAATCTATGAGTAAGCCCTCTGGCTCATGTACTCTGTCCATGAAGGGTAAGAGCATTTTTAATACTTTTGGCTTTGTTTCTCAGGGAGTTTAGATTCTTGATTTTGGAGCAACAATTTATATGACTCCCTTTCCTTCACTCTTTACATCATATTCCAAAACAAACACCAAACAATTCATTACAGTTGCTAATGGAAATAATGAGCCCATTATTACCTTCAATGAAAATGAATCCTTGTTTGTCTATCCTCGGCTTTAGGGGGAGAAAAATTTAGAACCCAAAGACGAGTCTTTTAGAGTTATTACCATTTTTGTCTTTATGGGAAGTCCAAAATGAAGAAGAGGAAGATAAGTTCTTTGGCATAAAATATCAAAGGAAGAAAAAACCCACCTTAGTTCCATAACAAAAGGAATCGTCTGACTAAGAGGTAACTGATCCTGAAGGTAATTTGGAGGAAGTAAGTGTTAATAATGATACTCATATGCCTATTGCTTTGAGGAGAGGGAAAAGATCTTGTGTTAAATATCCTATTTCACAGTATGTTTGTACTAACCACTTGTCTGCTCAACATCAAAGTTTTATAGTTGTCATTGATTCGGTAGATAACCCAACTTCAGTCCAAGAAGCTATGAGAGAAGAACACTGGGTTCTAGCCATGAAAGAAGAAATGAAGGCATTGGAAAAGAACTAAACATGGGAGCAACTATAGTACTCCCTCTGATTTTAAATATAAGCAACAAAAATATAATTCACGCTAACTATGAAAGTGAGTTAATAATATTTAATTGCACAAATACCATTTAAAAAATAACATACTTTTTTGAACTATCTTTTCTTGGAACTTGATAGTAAGAATAAAAAGAATCATTGGAATACAATCTCAATTAAATGATGGGGTATTTTGGAGATGGTAGCATTAAATGTAGTAAATTTAGTTAAAATTTTTATATTTGAGACCAAGAATCGTGTGTTTTGTTTCTTATATTCAGAATCGGAGGGAGTATTTATTCTTTTGGGGGGAGGGGAGAGAACACACATTGATCAACTACTGTTGCTTATCATTGTCATGATTATGATAAGACTTTAGTGATGAATATACTTAAATGTAAGCTGTATGAATAAATACGATATGCATTTTTCCATAGAAAGTGTCACATTTGTGCATATACTCTAAAGGAAGGTGTTCTTGCAGAACATAGGTTTAATTGCTTGATAATTTTAAATCTGCAGAAAGGAACTAAAGCTGCACAGCAATTCTGCAATTCATTTTTCTTAAGCAGCTCTGTAATGTTTATGATAAGGTATTATTGTTTTTATCTGCATCTCATTCAAGTGACTAAATAGCTAGATTTACATTTTTTTTTCTACTGTATTCATAACTTCTCCCCTTTTCCCTTTTAGGAGGGTGTTCAGCTACCTCTTGGTATTCTAATTTCCTCTGTTTTTTTGTATCTGTGTTGATTGCAACTGTTATTACTTGTTTATTCCTTGTTTCCCTAGTTTTGCTTAGATTGAAAAGGAGATAGCTGTAACTTATATCAATCTCTATGATTCAGGTGTTTACATTTCTGTATATTTTGTATATGTTTGTTTCGGATAAGAGCTTTTTCTCAAGCAACAATAATAGAATCAGTTTCAAGTTGGTACTGGAGCTCTATAACTTTTTCTACTTAGCCACCATTATTTAATATAATCTGTGGGTTTCCTGACCAGCCATCCATCTTGTTTGTAAATTATACTCTATATCAACTCTTTTCAGTACCTAGTTTATTTGATATGTTAGGGAGATGAGGATACAGTTTGGAACTTTGCTGGCTGACATTGGTCTCATCACTCTTCCAAAAGATTATCAGGTATGCTGCCTTTCTTATTATTGAGTTTAAAGCAATGTTTGTGATGTAGGACCGGTAGAAAACATGAAAAAATGTTCAGGCATACTTTTTAGGCAATCCTTTGACTGAGTCATGCCAAACATGAAAACATGTTCAGGCATCCTTTTTAGGCTTTGTTTATCATCAGGCAGAGTCACCTTTTGATATTTGTTACTGCCATTCATGAATTCTCCAGATATGTTTGTGTTTTCTTAATAAAAAATGTTCAGAGTTGCTGTGTTTCAAAACTTCAGTAATGAAATTAAAACCTAATTTGGGCAACATATTTGCATTTTTAGTGAAATTTAAAAAAAATTAGCTGTATTTCTTTTATGGCTACTCATGCATAATCCATCAGTCTTCATTTATTCTGCAGAATGTACAATTACTCAACTGATATGAAGCCCAGAGAATTTCCCATTAATTCCATTAACATCCCCCCTCAAATTGATGCTGGTAATTCTACAAGCATCAATTTGCCATGTACGAAATTATGTCACTGATGGGTCAAGGTTTTTGTGAAAATGTCAGTTATTTTAACAAATGTTGAGACATAATTCATTGCTAATTCTGTGGTCATACGCTTTTCGGATAGAATGACAATCAGCATTGATGTGCTTTGTGTGTTCATGGTAAACTGCATTTGCTGCCAAGTTGAATGGCACTTATGTTATCAGCATGCAGCCAAGCTCAGTAAGAAGACTATACGGCCATATTATTTCAGAGCATGCAGCAGACGCGGCATGATACTCCACTTTAATGAATGGCTGAGACTGATTATTGCTTCTTCCATTTCCATGAAATTGGAGCATTAGCCCAGAAACATACACTAGCTAGTATTAGATTTCCTTATATATAGACATCTAGTCCAATCAACATCACCATAAGCTTGGAGTTAGGGAGATGAACCTGCTGAAAAAAAAAAAAAAAAAAAACATGTTTGTTCTTTGGAGGTGCTAAGGAGGTATTGAATAATGCGGTGCATTGCTGAAAGGGGGAAATGTCAAGGAGGTTTCTTATACTGACTGACAGTGTGGACAACTAGCTTGCAATATAAAGTGGAGTTGTCATGGTCACCTTAATCGTCTAAGTTTGACATTAACTTCCTTTTGAGTGTCAACTGGGGCTGCATTTGCGAGGCCAGCTAACTGGAATAGATCTTGATTATACTTGTGCTGATTTAAAATTATGGCTTTAGATTGATAATGCACCCTCTAAACCCAAGAAGTGAGGAGACCAAGCTCTTTCAAATAAATATCCTTGAAATAAAACACATTTCAATTTTGCATAACATTTCAGCTGAAATATCTTGATTATAAGTTACATGTCTGTTTATGTTGTCCATATTAGTTAAGTGTTTAAAAAAAATTTAAGATTATATGTGAGGGTGCCCTATCTGTAATTTTTTTTCTGATACATAATCTGGACCACTTCAGATGCATGGGAAAAAGATAGGGAGTCTTCACAGTTGGCTTTCTGATGCATCACAACCATTTAATAAATATGCACAACATTCATCGATTCTTAAGGTAAAGTTCACATTAAGTTGATTACAAAGTTTAGGTAATGCTTGCTTCTTTTTTAAGCTTTAAAATGATATTCTTTACATCAACTGATATTCTTTAAATTTGCTTTGACTTTCTTTAATTCACATCTCATTGTGTACAAGTACAATCTGATCTGTGATTCTCTCAGTTTAGGCACTTGTTTTTGTTCTCCATTCATTAATTCATGTTGTCATTCCCATCACTTTGCAGTGTGCCAAGTGAGTATGCCATAAATTTCTTTCTGTTGTCTTTGATGGTCAATCTTTAAGTATAACATTATGTGAAATTTTTATTTTTGCATTTTTTAGATCCTTATTCAATCAATGCAATTAAATCTGAATCTATTTGTCACAAGATTTGAAGGATATTCCAATTTTTACCCTTCAAAATAAACACAATTTAAATCTGAATTTTGATCATTATTTTGTAGCATGTATTGAATGGAGTCTCAATTAAATTAGGGGATAGCGATGAGTGATCATTTTACCATTGAATTGAAAGGCTTGGGCCCAAGATTCTGTGAAACAGAAGCATGTACTACCAAACATTGTTAGTTCATTATTGTGGTTTTCTATTTTTCTTTATTATGGAATTGAAATGCTAAGTTATTATTCTGTTAGAAGTATTATTTTTCATGCATATATGTCATTTATATATTTTTAACATTATTTTTATATTAGATAAACTTTTATGAGTTTACAAAGGTTTCACAAGTTTGCATAAATTCGAGTTTGACAACCTTGATAACCTTTATTTTTTTCTCGGTAGCAAGATCTCTAAGTGTACACTTGCAGGCTATACTATGTGCAGGTTTATATCCCAATGTAGCAGCTACTGAACAAGGCATTGTTGCAGCAGCTCTCAGCAGCCTTAAGCAGTCTTCTAGCTCTGCAAATTCTGGACGTACAGTCTGGTTTGATGGAAGAAGAGTGGTTCATATCCACCCTTCTTCAATCAACAGCAACTCGAAAGGATTCCAGTTCCCCTTTCTTGTCTTCCTTGAGAAGGTTCGTGAATAATTTTTTCTGCAGAAGTTTACCAACTCTTTAGCATGAAGTATTTCTTCTGGTATATTATTTGGAAATTTATTACCTTGCTAATATTTGTTCATCCAATTCGTTGCAATAAACCATCACTTTGATTCTTAAAGTATTATCCTCTCTCCTAGGTAGTCCTTAAAGTAATAAAATTATATAAGTAGTCTTTGAAGTATTAGAAATCATGCTATATAATCCCTTAAGTATTGAAAAATCCTTTAAATTAGTCCCTCAATGTTAGTAAAATATATCAATAAAATTGATGGATTTTCAATACTTTAAGGGCTACTTATATAGTTTCATTACTTTAAGGACTATTTAGGGGAGATAGTAATACTTGAGGAACCAAATTGATAGTTTATTCAACTTGTTGCTTTCAAATCAATGTAATATTAAGATATGTATGAATTTACAAATCTAAAATTACTATAACAAACTCAATGCTACTTTTAATAACCTGGAGAAAGTGTTGGTAACTTTAAACTTCAAAAATATTGAATATTATTTCTGGAGGAAAGTCCATGTTGCTCAAGTTTCTTATACTCAATTTTTTAACATTGCAAAAGTTTGCTAAAGTTTCATTCAATTCTTATTTTAATCTTTTAAGTATTCTTAGGTTTTCTAATGTACTAGTTATCATTATAGGATTACATGCATTATGTATATTTGCATGGAATTACTTGCAATTCAATTATTAAAATTTTAGATATATTGCTTATCACTGAAATTGTCAGGTTGAAACAAAGAAAGTATTTCTTCGAGATACTTCAGTCATATCTCCATACTCTATTTTGCTTTTTGGAGGGTCAATCAATGTCCAGCATCAGGTACATGTTACTCCTTTTCCAACAAATGTTTATTCAATAGAAAAAAGGACCAAATCTTTAAGATGAAATAGTTATGATTTTTGTAAGGTGATGAGTACCCAATACTATGATGTACAATTTATCTATTGTTTTACAAACCATTGAAATATTTTTTTTATTCTAATTTTATCATTATGTCTTGTTATTTCAACCAAATGAAACTAGAGGGAGAGCATTAATGAAGTAATACTATTTTGAATATTTTAATAATAGTTAATTTAGTCAAATGTAGTCATCATTTTCACTTGAAAGTTGAAACAGTGCTGCTTGAGAGAAAGCTCTCAGCCTTACAAATATATATTGTTGATTAAGATTAGTAGAAAATATGAAATATTATTGATAATTAATTGTGCAGGATTTCCTCCTTTTATAAAGGGGAATTACATCAGGTGAAAGAAGGAAACTAAATCCTAAATAAGGAGAGAAAATATGACAATAATGAATTACCTAAAATAGGCTAAACTAAAAAAGGGAACAGGATAATTGCTGGCTATACAGGGAAACAAATTAATTACACAATCAAACTTATTTACAGAAATATTTAGAGGGATCAAATAGAGATTTAATCCTCTTTTGACACCCTGTTGACAAGATTGCTATTATTCAGATTTGGTAATATTCTTCTATTCTTTCTTAGATTTCCGTAGTTGATTGCTTCCTTAGTTAGCTGATTCCAATCCCAAAAGTTCAGGGTTTGATTATGTTGTTCTTGTATATCAATATTGTATGAATCATTTATATGATACATCATCAATATTCAGATTCAAGTTGGCACGAAAGCTTTGTGGTTCGAAAAAGCCTCAAAAAACCTGGATTTTGTTGTTCAGCAGCTGGCAAAGCACTGAAACACTAGGTCACTGTCCATCCATTTCTCCATCAAAAGAATAAAGGACTGGACAGCACAAATATACTTGCACCATGCTTAATTTAAAAATTGTCATGAGAGTTTAAATATTTGTTACTAATTAAACCATTGGACAACTTTTTGTTCTATACACAATGCCTAAGAGTCAAAAAAAATATCCATCAGTTCCAAGTCTGTCCATTTGGCCAAACCCTATTTGATTGGAGATGACAACACCTACAACAGTACAATGCCCATTTTTCCTTCAGGCTTCAGTGCCCCCGAGAATTATGAATTTCGTTGTCATTGTTGTGCTTAAACAACAACACTATGTAACATTGAAGATAAAGAGAACAAAAAATGTTGGAGATTTTACTAGAAGTTTGGAAGCAAGTAGATGATGGAGATTTTCTGAGGAAGTGATTTGAATAGTATGTTTTAAAGGTGAAAAAAGAAAGATAATTGAAATTAGGAGTTCCCAAAATGAAACTTGAATAATGGTGCTCGAAAAATGAGATAATATGCACAAAAAATTGGGCATTAGCTTGGGTGGTCTCATGCTTGCTGCAAATGAAGGTAGTGTTCTGCAACTTTCCAATCCCTTACATGATGGAGGAAGAAGCCAATAGTGGAAGAGAATAAATAGGACATTTTCAATATTTATATAAAAATTTGATTTGAAAAGAACATTTCTAAGCTTTTTATATTTTTTTTATGAATTTTATTATCTAACAATTTTAATATATATCTATAATTTTAAGAATGAAACCAAATTGACATCATAACTCAATTCTTTACCTCAAGGAACCAAATCTTTTTTCTTTTAAATTATACTGTCTTGCATAGAATTATATTTTTCTTAATTATTTATAATTATATTTAGAAGGCTTCCCCCATTGACTTGTTTGTTGGCAATTGGCATAAAGCATTAGTGTCAACTACCAAGTTCTGGGTTCCATGCAAATTATATGGTAAATATTAAATTATTATTAAATAAAAATACGTTATGATTATTAATAAAATGTAAACAATGAGTTAAAATAATTGAATTACAAATATTGAAATAACTAGAGAAATGTCGATATATTATTTTTGTCTTATCTTAATGCAAAACAAACTCCAAATGGGGGAAGTGTAATTTTCCGAATGGGAATAAAAAAGTTAAATTATTTAAGACTGCTTTTTCTGAAGTGTAATTTTTTTTTTTTTTTTTAATTTTCTCTCCTTTATGTGATAGACTGGACTGGTCACCATTGATGGATGGTTGAAATTGACTGCACCTGCCCAAATAGCTGTCTTGTTCAAGGAGCTACGATTAGCTCTCCATTCCATTCTGAAGGAGCTTATTAAAAAGCCAGAGGTGCCATATTTAGTTTTATTTCTGTTAAAATAGTAAAACTTTTCCTTTATTTTTATGGCTATAATTAATTATGGTTGCTTGTATTAATGGGTAAAGTTCTGCTGTAATTATGTTTGCTTATTCCAGTGGATAATATATTGCTAAGTATCTAATTTTAGGCAAATCTACATACTTAATGATGGTGGGGACATGTGTTTTACTAACAGCATTTATGGGCTCTATGTGTGGCTGTCATTTTTCATGTATTTGCCTTATATATGAATGAAAAACATGCAGAATGGCATGGTTATCCAGCAAATACGAAATTGCTCTGTTCCCTAACCTTTCCTCTTATCTGCTTAATGGTTTTGTATGGTTTTTTTTTATATTTTATGCTTCTGTTGCCCATGGCATGTCTTAACAGTGGTATCACAACATTGTTCTTATAGGCTGTGGGTCTGAAAAAAATTGAGAGGAGAGATTAAACACTTGTGAGTGATAAAATTGCTTCGGGGAACAATGGTGTATTTGTTGTTCCTCAATTTTCTAGGGAAAACTATCACATATGGATTGTCAAAATGAGATCATGTTTGAAGTCTTTTGGCTTATGGGAGTATGTAGATCAAGATAAGCGAGTTCCACCATTGAGGGCTAATCTTACTATAGCTCAAATGAAGCAACATGAGGAGGAGATTTTGAAGAAGGAACAAGTTGTCTCATGTTTACATTCAGCTTTGACAGATGATGTTTTTACAAGCATTATGCATTTGGAAACAGCAAAACAATTATGGGACGAGTTGAACGAAAGGTATGTCGATGATGAACGGGTGAGATCCATCAAACTATTGACTCTTAAAAGAGAGTTTGAAATGCTAAAAATGAAGGAAAGTGAATCAGTCAAGGAGTACACTTCAAAGTTGTCTCACTTGGTGAACCAAATGAGATTGTATGGTGAGGTTGTCCATCACCACAAGGTAGTTGGAAAAATGCTGATCAATCTACCCGTAAAATTAGAAGCCAAAGTTGCTGCCATTAAAGAGTCGTGTGATCTTAAGAAACTAACCATTTTCAAATTGGTCAATAAATTGCAAGCTCATGAGCAAAGATTCTCCATGAAAGTGGATGATGTAACTCAAGGTGCATTTCAAGCAAGACACTAGGGAAAGTAAGCTGGTCAGAAAAATCAAAAGAAGCATAATTATAAAGCAGTTGGTGACCAAAAGGGAAAAACTAAGATGGATGGGAGTAGTGAATCTGCAGCAAACAACCATTTTCCTCCTTGTTCTACATGCAAAAGAACAAACCATTTATCAAAAGATTGTTGGTATAAGGGGAAGCCTCAAATCCAATGTAACATTTGCAAGAAATGGGAACATATAGAGAGGTACTGCAGATTCAGGCGGAACCAATCTCAATCACAACATGCACATCAAGTTAACTTCATCGATGAGCAACTCTAAGATGAAGAACACTTGTTTATGGCTACTCAAACAAGTAATTCAGGTTCAAATGATGTATGGTATGTTGATAGTGGGTGCACAAACCACATGGTGAGGGACTCAAGTCTCTTTACTACTTTGGATAGGGCTGTCCAAACCAAAGTTAAGCTTGGAAATGGAGATATTGTATAAGGTGAAGGAAGAGGTACAGTTTCTATTCACACTAGCAAAGGTCCTAAATTTATTCATGATGTTTTATTTATTCCTAATTTGGATCAGAATTTGCTAAGTGTTGCCCCACTAATGAAGAGAGGATATTCTCTTTCATTTAAAAACAATGGTTGTATCATATTGGATTCAAATGATTCAAAAGTTATTGAGGTTGAAATGTGCGATAATAGCTTTCCAATCAGTTTGAATCAAGTGAATGAATCAGCTTTTGTTTCCAAACATGATTCTGTTTTATTACACAAAAGATATGATCACTTTAATATGGGTGCATTGAAATTTTTGCAAACTCGTCATATGGTGAGAGACATGCCTATGATGGGTATTATTAATGATTTATGTGATGCTTGTTAATTGGGAAAAATGCATAGAAAGTCTTTTTCATCAACAAATGTCACACGAGCAAAGGAAAAATTGGAGCTTATTCACACTGATTTGTGTGGCCCAATGAGTGTTCCTTCTCTTAGCCAAAGAAAATATTTTCTTCTGTTTATTAATGATTTGACAAGAATGACGGGTGTATTTTTTTATCAAGCAAAGCTCAAACTTTTGATGTCTTTAAAAAGTTTAGAGCCATGGTGGAGTCTCAAAGTGGCTGCAAAATTAAAATGTTGAGATGGAGTATACATCTAATTAGTTTAATGCATTTTGTGAAGATATGGGCATTGTTCATCAATTGACAGTAAGGTATACTCCTGAACAAAATGGAGTTTCTGAGAGAAAAAATAGAACAGTTATGGAGATGGCAAGATGTTTAATTGCTGAAAAGAAATTGCCTAAATGTTTTTTGGGTTGAAGTTGTTTATATAGTCGTGTATCTCTTGAATAGTGTTAGATATAATTTTATCTTATAGCTTTTATCTTATAGTTTTTATCTTATGGGCCTAGGCCCACTACTTTGTATTGGAACACATCTTTTGCTTTGCAATACACAAGGAATATGTTCTCTCCATTCACCATTACTCTCAACATGGTATCAAAGCCTAATCCTTGACCTCCCGGTGGACCCACTGTTCATTGGTGCCCGGAAAACGTGTCTCATTCCGTTTTCCGGCTAGCCACCCTGTCGTGTCTATTTCCGGCAATTTTTTTTCCTATTTTTTAGGGTTTCTTCTTCGCTGTCGCCGCCGCCGCCGCCACCTTTCCGGCTGGCGACCCCCCCACCCAACTCGCCTTCCTCCGGCGAACCCAACGCCACCAGTCGCGCGGCAAACGGAGGCTGCACGCGCCCCCACGCGTCGATTCCGTGCTGGGCGCAGTTTCTCTCTCCTTTCCGTCGGCCGCGACGCGTCCGGCGACTTTTCCGGCGACGATCACCGATGCCGGACTTGCCCAGACCTCCTCTACCCCGATCTATTATTTGTTTTGTGATCGGCCATCGTTTATCACGGATCTCTTCCTTCTCGGGCTATTTTTCTCTCTCCTGTTGCTGTTTCTCTCTCCTGTTACAGCATCTATGGCTTCCTCTTCCGCTGATCGGCCTGACTATGCTATTTTCACTAATTATGTCAATGTCGCTCTTTCCATTGACAAGTTAGATGGCACCAATTATGATACTTGAGCTTCAGATATCAAGCTTTGGCTTAAGGGATAGGATTATGTTGCTCATCTTACCCAGACAGCTGCTTTCGTTGATGAGAAGGATCGTCCCCGTTGGTTGAAAATTGACGCTCAAATTTGTAGTGTCCTTACGTCGACCATTCATCCCAAGCAAATTTTTCGTGCCCATGAGACGTGTTGATGTATGGGAACAAGCCCGAGTGTTATACACCAATGATACTCAACGTCTCTATGGTGTGTGTCAAAATCTCCAGAATATCATCTCCCCACGACGCCTTGATGGCTCTATGGCTGAGTATTTGGGCAAAGTTCATGGCCTCCTACATGACTTCAATGAACTTTTGCCTCCTGCTGACACTCCTGCCAAGGAACTAGAGCAACGCCAAACATTCTTTATGTTGATGGCATTGTATGGGCTTCCTGATGAGTACTCTTCCATTCGTGATCAGATTTTGGGATCTCCGACCGTGCCTACCTTGAACTCGGCTTGGTCCACTCTGTTGCGTGTGCCCTGCAAGTTTTCCCCTGACATACCTTCTTCAGCTCCCACTGGCGACTCCTCTGCTTTGGTTTCTCAACGTGATGATCGTCAGCGTTCTCGCAAACCGGGCAAAGGTCGTCCCAAGTGTGATCACTGTCACAAACTGGGCCACACAATTGACCGTTGCTATGTCTTACATGGTCGTCCCCCTCGCCCTACTACTGTTGTTGCCCACACTGCCTCTCCTGTCTCTACTGCATCTGGTGCTACCCCCTTTGATAGTTCTGGCTCTGGGCCCGCAGCAGCTCTCTTCAATGACTTCCTTAAATGGTATGAAGAACGTCAAGCTTCCAATTCCACTGCTTCTGTTGCGCACACAGGCCCTTCGTTTGTTGGTCTCACTCACTCCACCTCTCTTGGCCCTTGGGTCCTAGATTCTGGTGCTACCGATCATATTTCTGGTAATCGGTCTCTTTTCTCATCTATTTCTACCTCTGCTTATTTACCCTTTATCACTATGGCTAATGGTTCTCGTGCCACATCTCATGGTGTTGGTACTGTCCATCTTTCTCCTTCTCTCTCCATTGACAATGTCCTTTATGTCCCAGAGTCTCCCTTTAATTTATTATCCCTTAGTCGTCTTACTCGTTCTCTTGATTGCCTTATCTCTTTTACTAAAGATTCTGTTTTCTTACAGGACCGGAGTTCGGCACGGATGATTGGCACCGGATGTGAGTCTCATGGCCTTTATCACCTACGCACCTCTGCTCCTATTGGTTTGGTGGCGGATTCCCCTACCCTCATCCATGCTCAATTAGGTCATCCTAGCCTTGCCAAGCTTTAACATCTTGTACCACGTCTGTCTAAGTTGTTTCATTTGTCGTGTGAGTTGTGTCAGTTAGGCAAACATAGTCGTAGTTCCTTTTCTCCGAGTGTCTACAACCGAGCATTGTCTCCTTTTTCTTTAGTTCATTCTGATATTTGGGGGCCGAGTCGGGTCTCGCAAAAAGGCCCGAGAACAGTCATCATCAATGAATGTTGCTCATGTGCCCAACACTACCTCCTCTGCCGGCTCTTCCTCTCTTACAGATGTCACTATTTCTGTCTCTGACTATCATGATCTCCTTTAGCTTCGAGCTACCCAACAATTTGCCTCGCCTGCCACTGCCGTGGCTCACTCGGGTAATCCTGTAGCTTTTATGTCTCAATCTCCTTCTCTTGGACCTTGGATTCTTGACTCAGGTGCATCTGATCATATGACTGGTAATCAATCTTTTTTCTCTAAATTGTCTTTCTTCGACTCCTTGCCACCT